CTGAACAGGAGTTGAAGAGGGCAGGTGGCTGAAGACGAAATTATAATCCGAAGTCGAGGTTAACTAGTACTGTGTACTACGGAATACTGTGCACTCTATGACGTGGTAACTTGCTAGCTTGGAATAAACAAGGTAATCGATTTTTTGCTCAAAGGATGGCTATCATGTGTCTGCGATGGTTATATTCTGGATCATCTGCGAGTGCGATATATAATATTTTTTCTCCGACCGGATTGCCTTCAATTGTTTTCCTGCTGCGGGACCCGGCCATTTCTTACCCCAACCGTGCATTTCTTGAGCGATGTTGAATCTATACTCTCCAGAACCATTGCATTGGGCATGACTTAAACGATCCCTATACAATATCGGTGGCGAAGCAGTCTCTCCTCAATTTCAACTAGACTAATTTAGCATGAACGAAGCTGAAGCGAAACATGTATCACATTCGACCCAGCTGTTCGGTTCGTCTCTCCGCCTCAGCTTGGGGTTCATCTATCAGGGTTGGACAGGTGATTACGCATATATTTAGCGGTTGCTTAACGTGGTCCGAGCCAACGAAGCTGGACGAAAGACATACTGGATCCATCGGACCTTCGGAGTGTGCACTAGCTTGGGGGAACTCTCGTGGTTGGAAAGCAAGTACGGAACCATTGGCAAGGGATCGAGGAATCGCCTAAGGGAAGAAATATATATAATATGATGTGTCCTTCCGGATGTTGTACACGGTGTTACACAAAGCAATTGATGACATGCTTAATGTCCATATAATGCTCAATACGGAGAATTGGTGAGTAGTATATTGGTATTAGGCCATGTCAGCTGAATGCTATATTGCACAATCATGGGCAGCAATATTAGCTACGCAAAATGTGATGCTGGCACTGCGACCGCTTCCTTCCCCCTCAAACGTTGTGTTACGGGACTACGGAGTGAGTGAAGCCTTGCGCTTCCTCAAACATCCGAAACCAGGAGGTGTAATAGTTCCCTTGGCCCGATATGATGCTGGTTCATAATTCCAACAATCCCGACCCTAACATTCGATCATCGAGTCGAGATAGAGAAATGGCCAGCGAGCAGCGATCCCTGATATGTCCGAGATCCTTCATGAACCGGTGAAACACTATATTGTAATAACTATGGTACACCGGAGGGCATCACATGACTGACTATAGCTGCTAAGCTGACAGTTCCCCACTCGCAACCAAACTGTCGGTATTGAGGAGACACCCGCAGTCCCGCACCGCACCACCGGGTTCTGCGCCTCCTGAATCGGGCAATCTCGCTTTTGGGCATGGGGATCTCCCACCAATCCATATCGTTGGATTCGCCCTCATAGACGATCACACCCACCCAAACTTTATCCGATTCGTCAGGTGTCATGTGCTTGACTCTTCTCTTCGCTCTTAAGGTTTCCGTGCGTGAGTTTTGACCTCTGGTTGTTCGGTGCTTTTCCTGGCTGAATCTCGTGACAGTCGAAAAAACTCTCCTTAATTAAAACCTTCAGATTTCAACAATTCAGCAAACAGATCTCCAGAGTTCCAAAGCCCTGAATATGGGAAACTTGATCGCCCACACTTCAGAATTAGTACGGGTATGTACTGGCCACTGGGTAAGCATTGGAATTCGAAACAACTTGTCGACACCCAGGTGGCAATTGGGATGTTCGGACTCTACACAGTTGAACGCATTCCGATCGGCATGATCTCGACAGCTCGTTTGGTTCCTCCTCCAAGCTATCAGCTTTGCATCGCAGTGCGAGTGAGAAGTATTGAAATCGTGTACAGCGACGGAATCCGACGCCTCATCACTCACTGGAATGGGACAGGCGAGTCGTAAATTTGGAAACCCTTCAGCCCATTCGTGCTCTTTTCATTTGCCTTGTGCTGTGTCAGACGATAATACCTTGCTGGCGCGATTTCGGATTGAGCTGTGCGACATATATTCGGAGTTTGAAGGTTTCCAATTCGGTCACAAGTGTTTTGTGGGGAATATCGATTCGTCCAGTCGCATTCGTATAAGAGTACCATTATTCCACGACTCGATATTTACCTCCCTTTTCAGCTTCGGCCCCCATCTCCATGGTTCGTACGGAATACTTGCAACAGACTTCACTTGGCAGACACAGACTATCCACCAATCATCGCCTCATTGTCTAGTGTGGTAATATTTTCGGCCACTTTCCCGGTTTCACCGTACTCGGAGTCTCAGACGGCCTTGCTTCTTCCGAATTGTTTCTGGAATCCGGACAGGCTGGAGCCTGGAGGTGGAGCCAGTTCGAAAACCCAGAACCATGGTTCATCGCAGAGTTCTCCGTATTCCGAACTGATTCGAGAAGAGTGGTCAGTGAGTCCATCGGCATATCGACCCGACGAACCTTTTTCCCCATAGTCCACCAAACGTTCTGGGGCCGGGCAACTGCCCGTCTGCCCCGTTTGAGTTTCGATGCCTCGGCCTCGGTTGTCAGCGCCTCCCCAAGTCCCCATCCGATCAGTGCGTTCGACAACCTGGGGGCTGGGACTTGAGCGTTACCTCCCTACGATTCGGAACACAGATCCACCCCGTACTATGTAAACCGCTAAACGGTTGCAGGGACAAAACGTGCGTCGTGCACATAATGCAAACTGCACAGTGCACAGTGCGGAGACGAGTCTTCATTTCTTCTCGTTGAGACCTGAAGGTTTCGCCGCGGGGCTCCCCTGCACTCCACTGGGGTCTTGGGCCAGAGTTTGTCGGGGAGAGTGGAAGGACAGCCGGGTCCGCGACGGCGCCACCTTGGTGCTGCCCCTGCCGCTGGGACCTGGGCAGGATAGTGGACTATGCCACTATGGACCTGACAGCGACGAAATGAGAACGTCGACCTCGTCCTGTCCGTGTCGCCGATGTTAGAGAACAGCTAAAATGAGACCCAACCCTAACAAGCCCCTACGCCAAATACCGAAGGTCTGGATGATCGGGCCCGTTACAAAGGACTTGGTAACATTAGCAATACCAAATCTCCCAATGCAACACCAAGGAGACGCAGGTCGACGATTCAAGTCGGTGGGGGGGGCAAGTGACCAACTCTGTTTTGGAAGTTAAAGTCTAAAGGTGATAGATCGTTTCCTAAAGGATACAATGTCTCAACTCTCAACTCGCGTGCCCAATATCCATACGTCTCCTCGGGAACCTGCAGTAGAAGCTCATTGTCAGCGGCAGATTACACTGCTGCCTGGTGGATACTCCGTACTCCATCGGATAATTCCATGGCCTCATAAGTCATAATCTCATTTCGTGAATTCGTGATCCAATATTCCGTCATCCATATCTCAGATAAAACTCACCCAAGTCCGAATCCTCCGCGACGGTCGCTTTCCATCCCACTCCCCCACCAGGCGGCCAATGCCGCTGAAATCCCACGCAAGGTCGTGGGGTTCAACATGTTCAATATCCAGCACGACATTGGTTGCTGGAGACCCAATCCGACACAGACCTGGACCTATCACGTTCTTCATCCGCCCCTTCGGGTCAAGAGTGGGGTTTTGAGCGTATTTCATCCTGTCTCAATTCTCAACGGCGATGATGTGATGCGTTTACGGTGTATCAGTTCCTACTCCTGAGCCCAACAGTGCCTACCAGAGAGTTCACGAGATAGGAAGAAACAAATTCACTTTGTGCAATGTAACTACTACCGTCCATACAAATGTCATCGTTTTGTAGGTTTATTTTGGACTTGGTATCGTTTTAGTCAGACCTCCCAGGAGCAGCATCCCGCGCGCGCAGGGCCAGGTACCGGTAGTACTACTGGTAATATGAATGGTACACAAACGCATGATTTTATTACCCCCTGTAACCTGACTGTGTAAGATTCCTGCCGAAGTTACCCAGTACTGGGTATTGGGTATTCCGTATTACATCCACACATACAGAATGTGTGTCGTACATGGGCACTTTGGTGTCTGTTGAATGATGGGGAACCACGGTCCTGGGTAGTACTACGGCATGGGACAGAAACACCATCTTTGGTTAGGTACCCAAGTGTGGAATCTCGTCCCATGTCCCCACTCCGTTGTTGTGCCTCACGGGGAACCGGGAAGTGTACCTTACCTGAACAGTCGGGTGCAGCAAGCATCTAGATCAGGGGCTTGTCTCGTCCTTGGCCCCTTCAGTGGTAACGAACATGAATCGTAAGAAGCCGATGGGTCGGGGTTTGAATTTGGAGGGTTGTCTTAATTACGATTCGACTCCACACTGTACCCCGATAATTTGCGATAGCGTAGTGCTGGGTGACGGTACCCAACTGAGAGGTTACTGGTATAGCAACTGAATCGAGAGTTCGTGAGTCGTTGCATACTATCCGTATGTATGAATCGAAAGGCCTTGGTCGCGGGACGCGTTGAGTCATTGACTGAGGGATATGGCGCGTCAACTAGTCCCACTTCCCAGACCCACGGCACGGGGTTAGTAACGACTAACGAGTCAGAGTTGGTTTGTTGCATTACGACGGTACGGGACGCTGGACATTAACCGTTCAGGAGTTGGCAATACCCCACATCCGTGTTTGATGCAATATAAATGTACGACTCATGGCCTCATTTCCAATATCGATCGGCATGGGCAAAACTCCTTGCGATCTGTGCGAGGACCCCTTAACAACCAGGCGATTGGAATTCCCAAAGAACAGGATGAACATGTGGAGACTGGAGAACGGAATGGAGCGACCGCGTGTCAGTATCCTGTGCTGTTACCATGCCAGGTAGAATAGGAATATGTCTTGAAATGGCCATCTGGTTGGAAATACCTTGGTCAAGGCCTGACAGCCGAGGGTGGTAGATTTGCAATGCCTCTTTAGGGGTGCTCTGTGATGGGACACTTCCTTATCGGGATCATCGTTTCGTATGAACGTAGGGTATCGATACACATCCGCAACAGTTGCTTCCGCTCTCTCCTTGCCGTGACAGATAGTTAACGGCGGTCTCATTGCCCTCAGCAAGAAATTCGAAGAGCCAGGACAAGCTCGTTTATCACTTCTTCCTGCCCCCTTTCCCTTTGACGGCCTGCTTTGCCCCCTTCTCTTCACCCGCGATCTCCTTGAACGCAGATTCGAAAATACATTTCCTCTCGCCAACAAATCCCTCTTTCATGCCCAATGGCCAGATGGCACTTGATGCCCCCGTTCCAATTTTCATGCTCTGTCCCAGGATGATACACTCACTGACCCCCTCGACGCGATCCGTCTTCATTCGCCAAGCGGCCTCGAAAAGATGATCTGGAGTCTTCTCAAAGCTCGCCAATTGCAGCACGCTGTCCCTCATCTTGGCCAGACCAAATCGCGTGATTCCGAGCACATCTCCCTTATACGTCATGACATCGGCGAGTAGCTTCATGTGTCGAGGGTCGACGTCCATGCTTGCCATGACCTCGCGGATCTCGTTGACGATGGTGGTACGCGCAGCTTCGATGCCGAGGACTTCCTTGGCTTCGATGACGGAGTTGGTCCAGGTATGCAGTCCATCGACGCCTTCTGTGACCATGCAAGCCTTGAGGCCGTAGCCCTCAACCTGAAGGTTGATGTCTTCTTTGCCGGTTAGGGGGTTAATTGAGTCTGATTTATTGATGATTGCCCGAGTGGTATCAGGATGCCCGGACACCGGAACATTAGGAATGGCCCGACGGAGGGATTGAACGACATGGAAGTACTCGTCTTTAGATCCCGCAATGCTGCGTTTCTTAGGGCCATACGAGATGTCCCCAGGGACGTTGATACGAAGATGTGAGCCAATAGCTGTGAGATCTTTCTTTGATAGTTTGAGTCCTCGGGTGCGGACGATTGCGGTCATGATATGGCTCATGTTGACGTCCAACTGAAGTTTATCGATGATGTCGGTATCGAGTCGCATGTTCAAATAGCATCCGTCAGCGTACCACACGTCCTCAATGTAGACAATAATCTGGACCACTATCAGTAAAAGTTAAAGAGGAGCGTAGTGCGTCGCTCACCTCGCGCAAATATGTCTTCTCAATCTTGCCCTGCACAATTCGAGCGGCTTGCTCGCTACTCTTGTTGAGAAGAGCACAATTGATAACCGGCGTGCTGATGACTTTCGAGGCGTTAATGATCTCCTTGATACGGGGCACACCCTGAGTCGTATGCATTCCACCAACACCAGCGAAATGGAAGGTCTTGAGTGTCATCTGAGTACCCGGCTCGCCGATTGACTGAGCGCCTACGGCACCAACAGCATGCCCAGGTTGGACCATGGACTTCTCATACTTCTCAAGACAGGTGATGATGAAAAGACGCAAAGCTGTTAGCGAGATCTTAAGCACGCCATCTACCACGGATGTACGTTGCTCCAATGTCACATTTGGAGCCGACTTTTTGGATCGTCGTGAGGACTCCTCATCTTCCAGAAGCTGGTGTGTATCTCTCTTGAGACCAACAGTGTGACGCGCCCGTTCAAGTCGAGAGCACTTGTCCTTCAAATAGCTGTGAATGGTGGCAAGGAACCCTCGACCGCCCTCTCGCTCGTCGGTCTCGCTCACGTCACGTGCCAGGAAAGGGAGTGATTCTCCCGTGAGCTTCGATCGCTGGTATTTGAGTTTCTCGTAGGCCAACATTGTTCCCGTGGTCTCAAGGATCTCATTTGGAAGCAACCCTTTATCTTCATGTGCCCAAGTAGCAGTGACTGACTGCACGAAGGTCCTGTCGAAGTTGACTGGCTGGGCACTCCCTTCCATATCTGCTGGATCTAGTTGATCGTCCCCGAACTGGAATTGGACCACGCCAGATGCGCTGTTCCTTACTGTCCGGTCATATTGGCAGGAAAGATCTTCCAGACTCTTCATCAGTCGCCTGCTCATGTATCCGGTCTCTGCGGTCTTCACCGCCGTATCGACGAGACCTTCTCGACCACTCATGGCATGGAAAATGAACTCCGTGGGATTCAATCCGGAGAAAAAGCTGTTTCTCACAAAGCCTTTGCTGGCTGGCTGTCTCGAATTTTTGGGGAAATGGGGCAGCGTACGATCTTGAAAGCCGTCCGCAACTCGTGCCCCCCCGATCATTTGCTGTCCTACACCGGCAACCATCTGAGAGACGTTGATGTTGGAGCCTTTTGAGCCACACTTGGCCATGATGAGGGGCGTATTATGCCTGCTAAGCTGCTCGAAGCAAATTGCGCCTGCTTCCTGACGGACCGACGAAAGGATGCCGGATATTTTGTTTTCCATGGTCTGTTCCTCGTCGCAGCCAGAGTCACGTTGCAGTATACCTTGCCCTCGTTTCTGGATAAGTGCGTCACACTCCGCATATGCTCGCTCGATAAGCGCTCGCTTCCGCACCTCCAAGTCCTGGCTGGGGTATACATCGCTGATACCGATGGAGAAACCCTGGTTTGTAAGCCATCTCGCGGACAACTTTGCCACGCCATTCATTGCTTGCACTGCATAGTCCGGACCATAGTCTCGCAGCAGGACGTAGAACAAAGAATCTTTCTTTCCCTCTCCGACTGTGGATTTATCCATTACACCGCACATGACCTCTGAATTGCGGATGACCAAATATGAGTCATCAATATTCAGGTCAGGGGCTTGCCCGGGGGTCGGCTTGTACTGTTTGCCAGCAGCGTCGAGATTGATGAGGATGTTAAGCGATTTATTGGGACGCATCAACACATTGAAGACCTGCTTGCCTGTCCATAGCCGTTGCGGTTTTAGGATCGCCGGTGCAGGAATTTCGATCTTATGGTATTGTCGGGTGTTTGGGTCGTAGAATGACTGACCGTTGAACATGAACGAGCAAACCTGTGTAAAACCTTTCCGGTCATAGAATCTATCCTTGTTGCTCAGCAGATATGCGGCGGATATGAAGTCCTGGATCGCTGCGATGATCAGGGTGCCATTCTTCGGAGTGATCAGGTTGTGTTTGACACCCATCAACTCCATCGCCTCGGTCCTTGCTTCTTCGGTCTGCGGCACATGCAGATTCATTTCGTCACCATCGAAGTCCGCATTGTAAGGATTGCACGCGCACTCGTTCAGGCGGAAAGTCCGACCGGGTCGGATTTTTGCTCTGTGGGAAAGGATAGATAGCTTGTGCAAGGACGGCTGTCGATTAAACAGGACAATATCGCCATCCTCGAGATGCCGCTCGACCAGATCGCCAATCCGAAGCTCCTTGGCGGTATACTCTAGCTTAGCCGGCGTATTCAGAAAAGCCAAAACGATCTTCCTTCCGTTCATCTTCGTGATGCTGACCGCGCCGGGATGCTTTTCTTTTCCGTTCCGAACACATCCGCGGAGTTTTTCCAGGTTATAGCGAGACACTTTCTCCGGGTACGTGAGAGTAACCGCAACGCGCTCAGGCACTGCTACCTCGTCGATACTGAGATTCGGGTCCGGACCAATAACGGTACGGCCTGAGAAATCAACACGTTTGCCGGACAGGTTGCCCCTGAATCGACCTTGCTTGCCTTTGAGACGTTGACAGAAGCCTCGGATGCTTCGCCCGTACTCCGGTTTGTTAAGACCTGGGACATCGCTATTAATGTACATGGCAAGCTGCAGTTGTAGGAAGTCCCACTGTTCCATGATCTGCGAGATTGGTTGGCCTTTCATCAGACCAAGTCGGATGAGGTTGTTGATCTGGATGATGTCTCCAAGCTTGTTCGTAATGTCGTCCTCCGTCGTCGCCTGTTCTTGGGCAACAGAGGGCCGGATGTTGACCGGTGGCGCAGGGACATGAGTCCAAATGAACATTTCAGGACGCCCTTCGCGAGGGTTCAGTCCGAGTAATTCGCAGTCGGCATCGGACACCTTTTGGAGAATCTTCAGGACTCTAATGGGATTCATGTCATCGACTGCCCTTTTGACAAACTTATCGAGTTCGGTGCTAGTTTCCCGGGCTACTTCAAATGACTGATCGAATGCCTGTTTCTCCGGAGGGACGACCTTGGACTTAGCCGTAGACTTAGCATAGGCGTCGAATTTGAGGTGGACAATCTTCAGTGGCTGCTGTGGGACTTTGCGGACGGGCCCATTCAGGGAACCACAGTAGGGGCACTGCTTGACCTTCCTACATGCTGTCGTTATCTTCTTGATGTATTGCTGCCGCTGGAAGCTGTCGAGATTAGGTCGTCTCAATGCCTTGAGGTGAATTCGTCGCTCGTCTTCAGTGAGGAGAACATTAGAACAGCTCTGATGACTGTCAGCAGCCACCCCTAATGATATACCGGCTGCCATGGCGTACCTTGCAGACACACTGTAATATTTCGATTGTGAACTTTAGATAGCCGATGTGGAATGCTGGCAAGGCCAGTCGGATCTTCCCGAAGTGACCATTACAACTCATCAAGTCTTCACCGCATGTTTTACACCGACCGTCTTTTGATGTTCCCATTCGATGGTCGAGTGGTCCATTCTCGCAGATTGTTCGGCCCTGGCCTGGTCGAGGGATGTCGTAGAGATTGCGATCGCAAAGCTCGACCGTGGACTGTTTGGCGATGTCTTGTGGTGATCTTGAATGACAATTGTAAGCACTCCAGGCCTGTCATATCCAATGGTTATAAAGCACGTACAAGATGCCGAATCGTAGGGCTTTGATCCTTTTGGGTTTCCGGTCGCCATCATCCGGCGGGGGTGGGGGAGGTTCAAACCGCATCTTAAACTCGGTGATTTTACACTCGCATCCTTGAAGGGGGTCCCATGGGGCGTTGAGGTGTACGGAGAGGCATAAAATACAGGGTATTTTCCGGGAGAAGCGAGGAAATGAGGAATAGTAATTAAGGGACCGTTGGCGATGATGAGGTGAAGTGAGGAACAGAAGTCCGAAAAATATCACGACAGCATTGTTGGTCTTAATGGTTGGCCGCAGCGGGAGTCAGTCATAACCAATCCGAAACAGGCAACGGCGAGTCCAGATCCCTGCAAGATACATCCCTGACGATTTCCATCTGGAGTGGATCATCACGTGATTCCCCAGCTACACTACCGTCCCGTTATCGATAAGCCGGCAGCTGCACCACTAGCGCAATGCCCCGCTGTCTGCTTCAGCCTGGACATCTCCACGTCAGGTCAACTTCAACTTCACGTTCAGCTTCGCCTTAACCTCCACCTCTCTTTCCTCATTTCTCATTTCCTCATTTTCTCATATGCGAGAACGAGTTTACATTAGTCCGGTGTTATTGGGCAAGTTAGCCTTCGGCGTGATAGGAGATCCGCCTAAGTCGGAGACCTTCCATCCTTTCCTGTCGCACCCTACGTAACACTCCACTGACGTCTGATACGCCTATCTAATTACCCCTCCCCTCCTGCTCCGTGATCAATCTCCCACAGAGAGCAACAGAACTCTTTTGGTTCAAATTACACGATAGTTCGTTGCAAAGGGCGATCGAGAGACCACATTAAAGATGGCTCCAAAGACTGGTAAATGCTCCCCATTTCAAGAGTCTCATGGCACCACTAGCTAACACCGTACCCCAAGTCAAGGTCACCTTTTCCATGATTGAGGGCTGCTCTCAAGATGATCCCCATCAGAGAACTATCACCCTCACGGAAGGTTCAGTCTTCGAGGTTGGTCGTGCCTCTCGTTCCGAGACGCGCCCGGCCAAAGCCACCCGGGAGAATCTCTGGCTTAATAGCCCAGTAGTGTCGCGGAGCCACGCCGAATTGCTTCTTCGTTTTGAACCGGTAGGAAACCCCTCGGCACCGAATCTTGATGCTGTTCGTTCCACATACTCGCGATATCACCACATGCTAGAGAAATTTGCCTTGTCCTCATTTAATTGCTCATTGGATCGGGAACGTTCTATTGACATCCAATCTAGGATCCACAAATCTGTATCGTGGACCTCCAAACGTCCATGCATGGAACCAAAGTGAACGGCTTATTCCTATCGAAGGGTCACGAATGGATCCTCGAAGATGGTGACGAGGTTCAGTTTGGAAACGCTGTTACAACTTCGCGGGGTTTGTTGGGCCAGAGCCGCAATTCCGTAACCTTTAAAACTAACCAGGAAGTAGAGACCTTCCCTGCCCCAAGGTTTCGATTCAATTTTGACGGAACCCCGGGAACTCCCCCGGGAACCCCCCCGGCCTACGCTGGAGCTTCATTTTCTGTTCCAGTTGATGAGGAAGGAGATGGGTCAGACATGCCATCTATACATAGTGAAAGCTCTGAGAGCTTGTGGGCTAGCCAAAGGGCCCATGATATCATCCTCGACCACGACAAGGCACCGGAACGAAATAGCATGTCGACTGAAATCTTCTGCAGTCGCCACCTGGGGAATTGCTCTAGTTCTTGGAATATCTCTGACGAGGTGGAGGAACCTCATGTCTCCCGTAAGTTCATAATCACTGCCCTTGTATCCGCTAGCGACTGACTTTTGTACGAGTCTCCTCAAGTTTTCCATCCGGTCAGCGCCCAAAGTCGGATTTCCTTTACGAAGAGGCTATACGCCGTCAAGAAGCGCAGAAGAACCCAGTTGACTCGACGAGTAAAATTCAAGCCTGGCGTGATAGACATAACATCATGTCAATCCAGAGCCCGCTTCCCCATATAATCGCCAACCCCGATGGGTGCATCCGTTTCGAGAAAGCTCCTACAACCAATGATGAGCATTCTAAACTTAACGGCAAAGAGCGTATTGCAATCGGAAATATATGCGACCAGCATGACAAAGAAGGCGACATGGTTTCTCGCACCCCCGGCACTAAAGACGTGTCGACCCCATTGGAGAAATCAGGCGATGCAGCGCAACTTGGAGCACCTTCACTTGTTCCGAGTAATCAACCCCAAACGGCTGCGCCTACGTTGAGCAAGGAGCCATATATGTCACTCTCTACCGAATCTACGGCGTCTTCCAGCTCCATCGAAGCTGCAGAAATCTCTGCTGGATCCAATCCGACTGCTTCCAGCCCGATTGTCAACGAAGCAACAGGTGGTGGCAGATTGGACATCGCAGATAGTTTTCAGGGGAAGCTACAGGGCAGTTCTATTCCAAAGTCATCCATCGCAGAGCCCGAGCCCCTCACCTGGAAGCGTAAAGTAGCTCAAATGAACGACTTCGGCCTTGCGGAGTATACTCCCACCCTGTCTGTCGATGGCAGGGCCAAAAAAACTATGAGAGGCTGCAAGCTATCGCGCGAAAACAAGTCCCCTCACATCGAGCCTAAAGCCACTGAACCGAAGGTCACAGATCGCGCAGCAACCGTTGAGGAGCCTCGCCGCAAGAAGATCAAGACCAATCCCATTGCGAAATTTGCAAAGGTGGTTATGCCTGCTGCTTTCCTAGGTGCTGTTGTCGGTGGCGCAGCTACGTTCATCGGATTGGCGTCCATGGCGGAATAATGGATTTCATCCCTCGGGAGTCTGCAGGCATGGATTGCCACGGGATCAGAGCGGACAAGAAGGGATGTAGTAAACTTTTTTCACTTTGATATTGCCCTTACGAGGGCAAGGAGTCTGGATTATGTGGGTGTTGGGGGTCGGTCGACGGGCGGTTGGGTTGGCGAATTACGGCACCTCCATGACATGATACTAACCAGTGTGTGAGCTGAAAGTTTCTATGTCTGCACTATGGGTGATACAGAAAGGAACAGTTGTGGGCGTTTCGGTCGGAATTACATAGGTTAGGTTTATGCTGTGGTGATACGTGCGGCTATTGCTGCTATGCAATCAATTAATCATGCAAAACATAAGCTGTACCGGTAGAGCGCCACCTAGTGATGCTACCAATGTGTGACCGGAAACAGACTTCAATTCGGACAAGCTACCAAGCCATGTGCCCTGCACACGTCTTCTACGGGACCTTAGATCAACAGATTAAGGGTTAGAAGAAGAATCCCCAAAACATACATACTTCAGTTGGGCCTTCCAAGAGTTCAGGGCGCCACCCCGACCCACTTCTGCCGATCTGCATGTATGATCAGCATCGTGATCAGCATCGCGATCGAGATAGCACAAGAGTGCTTGACTGGACCCACGTGTCTCCACAATGAAGATGCTCATCCTCTTCCAGACAAAACTTGAACGCCTTTTGAAGCCATGCTCGACTAGGATTCTCGGAGGTAGGTCCGCTGATTATGTGCTCTCTTGTACATAGTTGATAGTAGGTTGAGTATTGTGTTTCTTCGCGGTCCAGGCGGCTGGGCCGCATTGGTTCGGAGTCGACGTCAGGTTGCGGATGTTGCTCAGGACCTATCCCGAATAACGTAGCCTTAGTAGGCATGTGAGGCAACGCAAGGCAGCTCCTGGTATCCTGGTGGCATGGAAAAGCGTTCGCCATGCGGTACTCCCGATTGTATCACCCGACAAAAATATGTCACCAGACCGGCGGACGACGAGGCCTAATATCTCTTCTAGGTTGCACTACGATCCGGCGAGCGGTCCGCTTATCCAAGCGGATCAAGGAATGGTGCGAGTCTTATATTCTCGACGGCGACGGCGATCGCGACCTTGGTTCGGGATGTGAGGACACAATGCGAAGCGGTGAAAGACTCGAGGAGTCGGAGAAACGCGTGGTCGTAGTGACATTTCGTTTCGTTGCACATAGGGGCACAAAGGCCCAGCACTACGGCGACGCATTCCCGAGGGGCCCAGACGATGTGGTCATGTTGCATCCAAGAGTTCATGGACTTATCCATGATCCAGGAACCGGCATTCCAGAGAAACGAACAATCATGGTAATTTACACTACATCTGGTGTGGCCATCGGGGAGTCGGGGATGCTGCAAGCTGGTAAGTTAGCGTCAATAGAAGCGTAGTCTGACGGGGAATGGAATAATAGCTTTCGTCTAGAAATTTCTGCTGAGCAACTCGAAGAACAAAGAAGATATTACCAGGACCAAGATCGTGGAATTGGGCGGAGCGCAGGGCTACTGCGACCGTTCGTTCGGAGTTTCAGTTTCGGCGGACCGTCAGAGAGTCTTCCATTAGTTCGCGCATATCCGTTCGCAAGAATTCTCAAACCTGTATCAACTCACCAGAGTGTAATATCGAGTATCGGGCACGGTCCAAACGTCATACGGTACTGAGACAACAGTCTGGGGAACATGTACCGCTTTGTAGTAGACTAGATTTTGATGATATGATTAGACTCACTGGCGCATACGTCCATTGTAACCTCTTGGTAAGACTGTGCTTCCACATGTGCTGGTTATGCGCTATTGCTTACAGTAACCATCACACCACCTTTGTTGGTGCCGGCCCGGACTGTTGGAAGTGAAATAGGAAGGCCTGGTCCAAAAGCATAGGGCAAAAAACCCTCATAAGGGGTTGGATGAATGGATCGAATAGAATGCTGTACGTCCCTCTCTCAGACTGTGTGATCCCGAATATAAAAGGACCGATAATGTCTGTCCGCAGGGATGCGTCAACGTGGTATCAATTGTACGGGTGAATTTGATGAAGACCGCATTCGCCAGTGATATGAACTGGTCTGTACCGTAGGCCGTTCGTCGATCCGGATAATATTTCGAGTAGTATATAAGAAGGCAGTAGCTGCTCGCCATTGAGTGTTAACTCCCAACCCATCCCACTAATTCAAAAAGCCTTTCCGCCTTTGAACCTAGCCGAACATTCTTAGACCTACCCATCAATCAGTCTTCGCTTCAATACACAATGCCTGCCCACGGTTGTGTTGCGGGTGTCATCATGAGCACTTGTCCTTCGTGTGGAGGGAACCCTGTGTGGTCAGTGAGAAGCTCCGTCGCTGCGAGATTGAAGCTCAAGACATCGAACAGCTACCGCGAAGGCCGATCCTGCAAACAGTGCATGAATAGAGGAGTGGTCGAAACCCCCTGCCCCTACTGTGTTGTAGCAGACAGGGCCAATACGACCATGACTCCAAGAACTTCGAAATCGTTAACACCGGACCCATAGCTGCTGCGGATGGCCTTGACGAGGCGGCCGTTACTGGAGGGATCTGTCTGGTTTAGTTGAGACACAAAGCCAGGTGCTTTGATGGGTGATGGAACGATGGCGAATCCTGATTATCCTCCTCTTCGCGTCCTAGATAGACTTGGCTGCCGACTCACCGTCGCATCCTGTGGAATGTTGTACGTGGAGTACCTTCGAACCGTATCTTGGATCTTTCTTTGTTATCATGATGATTGTACACGTTAGCAATTCATTCTCTCATTGGAGTGGCAATGATCTTTAAACCTGCTCCCTTCGCAACTTCAAACTGCTCTCGTGACCTAAATGACAGGCCCAACGGCAACCCGAGGAGCGCATCGTGAGACCAAGGGTCGCCTGCTCCCTTTGAAATGGCGGTCCGACACAGTTGTTTCAATCCCATGCAGGGATACACAAGAACAGAGAACGTGCCAGTTGCCTATGCGCCTTTAAGGCTCAACTGCCCTGGCAGAGAGGCTGAAAATGATGCATAAGTAATGGTAGCTACCCATTTCCGGTTCGAGGGATCGTAGCAATGTTAGCAGAACTTGGGTTCAGAATCCCGAATCCCGAAGCTCTTTTGTGTCCCCGTTCGTGCAGGAGGTATATGCATGGATTCCCTGTTATTATCTGCTCCCATGACACCGGTCCGGGTGCTGAATACGATTTGACAATGAGAAAACGGAGACAGTGGAACAAGCTTAACTGCGGCTATTCTCGCTACAGCACTCTACTTCAGGATGAGAAATGGATCGGTATTGTGACGTCCGAACCATGCTCGCCTGTCACCTGCTCTTCTTGGTGCGTCCATTCCCATGCAGCTCGCAATGATTATGGAAGCGAACATATTGCTGTACTATGTTTCGAAATTCGGCCTGGATCGTTGAAAAGCAACCCATCGTAGAAGGTAGGAAGAGCCTGTCTCGAGCTGCGAGACGAAGGACATCGATGCCGGGGCAATGGACCAATCAAGACTGGCCAACACACATTGCTATTGCTTGACGAGAATGATATGGCCATATGGGTTGTCGAGATCTCAGCAGTGAGAATGATGTGTGAAACGAGAACATTGCAGTTGAAAATGATAGAAGTACGAACCTAGAAAGAGTTCCCACGCCTCATAGAAGTCAGTAAGCACTTATCTGTACCTACGAACAGGTATCAGGATACTTTTGATGCCTCCGTAGTACGTATACCTCATCGTCCTTGGATTGTTCAGACCATCCGTGGGCTACAAAGGTCACATTTTCGGCGTGCACAAGAGGGCCATAACAAGACATGCCAATTAGACGCCGAATTCATTGTCCCGACCACCAATCATCTACCTACCTCTAAGTCCTTTGCAATGTTCGATGGCCGAGATTCCTCCTTTTCGGAGAGATACACCTCCTTCCCCAACCCCTCGCTCTCTGCTTTCTCTGTAGCTATTTTCCTTTGTTGCCGCGCTTCTCGTTTTCTCATTCTCGTCTCTAGTCTCTTTCTATCCTCGGTCATCTGTCGAATCAAGGTGCTCTTCATCCGGATCTTGTGCCCGTATCGGTAGAAGATGAACGGAATCGGTGCCAAAAGCACCTCTAATAAACCCAGAAATGTTCCGGCCCAATTCGGTCCAAGGCGATCATATAATAGAGGCCCAGCTAACGGCAGCGTGCCGCCAAGGACGGAGCGAAACACAGAGTTTCCAGCAAGTGCGGACGCGGCGTATATGCCATATGAGTGGACGAGGTAGGTCGAGGCGTAGATAAAGACGGCCGTGTTACCAGCCCCAAATGGCACGCCAGCGATGATGGGGACAATCCAGTGCACGTTTGGTGTGCACGTCCAGGCGAACATCAGCTCGCCCACCGGTATCAAGATGGCTGCGATACAAACCATGCTCACCATCGCTTCCGGAGGCGGCTTTCCTGTCTCCGGGTCTTTCTCGTGGGCATTAATCATGCGACGGATCATTGGCTCGAGACCGATGACAAGTAGAGAACCAATGCCTATACCGGAAAAGGCAAGGCCAACAAACCCTGGGGTCCAGTGGCGGAGGTTTGAGAAAACATAGGGATATGCAACAAAGCAGAGGTAGAGAATCCCATAGATTACAGCAATGTAAATGTCCCAAAATATGCTGCGGATCGTCAGTCATGGATCCTTCTTCGCGATATAGGCGGTGGGCTCACCAAATGGGTTCCGTCACCGTGATGATGAAAGGCCGGCTCAGATTGAGCCTCAGCAATGGCCAGAACGCTGTTTGGTCGTCATATCTACTCGCCCACCTTTGATTTCCCGTCTCCTTTCGTTTTTTCGCGGCTCTTGACCGCAAGATTTCCGGGGCATATGTCTCCTTGATCGTGCATAGCGATAAGAATGCCACGCCACTACAGATGAGGACGATCCAATTCGTCCATCTCCAGCCCAGGTACTGATACGCGAACCCACCAACCAGAGGGCCAAGGACTGGCTGAAAGGGAGAAGATGTTAGCACAAGAGTGTATGCCGGAAACTTGCATCTCTGATGATATCCAACCTCGAATCCCGCGGGTAGACATCGGAAGGAGCACAAAACACATACGAACAATGGGGAAAGGAACTTACACCATTCATAGGACCGATACTCCATATACTGAACGCCATTGCTCGATAGTCTTCTTCCACGATGTCATTGACCGTTCCCGGAGCATTACTGATCATCGCACTTCCCGCAATCGCGCCAAAGAATCGCGTCACCAGGATCGCCTCCAAATTCTGGGCCAATGAACACGGCAAGACCAAAAGACCAAACAGCAGCATCGCTATCAAATAGATCGGCCTCCGGCCATACATCTCTGACAGCGGCGCTAGTAGAACTGATCCTACCGCCAACCCCAGCAAATATGTGGTCACGCCCAAGACCGCCGTTGTCTGGGACTCGACGTGAAACTCGGCCATGATACCTGGAATTGCCGAAGTATATGACGTGGAATACAGGACAACAGTCGCTGTGGAATATGAAACCGAGCCAATTATCCATCCCTTATACCAAAATGCCCATGTCATTGGGTTCCCTGGATCGCTGTCTTCAAAGTCGACTTCGAAGTCAGTCTCGGCCCCTTGGGTGCCCACCGTCGCGCGGGTTCCTGACTTGGCGAGGACACCGCCATCGGTACAGGATGTAATGGGCGCAAAGAAGTTGCCGTCCACATGGCTGTCGTGCGTGGTGTGTCTGCGGATGTCGGCAGAGGCGTGCTGGGACGGAGCCTGTAGATGTTCGATCTCGTCGCCGTAGGCACTTGTTGATGATTCGGACGTGGAGGATGAACGAGAAGGTGGTTCTGCATGAATTGAAGTCTCGACGGACTCTGGGGAGTCCTTCATGATAGTGTGAAAAGCAATGGGGAGAGACGAATGGATATCAGTTCATGCTACGGCAACAGATCACTGTCCAAATCAGACTTTTATAGGTCGCCGCCGCCTTCTGGATATGTATAAATGCTGTAGAGATGTCTTAAACGGGGTGCTACCCTCGGAAATAAACCGCAAAGTCCGAGCAATGAGCATTGATAGGGATGATTCAGTATGAACAACGACTGCAAAGATGCTGTGAGAAAAAGAAGGTGCGGAGCAAATAGAGTGGAACCATGCGATTAACAGTTGAAGGAGAAGACATGACTAGACTAAGGAATCTGTGATGAGTGAGGTCTAGCAGACCTGGTGTGCGTGGATACTTCGGAATTGCGGAATTGCGGGACTTAGCAACTTAGCATCAGTCTGGTGGTGGTTGGAGAACTGGAGCAGAGATCTGTAGGCGACTCCGACGCTGTGGGGTCTGGGGTCCCCCGTCATCTGTTGCCGACTTATCCATCGACCATGGACTGTCGAATGGTATCATCGACCATCAGTGATCAGATCGTATTATGCGTGCATCACAGCAATCACTGCATTGAGTGCATTGCGTGCATCCGCCTCGAAGGATAAGAGACGGACGAGAGACGGGTGGGAGTGTTGGATGTTGGATATTGGATGTGGCACTGCAGAGTAACTGACAGGAAGCACCCTTCCGCCAAGACCGCCTTAGCAACCGAATTCCGCAGCCTAGGATGAAGGAGTTGGGATAGATTAATTCAGGTAGGAATTCATTCCGCTTCACTGATGGAAGGTTTCATGGCGTAACATCAATTTCAGCCATATCAAATATCATTCAGTATGTGCATTGATGTCCAAAATTGCTTCCACTACTATCCCTACAGCGAACCGGTACAAAAGCTAACCTCGCGATCCATCTGTCCAAGCTGTCCAACATGCTTTTGAATACACCCAAGAATCCGAATAATTCGATATCGATCCGCATACCAAAAGTCGAACGTTCCCTCAATCCTCCAACCGGCTCCATCTTTAATGGAATTGGTCCTCGGTGACTCCCTTACCCATAGCGCTCGTGCTGCTGACACCGCCAGTCACCATCTTCAACAGGTTATCGGCATAGTTGGCTCCGCTCCATTTCTGGTGCGTAACGACTTCGACGCCTCGCTCCATCTCAGGCTCCTGAATCAACTCTCCATATGCCCGCATACCATGCTTGGAGAATGCTTTTGAGAAGGTGTCGGCAATCAGCGCAGTCTGGTGCAGACCGGCAAGAGTGATGAACTGCCAGCAATACCCAAGTTCGCCAAGGCGCTTGATATAGGTTTCCTGTTGGTCACGCGGCATGGCCGATTTCCAGTTGAAGGAGGGAGAAAGGTTGTATGAAAGTCTGGAAATCCCATTAGTATCAATTGGGCCATATGGGGAGAAACACTCACTTCTGCTCCGGCCAGACGGCGTGCACGCCATCGGCGAATTCCTTCGCCTGCGCGTAATCGGGCAGCTTGCTCTCCATCCAGATCAGGTCGGCATAGGGTGCAAACGCCACTGCGCGATTGATGGCGCATTGGCAACCGCCCTGATAGCGGTAGTACCCTTCACGGGTTCTCGGTGCCTCCCAGTTGAAGTAAACATCCCGACCCAAGATGCCTCTCGCGATCGCACGGGCATCGGCGTTCGATTTGCCCTTGATCTGCTGTGCGAATTGTTGGATCAAAGCCTGCTTGTTCGGGATCTGACTGGCGTTGATGGCATCGGCCACAGCTTCACTGAAGAGCTTGATCCCTGCCTTTTGGAGCCAGGTGTCCTCAATGGCCTGAAGCTGATCGCCGTTCTTGCCAGCCTTCTCTGCGGCGAGCATGAGATCATTCAGGGGCTTGAGGTCAGGGTTGGTGCTGCCCTGGATGAAAGCATGGTCCCGCGGGTCGATGGTAGTGGTGATGAGAGTTGCGGCTTCGGAATCGGTTCGGGCAATTGCGAGAAGATCAGTGCCTGTAGGAGTTCAGCAATGATGTTACCGATGACCCTGGTCTTTCCCAAAGATTCGATGAATCGAGGAAGAGCAGGTATGACTCACCCATGATGTCTGCTTGAGCCCTGATGGCGACAAGACGGTTGATGTGCTCACTGATGGGCACCAATACCTTTCCTGCCATATGTCCGCACTTCTTCGTGCCCGGAGCCTGGTCCTCGATATGGATTCCTGCAGCGCCCCTCTCAATAAAAAGCTTAGTCAACTTCATCACTGCTGTCAATCCTCCGTGGCCAGTGTCAGCATCGGCGACGATCGGACGGAGGAAATCGGTATTGGCGAGCTTCGAGCGCTCTTGGATAGGGGTAGACAGGCGCTCTTCGCGTTGCTTGCGGTCGTGGAAGAGCTGGGCCATGAAAAGGTGATTGACCTTGTCAGGAACAGTAGTCTAAGAGAACAGCCTGTGAGCCGACAGAATCTCACTGGCTGGGTAGCCATCTCTGGTCATAGCGGCTGAGGACAACTTACCATAGGATAATCGGCCAGATCAGGGCCTGGCTCGTCTGATGATGAGGCGGTGGAGGAACACTGCCAGCCGGAGACATAAACCGTGTCAAGGTACTTGGCCATCTGGGTGACCATGACCGGATCAAGACAGCCATAGGTGAAGCTGGCCTCCTTCGTCTGCCATCTGCTCTCCACGATCTTCCACAGCTTCTTGCTCTGCTCATTTCCGGGATACTGGATCCTCAAATTGCCTCTCTTGGCAACAATCTGCTCTGCCGTGAAAGGCCGCTTGGTGTGCCTCCATCTTGAATCCGTCCACCATTGCTTGACGGCGGCCACTTCGGCCTGATATTGTTGCTCTTCAGCTTGGATAGATGCCATGATGTGCTTCTGCGACTGAGCGTTGATGTTCTAAGTATGACGACAGGATGACTCGGATCAAAAGTGTACAAGGAGTAGCAGGACTGAGGGGACCCAATTGCTCAGAAGACGCAATAAGAATAGTTGACTGAGTGGAGAGCAAGGAATTTAGGAGCCCACGAGGACAATGGGAGTAAATAAGTACGAAAAATGAAGAAATGTATACAGTGGCCGGATTGTGACTCGCAGCGGGGCCATTCGAGTATATGAAAAACCCGATTTCGCCTTTCCGAACCCAACGTCACAGATCCCTACGCTGGATCCTTGACGACCCTGGGCCAAGGTGATCAGGACCGATCCATTGGTCCAGAACCGTCGGGTTATGCCGGAGCAGCTACGGACCACGCTGACGATGCTTGATCTGCACGTGTAGGGATATGCATTTGTCTGGGGAATTGCCGCAGCCAGGACGGGCAGTGCCTCGGGAGACGCGCATCGGGAGGTGGAATGTAGTCGGAAAGCCGAACTTGGGTGTCGCGTGCGCGAAGACTCAGTCAGTCACTCGGCCATTCTGTCACAGCATCAGACCCAAAAGCCAGTTTACCGTAACCAGTTACCAATTAGCCAGCAAGTAGTAGCTAGTGCGTAAGTAGTGCGAACTGCGAAACTCCGTAGTTACCGTAATATATTAAACCGCGACGTATCGGACCTTGTCGCATCGGCGCCATCGCGGCATCAATCAGGATCTTCCGCTTGGCCGAGGAGTTTCGGTTTCGTCCAATCATACACGAGATGAAGTTTCAATCTAACCGGACTAGGAGTAGCACGGCATTGTCGGCCCGTGATCACGTGGCAGCAATATCGCTCTCACTTCTCCATCTAGGTCGCTACTCCGCACCTTACCTTATTGTGGATGGCGCACCTGGTTCACATGCAAATGCGTCGTCCTGACAGCTAAAGGGTAAGTGCTGTGGCTGGGTATAACATTATAACATCATTAAAGTGGTTCGAGCACGACCAGAGTTGACTGATCTCATGTGATGATGCGAAGTTTCACCCTGATGCGGCCAGATCTTTGTCGACTAAGCAACATCCGTTTACGGAACAACAGCCCTATCGCGATTGGTAGATAAACCAAAAGATCCGCTGGGAAATGACCTCGGCTCGGCCATAAACCGTTAGCCTGATAATGTGCCGCTCTCCGGATTCTTCCTTCTCCAGAATCCATACTCCACACATACGATACAGTCATCCTGTCCTCAATTGCGGAACACTGTACCTACCAGAACTACCTTGAAGCAGCCCGGAGGGTCTGGCAAGGAATCGGTTCTCCGCTGCGCATCAATTAAGAAATATGCTCCAATGGTTCGGAACAACAATTCAAGTAGCGGTGAACCTTTTATTCGCGCTTTTACTCTGTGCCACACTGCCACGATCCTGAGTTACGGAGTATAATGGAGGCTCGGAATAGCCAAAAGACGGAATGTCGGCCCTCAGTCCGTCGACTAAGAGTAAAGTCTCCCGCCTTTCATGGCAGAGGAGAGGCTATCTGTTTTCTAGCTAGGATATCATCAATTCTCCAATGTCTTGAACGGACTCGAAAAATAACAATAGCTTCATAAACCGGACAGTCTTGCATGGTGCCAGCATGCTGTGACAGTGGAGGATGCCATTGTTCGTCTGTGAAAGCATGCACAAGAGACCATTAAAACTGCGATGCCTTAATAATGTCCATAGATCCGATGAGGCGCCTCTTCGCAGCACAGGAACAGCATCGTAATTAAATACGACCATGGGATCAGGATGTCAAGCATCAAAGTCTCTCTGCAGGTCAGTGGTTGAGATTTCTGGCTGGAATGGAATACTTCCGTAGCCACTTGAGAGAGGAGACTTGAGAGGCGAGAGTTTGACAGTCAAAGTGTCAAACCTATGCATGACTCGGGATGACTATGAGTAGCATCTGATATGACTCGGAACGGTCACGTGTATCGGACGACTTCTGGGACGATCGAAATCTTGGCACCAGCGCTTGGACCTCAACTTTCTCAGTGTAATTTTTTCGACGGCACCACAGCACAATCTCACGACGATCGAAAACAGCCATTCTAAAGTTATTTGACGCGGCAACCGTTGAAGATTTGCAAATATGGCCGACGACGAACTCAAGTCCCGAAAGCGAAAGCGAAAGCACGGGAAACAGAGCGAATCCGCCATTACGAAGGGTGACCCTGCAACCCAGAAGGGCAAAGATCTGGTGCCAACAGATGATGCTCCAAAGGCCGACAAGAAGGTTTCAAAGAAACAAAAAGTAAAAGTCAAGGAGGTTGTCGACAAGATTGTTGTGAAGGAGACCGTGCCGGGCCGCGAAGAAGAAGAAGAAGAAGAAGAAGAAGAGCTTCAAGGCCCGGTAGACGAAGTCGAGAGCCACTTTCGCGACGCTCAAGGCGATACGGAGGTTGACGGTGCAGACGAGGAAGATGCCGGCCCCGTCGAGAACAAAGACGGCGAAAGTCCTTCGGAACAACTGGACTTGCCTGGCGTTATGGCGCCGCGACTGCCGACCACCGGCGACGAGCCGACGAAGTTCTCCGAATTGAACCTGAACCCCAAGACAATGCAAGCGATCGAAGGCATGGGATTCACGGAAATGACGGAGATCCAACAGCGTGGAATACCTCCCCTGTTGGCAGGAAGGGATGTTCTGGGTGCTGCGAAGACTGGATCCGGGAAGACTCTTGCCTTCTTAATCCCGGCGGTCGAGATGCTCTGCGCATTGCGGTTTAAACCGCGAAACGGTATGAAATGTGCAATGGGGTTCTGAAGGACAATATTGACTTGTAAATGCAGGAACCGGTGTCATCGTAGTGTCTCCCACGCGAGAACTGGCACTTCAAATCTTCGGCGTCGCTCGCGAGCTCATGGAGCACCACAGCCAGACCTTTGGCATTGTCATCGGTGGTGCCAACCGTCGCGCCGAAGCCGAGAAACTCGCCAAAGGGGTCAACCTTCTCATTGCCACCCCAGGACGACTGCTCGACCACTTGCAGAATACTCAAGGCTTTGTGTACAAAAACCTCAAGGCACTGATCATTGATGAAGCGGATCGGATCCTCGAAGTGGGGTTCGAAGATGAGATGAAGCAGATAGTCAAGATCCTTCCTAATGATGATAGACAGACCATGCTGTTCTCCGCCACGCAAACTACTAAGGTTGAAGACCTTGCCCGCATCTCATTACGGCCCGGCCCTCTCTACATCAACGTCGACTTCCACAAAGACGTGAGCACTGTTGAAGGCCTTGAACAGGGCTACGTAGTCTGCGATAGCGACCTACGCTTCCGTTTGCTGTTTACGTTCCTTAAAAAGCACCCGAAGAAAAAGATTATGGTGTTCTGCAGCAGCTGCGCATGCGTCACATACTACGCCGAGCTCCTGAACTACATTGATCTACCGGTCCTCGACCTTCACGGCAAACAGAAACAGCAGAAGCGAACTAACACCTTCTTCGAATTCTGCAACGCCGACCAAGGAGTCCTCGTTGCTACCGACGTTGCCGCACGAGGGTTGGACATTCCGGCAGTCGACTGGATCATCCAGTTCGATCCACCGGATGACCCGCGAGACTATATTCACCGCGTCGGACGAACGGCACGGGGATCCAATGCCAAGGGCCGGAGTCTGATGTTCTTACAGCCCTCCGAATTGGGCTTCTTGAAGCATCTGAAAGAGGCGCGCGTGCCCCTGGTGGAGTTTGAGTTGCCGGAGAAAAAGATCCTGAACATCCAGAGCCAGCTGGAGAAGTTGATCTCCAAAAACTATTACCTGAACAAAGTAAGTTCCCGTTCCCCGGATCGCGGTGATGCCATTGCTAACGGTGCCGTAGTCTGCCAAAGAGGGCTATAAGTCCTACCTCCACGCGTACGCAAGCCACTCGCTGAGATCGGTGTTCGATATCAATAGTCTAGACCTCGTCAAGGTGGCCAAGAGCTTTGGGTTCAATGCACCGCCACGGGTGGACATCGTCCTCGGTGCCAGCATGAGTCGGGACAAGAAGCCGGACGGTAGAAGAGCATATGGAAGCCAACCGAGCCAGGCGAAGAAGTTCCGAAAGAAGCGAGCGGACCTGGTGCGAACTTGAGGCGAGGACCCCCAATGTTGCGCTAGAGTATTTCAAGCTTATAGATACCATTGAACGTTTTCTCACCTGAATTCTCCTGCTGCAACGCAAGTGGGTGGGCTCGCGTAATCTCGACGTGGGATCCTCTTTAAACCGTCTGCTGTGTCAGGAATGAAGGGCAATGAGGTTATGAGGCGCAATCCTGTTTCGTCTGGTGGCTCGTGTGACTCGGGTTGACCAGCAGGCAGCATCTTCTCATGCCCAGCCATCCATTCTCGGAATTTCTCCAACCAGAACCCATCGCAAACTCCCACCTCGGGCAATAAACCAAACTGTTGCGTAACGAAGTCGGCAGACAGCCACTCTGCGGGTCGAGCGAACACACTCATTGCCGTGGAGCTTCTTATTCTTGGACATTCGATTTCATTATTGTTTGTCACCCGTATTAACTGCCATCGTTTGCTAAAATATCGACTGAGGCTATGTTTCGAATATTGTGGGTGCACTCAATGGTACATTTCTTCAGATTCTGGTACCAACGGTCTATCTTCTATATTAAGGCGGCTCAGTATCGTCCATCACGGACTTCCACCCCGACAGATGATCAAGCCCCTTCAGACTACTTCCGCTAAACCACGTTTCCTTACCAGCTACTTCATCCATGCTCTTTGTATCTTGATCAAGCAATCGATTCCCGGCTGCAAATGTCTTGTCCGCATTGTATTGTGTTTCATGCCGTTTCGTTGGTCTTCAGCGGCGGCTTGTCACCAATGTGTCGGGCCCGAGGCTCTCCAGATAGAGCTGCGTGCAGTTGTTGGGAGCCTCCTTCAGAGAATTTAAGGTTTTATCAATACTATATATCAGTCGCACTGGGACGACACTCCGGGAGACGCTAGGAGGGACCATCGTTTATCATGACATCGACGAAAAGGGTTGAAGAGATATAGACATCGAAGTTGATCTTTCGTGGCTCGACTAAACAGTGTGTTCCCAGGTCCTTCAGGTCCATATAGTATATCCCAAGTAGTGGCGAAGGCGACACCCATATTCTAATGAGGTAAAGTGTCTGGACAGCGCATAGGGCAACTCTACTACTCCGTACAACTACGGAGTAGGTCTGTGAGGAATCTGTCTTAGACGATGGTGCTGTCTAGGCTCCTGCAGCTTGATTGGAATGGCCGGTACTTTTTAGTTCTGGAGCAATGCACCAGTCAAACGTGATAATAATAGTATACGTACCTTTCAATGCGTTTGGCTCTTAAAACTGGCTGATAATTCGTCGACAGGACTGTGGGCTTATGCCTGATCCCGTACGGTTACTGGTTCCAAGCGTTGGGGCCTCAACCACGACGAGACTGCTGAAGCACACCGCTCAACCGACCATCCGTTCGAGCAGTCGTCTGCCTCTGAGTGGTCGATGGGATGCGCACACAAACGTGCCTGGATCGGGTTCACGCATCCGGGTCGGAGCCTCTGAGGAACGTATCCTCGCATGAAGCGGGCCTAGGCAAAGAGGCTCACTCCGTGGGATAGTGATGCCGACCGATGGTTTGGGCGAGGTGGGCTCCTCCACCGGAGCCAGGGAGCAGCCGGCGTGGCAAAACGAGGGCTGTGGACTGGTGGTGTATGGAGAAATGGCTGGTGGGAGGGAGATGATTCGTTAGGATGCTGCGGGAGGAGTTGAAGATGGCAGGGAATGCGCTGTCCAGTGTTTACTCGAAGTCGGACAAAGTACTACTTGACCGGAACTTTTTGTGGGAAGTAATATTAATCCTCCATAGAATAGAATATATTTCGTTTAAGTATTCCGTGCAGAAGGTAATTGGGGGATCGGGGGATCCGTTGGGATTCGGGGTAATCATCGCAGAAATCCATGAAGCCGATAGTGAATTCAGCTAATACCAGGCACCGTATTCTGTACTTGGCTGTCAATATGCGTACGTACGCTTTCCTTGCTTCATAGTTGATAGCCATAACTTTAATCACAACAAGTAAAGGAATATTAGAATATCCAGAGCGTGGAAGAGTGGAGGCGGGCAGACTGGGAGGCTGACGGAGAGTGGGAGGCTAATCAATAGGTTTCCCCAGGACCGAGTCAATGGACAACAACCCTCCAACAATAATAGTATCATCACTGGATGAAAACTGAACAGCTTTGCAAAGAAAAGAGTAGCATCGATACCAATTATCAATGGTAAATCATTAATATTGGGGCATCCTGGACGGAGCACGGAGTCACTCCACTCAGCACTGGCGTTTGTCTGGATCAGTTGCTGTGGGCGACGAGGCCCATCCGCCACCCGACAATTGGAGAGCTTTGAGGTTCCCTGCACAGTGAGAGAGTGCACAGTGATCCCCTCCAGCCACCAAAGTTGTATGACAGTTGTACAGCCCTCACTTGTGAGACCATTATCCCTCCACCATTTTCCTTTCCTCCCCCTTCATTATTCCTGTCGCTGGAATTATTATCGTTAGCTTCACTTAGCTGAATTAATTCCTGATTCTGATTCCTGCCTGTGTGAGTGGGACCGGAAATTTCACTTCCACTTCCCTCCCATCACTCTGGTCCTTCACACATCTCATCTACCATGCTCCGTTGACAACGCATCGCTCAATATCACGCCTATCGCTTCCCCTTCGATCTCCTTACCTACTCCTGAGCATCCTTCTTTGCTCGCTTTTATTTCAATCACTTCGGAATCTGTTGCCATTTCTCCGGGTTACTGAATTCGATCCCTTCAAATGTTCCGCTGATCTTGCTGCAAATCGGGGATTGCTGAGGTGCTGTGCCGTCCTGCAGCAACCGAATCTAGCAGCTGACGAATATCAATTGCAGTCGCAGAAAGTTCGACACAAGAGACACACAGTTACGAATCCTTTGCCCTGCTTCGCCCTTTGAGCGTTCTGCGTTTTTTCCTGCCTCATCCCCCCAAGGCCCCTACACTACTCGACTATCAACCCTTTATAAGGAAAACTCCCCTTCACCGGTCCTTGTGGTCGCGGCACAGCTCTTGTGCTTCCGAAGAAAAAAATATCTTGCAGAAGTCGTTATTTGTATTGTTCCAAATATCGATTTGCCCTAGCTATTACATTTACTATGCATCCAGCCGCCTGATCAGGCTACTGTACGTTCAAGATGGGGGTGGACACCCACCGTTCTCCCAAACGACCTCCACTTCCCGCACCGACCGACACTTCCACCTCTGGCTGGGAGACCGGTCCCGGTGCCCAAGAGACGGATCTCGAGACGGATCTGTCAAGGCGAACCGATCGCACCGACAAGACTTCGTACTCCATCCCCGAGGACGGATCCCCGGTCACGATTACGACAAAGAAGCGTAGAGATAGTGACGCGAAGGGCTCACATAACAGCCAGACGAGCTTGCTGATCGAATATTTCGAAGCCAGCAAAACCGAGGGAAAGGAAACCCGGCGACCCTCCGTCCGCGTGCGAGTCACTCCATCCGGTCGCAAATCCAAACGAGACGGGACCAGCGGCGATCACGTTCAGATCACCCAAACGGACCGCAATCGGACGCCGAGCTATACACGACGGATTAGCCTGAACAACAAGAGCGACAAAGTGCTGGAGGCGAGCGAAATTAGCAACAGCGATCGAAGCAATCTGAGCACCATTCCTCCCGTCGAAGTCGAGTTCATCGAACAGAGCGATATCAGTCGAAGCGACATCAGCCGAGGACCGGCTTTTATCGCTGGATCGGATATCTCTTCGATGCCCCCAGACAGCATGCTCGAAGGCTCCGGCGAGCCTGCCTTCCGCAGCCCGAAGAAGTCCCAAGCTATTAGAGAAGAGGAGAGGATCGAAGAGACGGTACCGGTCCCGGTCGATACGCTAAAAGCACCCACTCGAAGCCGAAGCCTGAGCCGTGAACGCCTTACACAGAAAGCGGTGGAAAAGATCATGAGTCAACAACGCGGCGAGCGAGGGGCCGCTTCGTCGACCAAAGTCAAGGGCGTCGAACGCCGCTCCAGCAGAGATGCCGATGCGAAAGGTGCTTTGCTTGGATCGGAATTGTCCCACAAAAGCGACCGATCGGGGACCTCTGCGATTAGTGGAACCTCGAGCATCAACAACCCGAAACTCCTGGCTACCGTGGAAGATGCAATTCGCCGTCTTATCCTCCCGGAAATTACCACCCTGCGAGAAGAGCAGGCCCGGTATAAGAAAGCCTACTTGCGAGATTCCATCACTTCGACTGGAACGGGCAGCTCGTACGCCACTGACGGCAGACGGCGTGTCTCCAAAGTCAGCAGCGAACCGCGCATTCGGAGCGGAAGCTACGATCATGACGTCCCTTCCGTTTTCACGGACGATCACGGTGAAATGGTTGAAGGAGGTCGACGCCGTCATCGCCGCAGCAGCAAAGACAGTTCGAGCACGGTTCGAGAGGAAGAACGCGCTCACGTCCATCGCAAGTCGAGTGGCGAAAAGAGCGGTGGTCGAGCGCGCGATGTTGCGGCTGGCGCATTGGCCGGCGCCGCTGCGACCGCCTTGACCGCTGCGGCATTGAAGAAGCACGACAGCTCGGGTAACCTTGATCGACGCGAGAGGCGCAAGAGAAAAGGGAGCACCTCAAAGAGTGGAAGCCGTAGTCGCAGAGAAAGCGTTTCCGAAAGCTATGAGGAGACCCGAAGAGAGGCGGGTCCCATCCCCCCAATGCCCATGCAAAGCGAACTGGTTTCCGATGTCACGAGAGACTCGATCCGGAGCATTCCAACCGATGTGACTGCGGGTCCGCTTGACCGAGGATCATTCACACCGAAAGGAAAAACCCGAAGCAAGTCTTCCTTGAAAGAGCGGGAAATCATGGAAGTATCAAGAGGGTCGCCCAGACATATCACCAGCCCGACGACAAGAACCCCCACAAGGACTCCGGTGAGCCTGAAGCACGGCCTGGGCACGTACCACGATAACCTTTCACCCGTCGAGACTGTCCGCAGCGCGAGAAGCGAAAAGGACGTCGTCAGTTCTGGGAAACCCACCCAGGCCAGCGCGGGCGCTGGTATGGCTATCACACCCGCTGCAATGGCTGCGGCGGCCGCGATCGCAAGGCTAAAGCCCGGGGAATTCGATGATGTTTCGGAGGAAGCTTTTGACGGTGCCACTGCGCAAACTCCATCTCGAAGTGTCGTTTCGCCGATCCAAAGCGTCGACTCTTATCGCGACGAGAACGATCTCACCATGGCGGGTGCTCTTGGAAGCCCCGACAGCATGTCACGATCAGGGACAACGAGACCATATCGACCGCATGGATTTAGTATGGAGCGAAGCCACGAGGTCATGGGACAATTCACTCCCAGCCCTTCACGCATTCGTGCAGCCGGGACGCCAGGCAAAGATTCTCCGATTGAGCCTGGTGGTATCGAACGTGAGGCTGAAGAGTTCTTCCGCCGCGCCCATGAGGAGAATGATCGGTACCGAAACGAGATGAGTACGGAGCCTGTCACGTTCGGACCCGAATCTCTTGACGACTACGAAACCAGACGACTCACCCGAATCACGGAAAATACAGAAGATGACTGGACGGCGGACCAACAGAATCTGCGTGAAGTTGGCCAGACGACCGAGTACGTTCGGACCCCTCTCGCTGTCGAGAGCGCCGTCGCGAGTCTCCTGGATCCGAGTACACTGAGCGTTCGGAGTAGCCAAGGAAGCCATCTCGATGCTCCGCATAGTCAAGCCGGCTCCGCAACACTAGATCGTGGACTCGCACAAGATGTCGACAGCCCGCGCAATTTGCAGCACGAAACTAGCGGCGAACGATGGGGCGCGATTCGAGACCAGGCACGTTCTTTGAAGGAGGAGAATTCGATCGATAGAGTCCACCATACTCCGACCAGCAAACAATCGCGCGAGACGCCCTTGTTGCAGATGGAGTCTCCGACTCAGACCGCTTCAATCCGTGCTGTGAGTCGGGAGCTACAGCGAGAGCCTTCAGTGACGATGTCTGCCCGTGGAATCCCTGGCCAGGATGAGCCGGCGATTGGCTTCATTCCAGACGATGAGAGCGATATCATCACGAATCCGACCGAGATCCAAGGCGCGAAGAGGCTGAGCGGCAGTGACAAACTAGGATTTGACAAGCGAGCAGCCCTTGCTGCGGCGGCGGCTGGTGCGGTTATGGAAATCGGGGCTCGCGGCTTGTCGCGGGGAAAGAATAGCGGAGAGCACGTCGACCCGATCGGCAAGGAGGTTGATGCTCGGGGATACATGCAGCCGACAGTGGACGATGAGTACAACGAGGATCCTGGCTATGATCCAGTGCATGAAGCTGCGGAACCGGGTCAAAAAGCCGAATTGTCACGAAACATTCCCATGGCCAATAACGATGAGGGGTATCAGACGGACACGCACATGAAGGCGCAACCATTTGCCCGCGAAGATGAGGATATGGATGATGAGTATCCGGATGTCCAAAGCCGCGCGAAGTACCTCTCCGGCATGAGTGCCGGGATGGAGTCTCCCCTTTACGACTCGGCAACCGGGCGAGGCATTGATCGAATCAAGAGCAAAGATGTTGTGGCTCTCATGGACCACCTCACCGTTCGAGACGCCCAGCGGAACGCCCGCGATACCGAGATTCTCGTCACCCTCGTCCGAAGCGCGGCCGAGATGCGCACGCAGTGGGAAGAGATGAAGCGCTTCATCCGAGAGCAGGACGGCATGGTTATGAGCAATGCAGATCGCAATGCAGACATCACCGTTCAACGGGTTCTAGGTGGCCCTCGTCCACAGCCACTCGGCAGTCCTCGGGCTCCTCGAGGTGCATCCAGCGAAGAGACGGACGAAATGTCGAAAAAGCGTGAAAATGTGTTCCGCCGGGCCCTCAAGGGCTTGAGCATGAAGGGCAACAGCGATCTGACAAAGATTGAGGATATGCTCATGCAGCTGTTGTCGGAAGTCGAAGGCCTGAAGCTGACACAGGGCATGTCCGCAAATATGACGGTTGCCTCTAGGACTCAGCCGGCAAGCGTGAACAGCTACGAGCATCTACGTACAGCGGATCCTGGTTACGAGCCCGAGGGACGGGCCGGGACGAACAGCTCTCCAAACCAGAGCGGGTATTTTTCCAATCCCAGCTCGCGGCACGTGAATGGTCTGCATTCAGGCTATGATGGACGAGGTGGAAGCGAAGGCCACGCCCGAGGAAACCGCATCAGCACTGTGCTTGAGGGCGACGAAGATGAGCAGGATTATGACGTTCGTGCCCCACTGACTAGTCATCCATACACTTCGGCCAAGGCACAAGCCGCTGCGGATCAGAGGCTCCTGACGCCTACCCAGGAGGCTTATCGAAACAAAGCTAAGGCAAGGGCACCTAGTGCCGAGATGGAGAAGCATCTGACACCGCCTCGTCAGACCGCAGGACAATTCCAGCAGGGAAGCAGCACCGAGAATACCCCAGCGCGAACATCTGAGAAGAAGCACAAGTCAACCTCCAGTTCTCTGTTCGGGATTCCACGTATGTCTCGCTGGAGCAAGACGACCGCATCGACCGCGGCTCCCGACTCCACTGGTCTCCAAGGCAGCACTGGACCCCGCCAACGACCTTTCTCCGATGCCAGTCGCAGCGGTAGCAACTTGGATGTCACGCAATACGATGATGGTACCTACGCCGTCCATGATGAGGATCGTCTTCGCAGCACCAACTCACTCGCCCACGAAGGGCAGGCGCAACTATCTCCGGTTGTTCAAGCATCTGCCACGTACATGCCCACCGCAGCTGGCGACATCGACATGCCTCATGGTATTCCACGGTCGCCCTCCCCGCTTATCCCTGAAACGGCTTCGGGACGGTCGAAGGCATCCGTCATATCACAGGAGGATCCGAAATACCAAGCCCATCGCAACAGCCTCAATCTCCAGCATCCACAGCCACGTCAAGGACAGACTGGACGTCACCAGAACCATCTGGAAGGGGTTGCGACCAGCTTCGATCCGAAGGACTTCGGTCTTGGATCCGATCTTTCGGGCGTCAGCAACACCACCTCCGGCATAGCGCAGCCACAGGACCAATGGGGATCGGAGCCGGCCCTCGCGCTGAATCGGCAGCGATTCTCCGGCAGCTCGGGCGGCTCGTACCGTGATGACGGACCGCTCGTCCCTGCGCCGGCCACTCAGACGGGCGCATCCCGAAGTAGCTACGCCGAGCGTGCGCAAGCGCAAGCGCAAGCGCAGTCCCCGACCAAGCCACGAAAAGCGGCCGTCGATGCCCGCGAGCATCTCACCGACGAGGAGGACCACTCCACGGACGACGAGTCGGACGCACGATACGTCGGTCCGACACTGACCAGCATGCCGCCGGCGCCACCCAACACGCTTGCAGGCTACCAGGCCGCACCGCCGCTTGCGCCCATTCAGGAGGTCCCGAGCGTGCGATACAGCTTGGATGAAGGCAGCTTGCGGGACATGCGCGAAGAATTGACGCCGAGTCCGAGCCTGCGGAACCAGCCGCGGATGCAGACGCCAACGAGAAAGATTACAGGGCCCCGGCCAATGCCTGGCGCAGCACCGAGGAATGGGAGTGGAATGAGGGAGATGATGAGCAAGAAGAGTTTTGGTGAGTGCAGCATGCGCACCCGTTGAAGATAGAGTTGAATGCTAACCCTTTGGCCTCAGATTCCCTGGAGAGCTATCGCGATAGTGTGGATAGCGAGACGTTCTAAATCAGGAGCAAGGTCACTGGTTGAATAGTCCCCGGGAGCAGGATAAAGATTGCTAGCACCCATTTTTTATGCGGATGACGAGCGCTTTACGAATGATCACGACGTGACGACCTGGAAGACTTCACTCCGGCACACCCTTTCGATTCGTTAATTCCTCATCAGCATGATGGTTTAACCTATGGCGTTTTTCGGTCGTCTTTCACTTGCCATTACTCACATCTCCGCGTTCAAGCGGACTAGAAAACGGACATCGGCCTGGTGCGTTGGGATGCTGGTGAAGACATATGGACATGCTCCAGGAACGGGCTCCAAGGCCGGATTCCTGGGAAGGTAGATACTGCAATCAGGTCAATACGTGTATAGCAATCACTTAATATATTTACAGTCTGCGCGAGGGAGATTGAATTACATACTATCCGGTCATGCTTCACATGATATGATCCTCTAGCCGCATTCATCCTTGAATCACATTTCCCAGTCCTCGTACCTGGAGTCTCGTATAATTGTAGGCCAATCATCTTGCCTACCTGTGAACGTCCAGCTAGATGGACGCCAGTTGGTCACCAAGCTCCTCTTACTGACTGCATCACGCCGATGCGATTCCTCAACTAGGAATGTCGGTCCTTTGCTGGAACCCGGCTATCCGGCCCTCGACTCTCGAGACACCAACATCCACCATCTGGAGTGCGGTCTGGCAATTGGGCACGATCATTTTGAGGAATAAGTATCGCCGGACGAAATTGGACTGTCTTAGAAGGTGGACGGAGTTAGACCCTAATACCGTAAAGTACATCTTCTGTATTCTGTTGCATGCACAGCAGAAAGGCCAGAGTGGAGACACTGCCACGCCATATGTATCTATGACAACTGATACGGGATGGCATCAGTTTGTACTAAGTTGAGGCTTAACTACATACGGTACAGGCGAAGTTGGGTTTCTGTTGCTGTGATATCGCATCATCCACCCCCTGCCCCCTCCTTCGCCCTCTCCGTTAATCCTGCTCCGTTTTTCGGCGTCTCAGTCCCATCACCCATGGAATCCAGCACTGTACTGTGAACACAATTGCTTCCAACAATCCAGCATTACCCACAACCATTTAGCAAGGGCGCGAATGACAAATGCGTTCGGGGACTGACGTATCTAGTCGCTGGTGTGGCTCGGAGGTTTCCCGGTGGTGCCAGGGGGGAAGATATTAGATCTGATTTTTGACCTTCCGTTCCCGCGTGGCGAACAGAAGTTACCCAACTACTGAGATACTAATATTAATTAATTGAACGTACGGCACGGTACGGTACTTACCCAGGACAGTACTTAGTTTCCTATCAATCGTTTTTCAGAAGCCTCATATACACTCGGTCTTCCACCCGTATTCCCCCCCCTCCACTCGCACATACATGCTATCTCTCCCTCTCGCTCTCGCTATCTCCCTTTCTCCCATACACACGCTCTCTCTTAAAACCGTCAGACACCTTAGACTTCCCTCACAAGTGGATTCACCTCCTATCGAATCTTTATTACCACTTCTCAGCCGTTTGGGGACAATTCCCGACTCCTCCCATCTCGGTTCCAGTGACTCCGTCACTCTAGGACGTTGCAATGGAAATAAACCCCACCACCACTGCTGAAGCAGCACTTCATACTCTTCCAACCCCTCAAGGCACTCCTCCAATGTCGGCTGTCACTCCTCTAGACAGTGTGCCTTCGTCGTCCTCGGCTTCTTCCGACAGCGGCGCGGTCGATACTCCTCCAACGATCGACCATCTCTCCGACTCGAATCGACCAACAATGAATCTCAAACGCAAACGAAGCAACTCCTGCATCCCCTCGCTAGCTCCCTCCGGGACCCTCACCCCCGAAGAGGATCAGGATGTTCTCATTCCCGCCGCGAAGAAACTCCACACCCCCTCATCCACCTCCACCCAAGCCTCCTACATCCTGAACAATACCGCCAACGCCCTCCTGTCCCTCACATCGCTCTACGACACCTCCACATCCGCCCAGGGCTCCCTCCGCCGCGCCGTTCAGCTCCTCGCACAAACGCAGTTGACTGGGCACAAGATCATCACATGCGGGGTCGGCAAATCCGGTTTCGTCGCGCAGAAGCTATCGGCCATGCTCAAGAGCCTAGGGATCGCGTCGAGCTACATGAGCGCCGCGGAGGCGACCCATGGGGATCTGGGAGATGTCCGAGGACCGCACAGCCCCGCCTTTGGTCGGCATGTTCGGGAACCGGGATGGAGCTTGGATGGGAATGTACGGAGGGGAGCGGACTCGATCGTCTTCATTAGCTACAGTGGCCGGACGGAGGAACTGCTGCGCGTGCGCGACCGTTTGCCGCGCGGAGTTGGCCTTGTAGCGATTTCAGGCGTGCAAAGCGCGGCGCAGTGCGCACTTCTTGCGTCTCCAGAGACGTCCACGAAGGACGAAGGCGATGGTCACGATTGCGTACCTCTTGGCGAAGGGGAGAGGGTGCTGTTGCCGGCGCCGATTCCCGAGTCGGAAGAGGCAACATATGGGGTGGCTACACCCACCACGAGCGCACTGGTCGCAATGGCGGTGTCAGACATGCTGGCACTCTGCATCGCGGAGGAATTGTTTGAAGGAGATCGGGACCGGATGAAAGAGGTATTCAAGCGGAATCATCCTGGCGGTGCGATTGGTGAGAAGTCAAGTAAGAAGTGAGCCCCCCCTCATCGGCAGGTCTTCACGTCCGGGCTTGTTCGTCCCTGATTTTGGATATGATATCACCAGGCATGGATTGGATTTCTCGAATGTAGAAATGAATTAGGGAGTAGCTTCTATGAAATTATGGACAGCGTAGCTCAATGTGAGCGTCAAAGATCGCAGCACATGGGTATCAATTCGTCCCTCGGGTCATCGTAAATTCAGAAAAAGAAGAGCATGAACGTGAAATCGTGGACCCAACGCCTTATATTGGGCCAAGGCGCCGTGTTAATGCCAACTGGTCAAAAATAGCAACCGAACACCGGCACTCAGGCCTTCAAATTCATCGAGTGACTGCTCGTAGTAGCGGCGCATCCTCTGCAGCCTGCTCCTCTGGTATCGACTCCTGTTCCGGATCACCGTCTTCCACGTCCTTGACTCTCGCCCCATCGTAGACCAGAACTGGGTCCTGCTTGCTCGCACGCCACTCCACAAACGCGGCATACGCCAGTCCCGCGAGCCAGGGAAGTTGCATGCCGAGTACGACGACTAGCCCTTTGACGATATCCAGTGCGCTACCGTGTTCGAGAACGAGGGCCACAATGAAGAGAACCATCCATCCGGCTAGGGAAGCGAAGAGTTTCGCCCATTGAAGGCGTGTGAAGGTACGCGGGAAGAGTAGGGAGCGGGAGAAGAGGATGATTTCGGCGAGGATAAGGGTGAGGAGGCAAAGGGCCGCCAAGATTAGAAGAATGGTAGGGAAGCTTCAGAACCAGTCAGTACAGCGACATTATCAAGGTCAAAAAATGATCCAGGAGTCCATACTTATCCCAGAACGTGGGGTCCCTCCGCTCTCTCGTCAACGAATGCTGTACGGCCATCCACGCCGTGAAGGCGGTCGTCAACGTGAACTGCGTAAACCACAGCGGCACCAACACAATCAGGTGCCACCGTCCTGTCGGCCGCCCATATGCAGCCGGAACGATGTGCATGTGTGGGGGCATCCCCGGGGGGTTATCCGGGTCATCCGCTTGCTCGGACAACTCCAGAGTTCTGTCGGACGTGGTGGAGGGGGGTCGGTTGGCCGCGGGGCCGAAGGTCGAGTAACCACGAGACGTCGTGCGCGATGGAGGACGAGGAGACTGAGACTGAGACGGTCGGGATGGAGAGGAGAAGAAGGTGAGTGCGGAGGATGGTTGTCGGGAGGGAGGGGTCTTAGGGAGGGTGGTACCAGGAGGAGCCATGGTGGGGCGGGCGCATTCGTTTCTTTGACGGTGGCAGGGCGCTAGGGAGGAACACGGTGAATTGGAGAGGAAGAGAGGGAAATAGGAAGAGAATCAGAGAAGTCGAGAAAGCACTTCTCGTCGGAAGAAGATAGGAGCAGAAGGGTTCGTAGGTTGAGGACTGAATGGTACAGCTGACTAGGGATCGGGACCAGACGATCCACGGTCTCCGTCGCGGTAGAGGCAAAGAAATTCTCTTTCACACAGGTATTAACGTGGACTCCACGAAGTAGGGTAGATCTGAGGTATCTGAGGTAGGGTGGGATCGGTAGGTCTACATAGAAATCCCAACATTAGGAAAAGCGAAGGAAAAGGTCGAGAAGTGAGGTGACTGGAGGTCAATCAGGTCAGTAATCAAGTGATACTCCTTACAACGCAGGATGTCAGCGGAATGAATGTGGCTGAGGTGAGAGAGTGTGGCGCCTGAGATGTTAACCGTTCACGTGATAAACATATCGTGATCACCTGACTTCCTGGTCGTCAGGATCCCGTGACTGATATATGCATTCTCCAAATTCCTGAGGGTCTTCGATTGACAATAATACGGGATACCTCCAAACTACCCGTAATTAATAGACTGCGCCAAACAGCTGCCCTGCACAGCAGCACTGTCGCATGCCGTCAAGATGCAGGGCTTCAATATGGGGCGGTATTATCCGCCCGATGCGACGGATGCCCCTAAATTCAACCAGACATCCCACCCGCTCGGCGCCCGCGCTCGGAAAATCAATCAGGGTATCCTGACCGTCCGCTTCGAGCTCCCCTTCGCGATCTGGTGCGAGCACTGCACTCCTCCCGCTATAATTGCGCAAGGAGTTCGCTTCAACGCCGAGAAAAAGAAGGTCGGGAACTATTACACGACTCCCATCTGGAGCTTTCGGATCAAGCACGGCGCATGCGGTGGTGGAATCGAGCTGCGGACGGACCCGAAGAATGCCGAGTATGTCGTGGCCGAGGGCGCGAAGAGGAGGGACTACGGGGAAGGGAAGGAGGAGGATAAGTGGGGGAAGTTTGGGGAGGTGCTGACGGAGGAGGAGAGGGAGAGGCGGAGAACTGACGCGTTTGCACGGCTGGAGGGGAAGAAGGCGGATGAAGGGCGAGCGGAGCCGGAGAGGGAGAGGGTCGAGGAGTTGGTCAACGTTAGGGAAAGAGACTGGGACGATCCGTATGAGGCAAACAAGAGGGTCCGACGGCAGTTCCGGGCGGAACGGAAAGTGCGGCAGCAAAATGAACGGGAAACAGAAGCGCTTCAGCAGAGGATCGGATGGGATGGTGAGATCCTGGAGCTCACGGCAGAGGACAAGACAAGGGCGGAGTTGGTGGACTTTGGAGAACGAGGGTCAATCGAAGACGATATCTCCCGTGTTAGTTCAAGGCCGATGCTTACAAAGGAGACGAACAGAGTCCACTCTACAACAACGGTCTCAAAACTCCGAACAAAGGCAAGCATCGCGAAAGAGGAGCAGGCTGCTCGATTTCAACAGCAGCTTCAGCACAACACGCGGGCGGCGTTGAACCCGTTCGCCCTCAGCGCCGGCGATAAGAGAGCATCAATTCCTCCCACCATCGCCGGGATAAAACGTCGAGATCGCTCATCGGATACTGACGGTCACCCGCGATTGGCGAAAGCGGTTTCGATTGTGAAGGATGCACCCATTACTGCTCCAGACGAGTTGCTGGTGAAGTCTAAACCAGACCTAGGTCTGACGGGATATGATTCCGACGATTGAGATGAGTTCACCAGGCATGGTACGGAGCCTTGGTTGTTGCAGCATTGGGAAGGCGTTCTATACCCCGATTTCTCGAATATTAAATGACTTGGTCCGCTTCAGGGAGGACACGGAGTCAAGTTATGTCCTTTATGCTGTTGTACCACGCATCTCACACTCACGAGATCTACTGTCAGATTGCCGTGATATATGTACCTATTCAGTGATATTCACGACATCTAGCCATTGCCAGCCCCACAAACCTAGCCACTCACAGTATGCCTCTAACTAAGAACAACGAGTGAAATGATGATGGGGGATGGTTATTGGCTGTCTATGAACCGCTACTAAAATATTGCGGTATGATATCCATTATTTACCAAGGATGAGAAATACCGCCGCGTGCTGAGAGGTTCACCCAAAGAGTGATCCACCACGGAAAAGAAGGCATCCAGCCTGCAAAGTGATGAATCCGACTCCTTCGTGCGTCTGTGTAACTACACTCTGCAGGATGGAGCAGGCGAACAGATCGATCAAAGCGGATGTCACAGAGGCGCCTCTATGGAGCATGAAGTTATGCACGGTGAGCGTTTAAGTTTGGATTTCTTGCATTTACGTTGCTGTCTCTAGTATGCATCGGTTCAATATGACTACCAAACCTCACTGGCGCGCAGAACGGTGCCATCGATTGCATTTTGCGCCGATAACGAGCCAGCAGCCGACGCACATCGCCGTCGTGACCAGTTGATGTTCCACGAATAAGCGACGAAAGCAGAAATGAGGATGAATCAGCAGTATGGTACATCACTGCCAGTGCGACGCCTTCCCAGATAAAGTGTTGAGAAAACCGGAATCAACCCGAGAAACGCCATTCCAGCACCGTGTTACAGTGCAATGAGGCGATATGGACCGTCAATGATCGTCAAGTGAGCTCTTTTCCAGAGCGAAAAAGAGGGCGCGGAAATTCGCGGAGCGTGCCGTGACGGGGCAAAGCGACGTCGAAGTTCAAGGATGCTCGAATTTACATCTCCATTTCGAATTCCGCAACTTCCATCGTGGCTGGCGACGGTCCGGGAGTATTGGAAGGGGAAGTCCGCGACGCCGCACGAATGGTTTCTCCACGAGTAATGACGTGCTGCAGGACAGTGCCGTCGGCGGAGACCTCTTTGTTCGTAAGACTCTGAATCGCTTGATCGGCGTTGGCTCCGACCAGCTGCGCACAGCTGAGATCTTCTTTGAAGAGGTAGTAGCGTTCGTAAGGCGAGGATGGATCGGTGAGCGGGGACTGAAGGACCGTGCGAACGAGGTATGTATTAAGAGCTTCGCTGAAGAGGAGGATGGAAGCGGAGCCAAGCGGATAATGGTTCTCGATGTAGCGTTCCCAGCCTTTGGATGCGTCGATGAGGTGAACCGAGAGACGCTTCCAGCCAATACCAAGGGTGATGTTGAGTTGGTCGATCGCATCAGTCGGGGTTGAAGGCATGGTGGCCGGGATGGCGGTCTCAAGAGCCTGGACATGGTTGCCGGCAGTGACACCGTTTTGGAGGCGCTGCGACTTGCGCGCGAGAGGTTCACGTGGCAAAGCACTGAATTTCTCCATCTCATCGCCTGGGAAGTGGGTTTGAGCCGAGATACCGACCTGACACTCGGCAGCGATGTTGAGACTGAGCCCATCGGGGTAGAAGAGAGCCATTCCGGGATCGTGGATGGGTTCAGCGGATGGCGTAGATGCAGTGGAGCCATTGATGGTGCAGACTGCGAGGGGATCCGCAGGCTCGTCGCATGAGTCCAGGTCATCGAAGGAGCGCTTGCGGCCAGCAAGGTTGGTATTCGCCTTGGCGAGGTAGTTCATGGAGGGCGGGGCAGGGAAACGGGGTTGAAGGCGTTTGCGGCGAGGGAGAGTGCCGGCCATGACTTGATCGGGCTGGTCATGCTGGGGGTTGTTGAAGATGTTCGACGGCTGAGAGGGACCCAGGATAAGGGTGGGTGCGGACGCATAGTAATTGAGACCCATGGCGGCGGCGATAGGGTTCAGACGGGGACTGATTGATTAGTAGGATTAGACGGACTTGTGATGAATTGAAACTTTTTGAGACCTGCTCCAGCCTGGACTGCTTGATTTAGCCAGGCGACAATTGATGGATGAGCGATGAAATGGCGTAGAAGGGAAGAAGGAAGACGACGAGGGCGGGATGAAGGTGATTGGTGGGATAGATGGTCGGAGGTGGAGGGGTGAGCAAATAGAAGTGAGAGGTGGGTTGGATATAAAGAAGCGGTATGAAGCTAGAGAAGTGGTAAGGAGAAGAAGTAAAGAGGCGATGGAAGGGAAGTGGAGGAAGAAGTAACTGGGGGAAGGGGATGAAAGGTGAGACTGGTGAGAAAGAAGTTGGAAAGGTTAAGGAAATGTAAGGTGAGAGAGTTAAGGTGAGAAGTTCCTGGGTTAGAGGCGGAGGGTTAGACAAGGTGATGGTGGTAAGGCGTCACGAATGAACCAAACACTTGACTGCCCGGAGTTGAGTGAGTGCATGGGTTTGGAAGAGTGGAAGTGTCGACTGTGGAGAGTTGGTTAGGATTGGGTTAAGGCGGAACCGAGATCGGCTAGACCGGTGATGGAATGCATTGATTGGCTGAAAAAAGCAAGGCTTGCAGGAACGGGGTAAGGCCAGGGATTCCGTGCGGGTGAGGTGGAGTCGCTCTACCAGCTGAGGCTACCACTGCGATATGAATTTGATGTTCTACGGAGTACACATTACTATGATTGATTAATGATTATTCCGTACTCCGTACATCAGTACGATTGAGGACTTTCACTCTTATACAGAACTGATACCAAATCAGCAGATTACCCGTAGATCGCATAGAATTATTGAAATTCCGTTCCACCGGCCCTCGGCAATAAGGCAAAGGCAATGAGGCGTGTAGTTCTGTCTTCTGATGGATGGCACGGCACGGATCAAGGTGGGTGGCTGGTGGGGCGTAGTAGGGTAGTCACGTGAAATAGAGTGGCTGGGCTGAATCGGAACTTACCGCCAGATCCCGATGATTAGCTAATGAATTAATCATGTGCTTCACCAGTCCGAGCAAACATTGCTGCCTTGTAGCCCTGTGGCCCAATATAGTCACGTGCATCTCCCAGGAAGCTACCTCATGCCTTGCTGCCTTGATGCCTAAGACGAAGCTCGTGCATCACAGGAAAATTGATCGCGACTCTGATACGCGACATTTCAGTTGTTGAAGCTGGAAAGAAGTTGAAGTTATACCTTGTGGAGGAACCAAATCTCACCCGTCCCTTTAACAGAGAACTACAAACCCTTCCTTAATACCATACCCCAATACAGTCCACCGTTTCCATCTCATCCACCATGCAGGCTCCAGTCGTTGTCCTCAGTACGTGCTCTCCAACCACATCCCCTTCCGCCCTGAACTCGAAGCTGACCGTTCCATCCAGATACCGGAGGTGGGGATAGACAGATAGGTCGAAAAGCCCAGATGTCAAACATTACCGCCGCAAAAACGTGAGTGGCCTCCGTCCGATCAGGATGAACCTAGCTAAATCGAATCCAGCGTTGCCGACATTATTCGATCATGTCTCGGGCCCAAGGCGATGCTGAAGATGCTCCTCGACCCCATGGGCGGCATCGTGCTCACCAACGACGGTCATGCCATATTACGGGAGATAGAGGTGTCGCACCCTGCCGCAAAGAGCATGATCGAGTTGAGCAGAACCCAAGACGAAGAAGTTGGAGACGGCACCACCACCGTCATCATTCTAGGTATGGCCCGTAGAGACATCGTCGATTCACCCTGTTGACGCCAACATAGCGGGCGAGATCCTTGCCCAAGCTCTTCCGCAGCTGGAACGAAACATCCACCCCGTCGTCATCATCTCTGCCTTCAAACGAGCGCTCGCCGATGCCCTCATCATCGCCGAAGAAGTCTCAAAACCGGTCGACATCAAAAATGATGAAGCCATGTACTCGTTAATATCCGCCTCCATCGGCACAAAGTTTGTTTCGCGGTGGTCGAAACTCATGTGCAGTCTTGCCTTGAGCGCCGTGCGGACGGTCGCCTTTGAGCTGGGCGGGAAGCCTGAGGTGGATATCAAACGATATGCTCGCGTGGAGAAAGTCCCCGGTGGCGAGATTGAGGATTCAAGAGTGCTGAATGGCGTCATGTTGAACAAGGACATCACACATCCGAAGATGAGGCGGTTAATCAAGAACCCCAGGATCATCCTGCTGGATTGCCCATTGGAGTACAAGAAGGGGGAGAGCCAGACGAACATCGAGATCACGAAGGAGGACGATTGGAATCGGATATTGCAAATCGAGGAGGAGCAGATCAAGTCCATGTGTGATGCTATCCTGGCCGTGAAACCGGACCTCGTCATTACCGAGAAGGGAGTCAGCGGTAAGTCTTTGCCGTTCTATATTTACCTGCTTTTTGATCTAACATTCATTGCCAGACCTTGCCCAGCATTTCTTCATGAAAGCCAACATCACTGCGATCCGCCGCGTCCGCAAGACCGACAACAACCGTATCGCTCGCGCGGTCGGCGCCACCATCGTCAACGACGTGCACAACCTCCAACCGTCCGACGTCGGCACCGGCTGCGGGCTATTCGAAATATCCAAGATCGGCGACGAATACTTCACCTTCCTGACCGAATGCACGGACCCCAAGGCATGCACCATCCTTCTCCGCGGTCCCAGCAAAGACATCCTGAACGAGATCGAACGCAATCTCCACGATGCCATGGGCGTCGCACGGAACGTCATGTTCCACCCGCGACTCAGCCCCGGAGGTGGAGCGACGGAGATGGCCATTGCGGTGGGCTTGGAGCGGAGGGCGAAGAGCATCGAGGGCGTCGCACAGTGGCCCTACCGCGCCGTTGCGGAGGCGATGGAAGTCATTCCCCGTACTCTGATCCAGAACGCCGGTGGCTCACCGATCCGAGTCCTCACGCAGTTGCGAGCCAAGCATGCCGAGGGCGGGTCCAGCTGGGGCGTGGATGGAGACAAGGGCATCATCGCCGATATGAAGGAATATGGCGTGTGGGAGCCACAAGCGGTCAAGATGCAAAGCATCAAAACCGCTGTGGAGAGCGCCTGTTTACTACTGCGAGTGGACGATATCGTTGCCGCGAAGTCCGCGAAGCAGGCAAGCGGTCCGATTGGAGGAGGTGGAGAGGAATAGACTTCGAGATCCCGCCTGTACTCATACTAGATATCTGGAAGCGATGCGCCTCTACAACAGGATAAATAAATGAACTGCAGGAGGCCACACGAGCTGGAGTCACTGGTCTGCATTGAACCTAGGCACAAATCACGCAACAAGCGCATGAGGACACCTGCAAATTTTGAACCTGACCAATTGTTCCATGGATCGAGAATCTGTACATCACAGTAACCATTTCGCTTGTCCATGCAAGACCCCATCGCTGTGCAAAGAATGCCTCCCGCAAGGCAGGAAAGGCAGTGGACACCCAGCCCTGAATATTAAACATTTTCCTCAGAATTAATCCCTCAGACGCCTCAGCGCCCCATTCATATTTACATTAAGCCCAAGCCAGCACACAATATCGATCCAGACAAACAAAACCTCAACTAGGCGAAATAACCGGCCATGCTCTGCGTATCTCCAAGGACAGGGCTCTTGGAGAATCAGCAACCCCAACGCTATAGGCTCGATCCAGGAGTGTAAATGCCCGCAAGGAGAATGGCAAGAGTAGAACACTAAATGGTACGGTATCCGGGAGTTCAATCGCACAATGCGAGACCAGTCTGGAAAAGCGGAACAGTGTAGATTCGATCCGGGAGTTCAATCGCACAAGGCGAGGCCAGCATCCGGAAAGCGAAACAGTTGCAGGGTCGGTCCAGGAGCTCATCGCACAGGACGAGACCAACATCCGAAGAACTGCAGAAGAAGTTCGATCCGGGAGTTCAATCGTACAAGGCGAGATCAACATCTGGAGGAGAACTGCGGAATAGCGTTTTGTACTTTGACAGAGAGGACGGTCCACCGGTTTAGATGGCATAGGGAGTGAGAGAGAGGATTCCATGACATGGATTTCGTTTTGACCGCCCAGTAATACCCAAACATATCCACTAACGCACTCCCATTCGTTCCATCATAATCGTTTCGAATGACCATTCAACACTTCGGAGGCAGGCGTTGACTCAGTCTGACTCGAGTTCGAGTTCGGGCAAGTGCTTCTTGACGGCGTCCATGACCTTGACGTACTTCTTCGGAGTGAGCTGCTTGTCCTCAATCTCCTCCCCGTCGGTGTCAAACAATCCCATCAACCGCTTGATCACGGCCCGGTCATATGCATCATCCTCATCGATGCCGATATCGCTGTCATCGTCCTCGTCCCCCTTGCTGACGTTGCGTAGGGCGCTGCCTTTCGCAGGCTTGAACTTTTCGGCGTTCCGACGAGCCTTCTCGATGGCTTCTTCTTCCGCGGCGTTGGGCTTCTTGAGGTGGTCCAGCCCACCGGTGACGATATCCCACCATTCTTCCGGCGTGATGGCGTCATCGGAGTCAGTGGGTGAGAGGGGACCGGCCCCATCATAGTAGTCTTCGATATCGAAGTCCGAGCCATCGGTGGAAATGCCATCGAGAGCATCAACGCTCTCAGTATCTTCGGTGTCGATTTCTTCCTCTCTGAGGATAATAGCGGAAGAATCAATTTGAGCAGCAGATTTCGGGGTAGTGGTAGCTTTGGCATCAGTGGTGGGCGTCACGGAGACCTTGGTAGAAACACCATTTGCCTGCGGTTTCGGCGCGCTCAGTGTCGACGGAAGCTGCGTTTGGTTTGCATACATGGGTTGCTCAGGAGTACCAGGGGTAGCGTGTTCATCGTACTCGGAAATCGTAGCATCCAGCATCGAAGAGTCTTCGGCGTCCCCCTCAGGAACGCAGAATGACCCGGAGCCTGAGACATGGCCTGTCTTCAAAAACTTCTTCTTTTCCGTAGGCGACCACTCTGCGAGATCCGAAGCATCCTCATTCACCCCGTCGCCTGGGTTGTAGGGAGCGAGCTCGCGGCCGGTGGGGCTACCTGTAAAGACGTTTTCGCTGCTGGAAGGCTCCTCTTGAGGTCTGTCCCATGTGTGTCGGTAGCCGGGCGTTCCAGGAGTGGGCCATGAATAGCCTGGCGTAGGGGTCGACGCGGTGTACGCACTCATATCAGCCACGGTGGAAGGGGTTTGCGTGGTTCGGCGAATTTTCCCGCTCTTAGGTGAAAAGAAGCGGACGGATTTTGCAGTGCTCTGTCCGAGTCGTGCCTTCTTGACGGGAGGTGTCATGGTTGAGTTATCAGACACCGTGACCATGCTGTTGTCACCAAAGTACTTGTCATTCATACCGAATCCGCCTTTGGGGTTGGGGATCTGTTTGAGTGTGTTGACATTCACACGCTTTCGCTTCGAGGTCTTCGGCATGGGGTCGGAGTAATCCGACTGTTCGACCAGGCTATCATCGGTGTCAAAGTATCGCTCATCCATTCCAAAGCCATCCTTGGGGTTCGGAATTGCCGAAAGCTCCGATATCTTAACAAGCCGTTTGCCTGGAGTAGCAGTGCGTCGAAGGATGGAATTCGGCTTCGTCGCAATGGGGGTGGCAAGCACAAGCTCCTTTTGCACTACGGTACCAGTACGCTCATCCCAGTAGAACTCGTCTTGCTTCTCGGAGATGATGGCATCGATGTACTGTTTGACAATCCGAGGGATTTCCTCTTCCTCGATCGGCTTCAAGTGTCGAACCAAGCGTCGCTCGGTGTTCAGGTATTCCGCCTCGGTACCGATGTCTCTATCGCGCATTCTGAAGGATAGACCGGCATTGTTCATCTCGTCAATCGTATCGCCGATTGCCCTCTGATGCAGTTCTTTAAGGATTTCTTGAAGGAGCTCTTTGTCCTTTTTGGAGGGCTTCAGTTTCATGAATTGCTGGAACAAGTGGTCGGCCATCTGTTTTCGTGTTGTTCGCACCGAAGTCCGGTGATGTAGATCATTTTTCGTAGACTCCCACGGATCAATTTCGGGTTCGTTCGCGATCCTGGTTAGCTTTCGCTTGGGGTAGGGGGTAGACGGCTGCCTCCTAGGGAAACCGTGGGACGGTTGACCATTCACATGGCGGGAGATGCTGGAAGCTGGGGACTGCTCGACATCTTCCATCGTGGTGTCAATAGATGTCAGTACCTTCGCAGGCTGAGATGCTGGAAGTTGTTGAGGCGTGCGCTTGAAGGTTGGGGTGAATGATCCCAATGTACGCGCCACAAGTGATGCGGCGTTCCCAAATAACGAGGCTCGAGCTTGAGGGGGGGTAGATGGAGCCCTCGGGGCATAATTCTGGGTATGATGTTCGGTATGGAGGGCTGGTGTGGGAGTGGTTTGGTCGGAAAGGATCGAAGTATCAGTGCTGGTGACGCTCAGCATGGTCTCTTCCAACATTGATTCAGTCTGCGGCTCTAAATGTCCGTTTGCAATGACCTGCTCCGGTTGATTTGAGAGACTCGAGCGTTGCAAGGGCGATGAATCAAGAGTCTTTTCGGGTCTTTGAAGCGGGTCCACTCCGTTCGTGGAAGGTGTGGGAGGCAAACTTGGGGAAGTCGGAATGTGGCCATCCGAGTCGGGTGCGTTATCCGAAGATGGGGTATGTGTGGTTATTGGTAGACTTGGTGTTCCAGAGGCTGAACTCATGCTTGGTGCAGGGGAACTTTCGGGTTCGCCAGATTCGATTTGGAGGACTACATTGTCCAATGCGTGGTTTCCTCCCGGAGTCACCACCTCGTTGCCTCGGATAAAGCGTTTGAGAGGTGTGAAAAAATCGGCAAGGACAGAAAATTTAGCCCTCGGTATCAGAATCTTGCGTCCACGCAAGGTCGAATCATCCGCCTTCTGAACCGGTGTTGACGGCTTCTGATGCTGTAACAGTAGAAATATTAGCGATGATTCCTCTCGAGAGCATTCCAATGATCGCTCACCTCTTGCAATTCATTGAATTCTCGCATCAACTGGTCCGATGGAGAGGTCAGCTTTCGTTCGGCCTCCCTCACTGGAGCAAACAGATCTTTTGCTCCAGTTCTCCTGAACTTGGCGGCGCGGTCATCGGGGGTAGGGTCGCCAAGCGATCGCTTGTTGGAGGACGTCAGATTACGGTTGACTACGACAGAAGCGTTAGCGGTGGTCCAAAGCAACTGTAACGACCCACGTAATGTAACAGCGATGAGATATGAAAGTGAAATCAAAGGTGATCGATCTATATTTAGTAGGGCAGGATCTTGTGCGCACTCTTCTCAGTCGACTCTGGTGAGTTGACATTGTTCCTTTTGTTGGGGGTTGGGGAATCGCTTTGCTGAATCGGAGTTATGTTGATGTTATTTGCGACAACGCTTGGGCTCTGTGGGCTATTCCCGGAGTTTGCTACGACCGACGGGGATGAGAAGAAGGTGCCGTGGAGAATTGAACTGGGGGTGTTGGGAGTTTGCGGCGAACTCAGAGGCTCACTGAGAGGCTCAAGGGACTTGTGACGATTCGGAAAGGCCTTACGTAGGAGTTGTTGCTGAGCGAAACGAGTCGTGGGACGCTCGGATGGGGTTGGAGAGGCCTCATGGGGAGGAGACTCGGCGGCCTTGACCAGCACTCCATTGGCGCGATTCGCGTTCTCTTGCGACGCATCCGGTTCCACGGAGATGGACTTGGCAGTTCGTGGTTTCCGTTGGGTATGGGTGTCTTTGAGTTCTTGAAGGGGTGAGGCCCCGGGTTTCGTGGCCAGCGATCGAGTGGTTCGACGGGTGTACGGAACACTCTGCGCGTGGGCCGCGCGCTTGCTGACTTTGGGCATACTGTTAGCACGCCAGAAATATGATGGCTAGGAGAGGCGAGGATGGGAGAAGAATCGACGGCAATAGCTTCGGTTGCAACGAATAAAGATACAGCCGATCGTCCTTTGTTTGTAAGAGGAAGAGAGGAAATGAGAAAGAAATGGAGAGAAAGGCGAGAGAAGTTGAGACGAAAGGGTTGTTTACCTGGAGTGGCCAGTGAAGTGTTATCACGATTGCTGCTTTTGCTGCTGCTGCTGCTGCTGTTGTTGTTGACGCGGTTACTGTGAGCCCTATGGGCAGGTGAAGCAGAGGGTCCGGACATGATTCACATGCACCAGCGGGCGATGGCAGTGAATGAAGACAAGGCATGAGGGCATTCAGAACGATTTCATCAAGTTTCGCGATGTCCATGTCTCCTCTGACGAACAGTCTAACTACTTCAGGAACGAGTTGCCGTATTACTAAGTATCTAAGAATTCTGTTATCCCTGCTGCTCACTCCGGTTGCGTGGCTCCACTCCCGCCATCGGCCATAGAAACTTGGAGCGAGCCGCGAAACCCGAAGTTTAGCCGTCAGACAGTTTGCGGTTGACGGTTGGTGCCTGATGAGCTGCACTTCATGTGCTTTCAGTTGTCTCAGGCTCTTAGCGGGTGAAGCTCCTTTCACACCCCGCTGTGCTCCATTCACACCCGCCACCCCGCTCCATTCACACCCTACCTGGTCACATGACATACCAATCCCTTCGAATATCTGACGCAGATTGGGATGGTCCAGTATATGATGCTTTATACGAGTCAAGCCGACCATTCTGCGTTCAAACTCTGTAATTCAATGTATCTAATCGTACAGAGGATCACGGACGATCAAATATGCTAACTTAGGTCCCCGTTTCACTCAAAAGAAGCTGGCATAAGGCCGCTGATGCGCTCTTGGATGAGATCGCTGAATGACGTCTCCCCTGGTCGATAGTTCCCAAGTAACCTTCGTGCTTCTTCCGTAATTACCTGCCGGTCCATCTGTGGCGGAGGGGCTGGCTGGGGCTGTGCTCCTCTAACCGATCTTTGGTGTCGCAATGGTGTTGCACGTACCTGTTCGAAGGCAGACGGGAGTCGACGTGAAGAAGGGTTGTTTGGCCGGTCTCTTAGTCCAGGAGGAAGTCGTGCCATAGCTGGATCGCGTACTGTCGCGAAGGATCCGGGTGGTGGGAGTGTAGGTAGCTTGTAAAACCAATAGGAGTCGATCATAGGAAGCTGGATTTTCGTATTTTGTGATAGATAATGTCGAATAGAATGGAAGCAAGGAAGTCCAAGAGAGGTCTGATATATGTGTGTGCACGGAGACTGGTTCGAGTAATCTCCTGAGTTCTCTTCATTTCTCTGTCGCCGCTCTTCATCTCTCCGTCGACGTTCTTCAAGCCTGATTCGAATGATACTTCGATACATCTTCTTAAGCGCTTGCGGAGAAACATGTTAGATCACTTCCGGAGAGAAAACGGCGCGATACTTCGGATTGACACGGATTGCAGAGTCCTCCATTGCGACAGTAGCCTCATGGTTTGTACGACGGATTGAGTGCGTTAATTGATCGATAGTATTCATTATATCGCCTCGTCGAAGCGTGATCCGTCACTTAATAGTTGCATAAGAACTCTCGGCCCTCGATGTCGTACGATGTCCAAAGTTGCGATGCAGGTTTGTCCATGCAGCAGACCAGAGGTGTCGCGTATCGTAATGTTCGTGCCGGAAGTATTCGATGATATCTGTTTGGATTGAATAGGTAGTGCAGATTTGACGAAATATCCGCTCAAATTCATCCTCTGTTTTGGCATAGATAAGCTGTTGGAAGGCTTGGAAGAGATCTGTCCTATATTGTGCGACCTCATCATCACTCAGACCGTCCGGTCGAACAAAGTGACGCGAACTAGAGATGCGTGTCTGCCAATTACGCTCAAGGTGCCAAATGCAGAGCTGATGGGATGCCTCTGGGTATATTCTACCCACTGCTTTCACAAGAGCACCGTCTTTGTCAGTGATGATTAACTTTGGGAGGCGGAGGTCCCCCATTTGGTTTCGAAGGCATGTCAGAGCCCAGATATAATCTTCCTCCTGTTCCCTCGCAAGAAAGCAGAAGGCTATATTAAAGTTCTGACCGTTCGCAGTGACTCCGATGGCATTTAGAAGGGGAAGGCTCCACTTGTTTGTACGGTACGTACAATCGAGAAGGAGGACATCGGGATGTCTTTGAGCAAGATCGTGGGAGGTTCGATGCATGAAGAAAAGGCGGTGTAGTCGGTCCTCTGTATCGATCGAATGTGCCGATGAGATATACTCATCTTTTTTAAGCAGCTCCTGAAGAATGGCCTGCGTTGATGTCATTCCATTCAAGCGCTCTAGTTTCTTGCGTGACCGGATATTTCGTATTTCTCTGGACCGGATGTTTAACGTAGATGGGCACTCTCGTAGCATAAGCGCAAGGATATCGCTAGGAGAATTTCCTGCCTCTGAGAGCTCAACGACCTGGTTAACCCGCGATGGAGATAGCTTCCGATGTACCCGATGGCCACGAGAAGAAAGGAGGGCGTGGTTATGACGAGAATCTTTGACTCTAAGGATCCAGGCTTCGAGAGATTTATCCAGGCGGACGATGACCTCCCATTCACAGTTATCGCGTAATGATCTCGTCTCCCGAGCTCTTCCTTTACATTCATACCGGCCGTGGCGGTCACAAGTGATCCAGTACTTCGTTTTCTCTGTCCTATTACCTTAGTTGTCTTTCTTTGAACGATTAACCCGAATACCAAAGTTGTGTTGCTTTGAAAAGGTAAGAATATCTTCCCACGCCTGTTGAAATGTAGGCCATCCGACTGGCGGTTGATGAGGAATAAGATGAGCTGGTTCCTCAGCCTGCGGAGGAGTAGCCTCATCCTGTCTTGGTAGACCACTAGTATCGCCAATAATCTCATCGATAGGAATATAGCTACTTCTCGACTGAAATGAACGATTCGTATCGGTATCGCTTGAAAGGATATCTGACTCAGACGAGGAAATCGTGACGTGGCGATAGGTCCGCATAATTCTTTGCCTTCTGTTCGTTGGCGGATTTTCTTGCGCATTGATACTATCCTGAAGTCTCTGATTCTCCAAATGTTGCTTCGCTTCATGGTGGAGGGAAGCACGGTTAAAGGATGCGTAAGGTCCGTAGTTCTGTTGCAATGAAGTCGACCAGAAGGACTTTAGAGATTGAAGCTCCTTAAGCGGGACTTGCTTCTGTCGGCCTGCCAGAACCTGTTCTCGGAGCGCTGTAGTGACCTCGGAGCATAAGCCAGGCGGAGAAAATGGTCTTTCTAGCCACTCTTCTAGGCTAGAACGCGAATGTAGGGTATCCTGTGGCGGGATCTCGTTCTGATTATGCTGAGAGTTATCGGAGAGGTCGCGCTCGCGGAGTCGAGAGAATGCTCCAGATATTGCATTGTAAAAGACATTCTCAAGACCGTTCTAAAGCGGCTTAAGTGCTTTGCGTATCTCCTCATCTACCGAGCTCGATTGCATATTCTGGAAACTGGAATTGATGTCTCAAATACGTCCTTGTCCTCATTCTTGTCCTCGTTATCGTTGTTGATGAGTTGATACATCTCTTAAGGCCATAGAGCCTATGAAAGAAACACGCTGAATCTTGCTCTGCTAATGTCGATCGTAATTCCCTATTTCATCTTCGCCCTGCTTATGCCGTTTCCAAGCTTTTCATCTTTCTGCCTCTTCTAGGCAGACCTCAGCTTCGTCAAGTAGCCCCCACTACATGATACTACTCCTAGCACCATGTAGATGTACCTCCCTATATAGGGGAGTCTCAAATACGTTATATTTGCCCATCTGCATCAGATATTCTAAGGGATTGGTATGTCATGTGACTAGAATTGGTATGTCATGTGACCGGGTAGGGTGTAAATGGAGCGGGGTACGGGTGTGAATGGAGCACAGCAGGGTGTGAAAGGAGCTTCACCCGCTCTTAGCATCGATCCCTCCATCACATGACCACTTGGCCAGCCTCCGTTCCAACCTCTTCCATCATCAACTGGCAGACAACTGCAAATCGTTGAGCCTCCAACAAACATCACCACTAAAGTAGGGACTTACAGTACCGCGTGTAAGCAGCAGAGGGTACCACCTTCCATTGTACCTAATATGGGCATTGCACGGTGTCGTAGCTATCTGATTGCACGTTCACGGGACAATCCCTCCCTACTAACCACTTACTCCGTACAGACACGTGGAGACAGATAAACCGCGGAGGTTTGGCTACCGTACCTACTGGTACTTATATATTATGTGCCGACAATCTACCATGGTGCGGGACCTATCGATGATGCATCTCCAACCGCCGCGCCGTTCCATAATGCAGAGGCAGACGCACAATGCACCTTGCCGGAGAATGATATAGATTGAAGTTCCAAGTTACCCCCATGCATCTGTGCGCGAAAACGAATTCCAGGTCGGAAGCCCCCTTTCTCGATCCTCGCCGCGGGGCCTTCCAACCACAGAGACTGCCGAAAATTCCACCCTTACCGGTGAACACGTCGCCACGGTTGTCTTCCTGCCATGTAACTGGGTGGTTTCTATGCTGAAATGAATGAACGCCTTCTTGAATCTAGTTGTGATGGAACAAAACACTGATACTTTCGCCATGATGGACGCGCCGAATGGCCTGATTTGAGAGTTAGCTCGGACTCGCTCGTATATTGGAAACCCCGACAGATCCAACTCACCTCCGCAAACATGGAGCTGACATCGAGCACCTCAAGCTTTGGGCACTGTCGCGCATGCTCCGATTGATCCACACTGTTCGTCACCACGACCCGGTCCAGGTGGCTGGCATTGATGCGATCAATCGCATCCCCGCTCAGCACTCCATGGGTGACAAGTGCGTACACCATGGTAGCACCCTCTTTCTTCAACAGCTTGGCCGCGCGGGTGATCGTGTTGGAGGTGTCGGCAAGATCGTCCACCAGGATCGCCGTTTTATCCGCCACGTCTCCAACCAACATCATCGTTGCGTTCTGTCGGTCGGTGATCTGGGTCGGTCGTCGCTCCTGGAAAACGGATCAGTGAGCCATGTTCAGCGGCGTCCGTGGACAAGAAAATCTCACTTTGTGAATCAGAGCAAAGTCCACGCCCAGAGCATCGGCGATGGCGGTGGCCCGCTTCGCGCCTCCGGCATCGGGGCTCACAATGACCGCGTTCTTGTAGGCGGGGATCTGGAACTGGATGTGCTTCTTCAACAAATGCCGTCCGTACAGATTATCAACGGGGATGTCAAAGAATCCCTGGTATTGCGGGTCATGCAAATCCATCGTGATGACGTGGTCCGCTCCCGCGCAGGTGAGGAGATTGGCGACCAATGTCCCGGCCTGAGCCACCCATTGCCTGTACCCTCGCTGGGGCACGAATTTGGGCGGTTGCGTGATTTCGGCCGCGGTGCTGTGGTACGGCGCCTTCGAAGGCTCGGTCGGAGTGGAGGTATGGTCGCTTCCATTCCGCTTCTCGTCGGCCTTGGTGTGATCACCATTGGTCATCTGCAATCGACCGAGCTGCTTCTGAAGATTTTGCGGCTCGGTTGGGCCGGCGGAGTTGGGGTTGGGGGACTGCGGCCGACTGTCGAACGTGTAGGCCCCATTCCGCTGTCTGTGGACGACTCCTTTGGAGAGAGGCGCGCCCAATTTATTGTACGGGATGTCGGGTTGTCGGGAGTAGGGGAAGAGTGGGAGCACGGCGGTGACTCGCGTGGCGGAGGCGGTTTTGCATGCGGAAATGGTGATCAGCAACTCCATGAAGTGGTCATTGACCTTTCCACCGCCCGATTGAATGACGAAGACATCCTTTCCTCGGACGGATTCTTCGATCTCGACGCGTGTCTCGCCCACGGAGAACTTGCTGAGGGTGATCTTTCCGGGGGGGATGCCCAAGTGGTTGCAGACATTCTCCACCAGGTGCTTGTGGGAATTGCCTCCCAAGATGACAATATTCCGCACCATCTTCGGGGATTGGGGGATGTCGTCGGGATTAGGGGTCGAACCGAGCGACACGGCGATAATTTCGGCGGGAATGGCTCCAAATCGAGCCCGAGGGCGGGGACTATGTAGAGAATTTGGCGGGGAGGGAGGGGATGGATGATGATATGATTGCGAGCTGGGAGCGGAATTCTTTTCTCCCGGTTTTTCAACCAGACGGTCAAAGAGTGATGTCGTCGGAATAGGCTTCCTGGAAGGGAGCACTGTCAGCGTAAGTGACAATCGACATTATTTTAGTAGTAGGAGAGAGGAGGATGTTTAGGTGGAGGGATGAGCGAACAATTGGGCGGATGGAAAAAGATTTGGTTCGGCGGGACAAGGTTGGGGTTGGGGGTTTCGGCCGTTTGGAGTTGGGACGATTTGGCGCAGTACTAATTGTGCAGTACTAATTAGTACGATGATTATGACTACAGACTACAGATTAGAGTGCTGTTGGCCATCCAATGCTCAATCCTGGATTTCGAATGCTTTTTTCCTATGGGTTCGTTCACTTGGTTTGCACTTTGCGACGAAGTGTTGGACTCCATCAAATTCATGATCAACCGGTAACTATTGTTATGATCCGATGATTGTAATGGCGCCTGCCACCCATCTCCTTCATCCGATGTCGCCCCCGTTCTGCATGACTGGCACTCACGGCTTCGATCCTAGGCACCCATATATATCCTGGGCACCCGTATCCTAGCTACAGGCATCCGATCTCGCGTAGGCGCTCCGTCGCCCGCTCAGTCGCTCATCGGCCGGTCCACTCCCGAGTTTCTAGACCGTATTCCGTACATGCACCGTCAATACCATTAATCCATATGCGCCCGCCCCAGTGATGCATTCGGGGCACCAGATTGGTTTCCTTCTGCATATCCACTGAATCACGGAAATCGCGCCGACGTCTCATGTGACTGCCGTGCTTATGCATCGTATCCCATCGGACGTGAGGTTAAGAGGAATCGATATCCCGGAATCTCAGTCCTCATCGTGAATGATGATCCCCGGCGCATCTACCACTTTGGCTTCGCCATTAGCCTCTGCTGGATCGATATATCGGGCTGTATCCATAGCATCGCCACCAGCGTTCGCTTTCATCGGACCTAGCCCTTGCTTCCGGGGCGCTTTGCCAACGGTCGACACCGATCCTTCTTCCGTGCTTATCGTGCCCTTCCCCTTCGCCTGTTGCTTCCTCGCCTTGGCCCGGTCTCTCTTCGCCTTGTTCCGGTTCGTCTTCGCCTCATCCTTTCGTTTCTGTTCTTCTTTCCGTGCCGCAAACTCCTTGTCCGCCTGCTCTTGCTCTACCGATTCGTCCATCTGCCGAAGCCGGTCATATTCCCTCCGCCGACTGGCCTTGTAGACGTGGAATTCGCCGCTACCCGCACCGGCGCTGGAGCCTTGCACGTTGGCGACGATCTCGGGTGGTGGGGCGAGCTTTTTGGGGTCGGGGATGGTGGGGATTTTGACTTCGCGATCGGGATGCGCGAACAGAGCATCGATCTGAGCGGATTGTTGGGAGACGGGAGTGAGAGCGCGCTTCTTCACCGGCCTCTGAGAGCGACGGTCGGCTGAGGTGGGAATCGATTCGGGGATTGGCTCCGACATGATGTCCGCCAGGCGACAAAGATGTCCACGAGAATGGGATAGAACCCCGCTAGATGGATGCTGAGGCGAGGGCGACGGCTCCGAATTAATATGATTGTAAACCAGAATGGAAATGTGAGATACGGGTGCAGGTAGGAAGGATTGACATGAACGTGAACTACCTTCTACGGTGTTGATTCTGTGCTTGTCGCTCCGCGCCGCAAAGTAAATAATTACTGGAGTCTTTCTGTTGATAGCAGCGATCTAGATTGAGGCGTTTTCGGCGGACAGTTCAGACCATAAGTGCAGCATCTCCACCAACTGAAGCATTCGGATTGACGATGACAAAACATGTACAGCAAGTACAGCAACTAAACAACTGAACTGTATTCCGTACTCCGTAGCCATATACCATAAGGTACCGTATTCATATATTGGAATATTCTGTATTAGTACCTAAGTAGGTACGGTGATACGTACAGGTGTCTTTGTCCATTCATCCAATTACCTTTCCCCTGAACCTCCCAAAGTCTCGAAAACTCCTCGGACCTCCTACAATCGTGGATTACATGTCAGCCCAGGAGTCTGCTGTTTATTTGGTTACTTGCAAATCGCGATTATGGGGAAACCACGGGTATGTCTGCCATTCTCTCTCACCTGTCAAGCTCGCCTCTCCTTCGTGTCCCGTTTTCCGTCACGTATTAACTTGCAGCATTAGATGATCATATTGATTCGTCATGCTCAGTCGGAAGGGAACAAAAACCGCCAAATCCACCAGTATATCCCAGACCACCGCGTGAAACTCACGGCAGAAGGCTGGAAACAGGTATGCAATCCAGCAGTGGAAGGTGGTACCATCGCTGACTTCCGGATCAAGGCTGAGGAAGCAGGGCGGAGGCTACGCTCTCTGCTGAAACCAGACGACACCATCCAATTCTTCACTTCGCCATATCGCAGGACACGGGAAACCGCTCAGGGCATTCTCTCGACCTTGACCACATCCGATCAGTCCGACCCCTGCGGCCCATCGCCCTTCCAGCGAGAAAACATCAAAGTGTATGAGGAACCACGGCTTCGTGAGCAGGACTTTGGCAATTTCCAGCCATGTTCGGCCGAAATGGAGCGTATGTGGCAAGAGCGGGCAGATTATGGTCACTTCTTCTACCGAATACCCAACGGAGAGTCGGCCGCCGACGCCTACGATCGGATAAGCGGGTTTAACGAAAGCTTATGGAGGCAGTTCGGCGACGAAGACTTCCCAAGCGTCTGTGTGCTGGTCACGCATGGCTTGATGACAAGAGTCTTCCTCATGAAATGGTAAGCTTCTGCACTCGTGTCGTATGCTATGGCGACTGATTCGGGCCAGGTACCACTGGTCGGTGGAATACTTCGAGGATCTTCGGAACGTCAACCACTGCGAGTTCATCGCCATGAAGCAGTCGGAGAACAACGGCAAGTTCATCTTGCAGAACTCGATGCGAACCTGGTCGGAACTCAAGCGTCGCGCTGCTGCCTTGAATGCCGAAGCTGGTGGGAACGACAAAGGCACGAACGCCACACCGAAAGACCAGGGAGAACTCTTGGACTCCGCCGATGTCCCGACACGAAGATGGGGCGGGTGTGCCAACGGATGTAACCATGCCCACCTCAACTATCCCAATCGACCACGGAGGCAGAATACAATCGACTACCTACAACAGCCAGTAAAGCATGACATAAGCACGGTCCGAGAACTGCAACGAGAATCGGATGATCACCCGATCGCTTCCCAGGATGCAAAAAAGCACGGTGCCGTTCCCCGGAAAGGAAAGGCGTTTGGAATTGATAGTGCCATCGCTACTAAGGATGGCACTCGAAGCAGAGGCCATGGCGATAGAGGATCAAGGTTGGAGCCCATATACAACGATCAAGGGCCCGAATCACCAATAGAGACACCATCGACCGCTGCTTTCTCGTCTGAAGCGGAAGTGGCTGACAGTGAAGCGAGCCGTTCTCGTGCGAGCCGTCATCACCAGCACGATGATCACCGGCCTGGGAAAATGAAGAGCCTCAGCTCCAACCTACTCGCTCCAGACTCATCGAATCCCGCTCGATCACAACGGCCGAACCACTTTCATTTGATGGGGCGTGACTTCGGAGGCTCTCATTCTGGGGTGAGCACCCCGGCCGATATACTTTCTGCCGATTCCAATTCTGCATCCGACCTTGACGGCTTTGATTCGCATGCCACACCCGCAACGAAATCTCAATCGAAGTCGCTCCCAATCCAGTCTCAGTTTTTGTCGCGGAATAAGCGGTCCATGACCCGGCAAGAACTGGAGGAGGAAAGCGGCATGAACGGCGCTGCACGAGCCGACGCTCTGGGTGATGCGGAAGACGAAGGCGATATTCCAGCCGCTAATCTTTCGAAAGAAATAAACGACGGATCCGGCAAAACCGCCGGCGGCGACACGCTTCAAGAGTACGAAGGGTGGACTGAGGAGGATATCGAGAAAGCGAAGGAGGAGAATTGGAAGAGCTTTGCTGAAATTTACTGAACTTTTCCGTTGGGTTCATTCGCTTCATGACTGGCGTTGTTAAAGGATACCTGGCCTGACGAGATACGATGATGATTATAGAATCCGAAGAGGGCTTCGTGGACGGTTCATCTGTACCATTGCGATATTGGGATTGTTATTCTCTGAGCGATATGGATCCGAGGACGAAATGCCACATCAGGATCGGTGCATTCAGAATACACGATTGACGATACACTACTACGAGTGATGGTGCAATCAAGCAACTCGGAGGTCCTGTCACCAATGCACCTATAAATCTGGCTCTTTGATCGCTTCCCGTACTCCTATAAGGCGTATTGGGCGAAGCAGATCCGAGTGGATTTGAGCTCGCTGGGTTAAATCCTTAATATAAACTTAAAAGGTTATTTTGTCGGCACTCGCTCAGAGCGAAAGGCCCAAGACAGGTTAGCTATCAGTGGACTGGCAATACCCGAAGGAGAGACGGCAAGCTTATTCATGTTATTATGACTTATTATTGTCTATCAACCGCACAAGGGGAGTCTTCTGTGGCGAATCTTTCTGATCCCTAGGCTTTGACGAGACCAACTTCACCTTCCGCTTTCAATGTCCACTCTACCAGTACAATAAGCTGCCCTAGTCTCTCTTTCATCGAATCTACGCCTTTGGTTCCGTTTGTTCTTAGAGTCTTTCATTCTTCGCGAGTGATGTAGAACACCATGGTGTCATTTTCTCGAGCAGTGGCAAGCGATGTCTTCAATCACCTCGATTTGGCCGCACTATCTCTGGGACATCAGAGACCTCATCGAACCTGTCAACACTAGTTATTATCAATCGCCCGTCCATTGACCACAATCATTTCCTGTTGGGCTTTCGTATCGATTGAATTACAGCCCAGTCTCCCAGTCATCGATGTCAATAGTGCTACTACCACCCGCATGACCAATGGATATAAGCAAGTTAGATTGATATTTGGCAGCCATCCAGAACATGACGACGTCAAAGGATCCGTAGAGTTTGTCAGCAGCTAGCTAGCCTATCATATTTCAAGTTCGGGTATCTTCTGCTCAACACCGTCGTAAAGGGCGTCTAATACTACTAGTTATCTGAAGTAACTTAGTTATAAGTTAGTTAACTACGTATAGGGCGTCTTTAATAGAACATCCTCCCAATGTGTTTGTAATACCATCGACTCCCCACCAATAATCGTGTTATGACGAATAAAGCTCAGTCTGGTCCGTTGACGCCATCGCACCCTTGGTTATGGTTGAGACAGAATACCTAATTCGGGGGATGCTTAGAAACACCTGCAAGAATCATAGCATCTGAGCAACCTTTAGATGGCTGCCCATGGCCGAAATACATGTAGCGTCCGATACGACCGAAGTGAATTACTAACCATCTGGTCTGGGGCGAGGCATCCCCGAAATCCGAATGGCGGGGAAGCTCGGCCGATGGCATCATTCTCTAAATCTCACGCCCTGTGGAGTGGAGTAGTCACTAATGAACATTTGTAATAGTGCCACTAGAAGTTGAGAGGGTTGACACTTGACAGTGGGATTAATCGAGTATAAATCCCTTTCAACATTCCGCTTGATCTTGTACTTCCGTTATTTCCATTAATTACTGTACCGTACTGAGCAGCTACCCCACCGGATCGAATCTGATTACGCCCACATACTACGGAGCAGTGTCATTGCAATAGTGTTGTTACAGAGTGCTCTCAGCATATATTCGCCTTTACCGCCTTGTCCATCCGTCAATCGCGTTTGAGACGTCTATTACCAACAATGGCCACAGCAGCGCCTCTTCAGCCAACTGCGGCCCATCAGCCGGCTTTCGCTGCCACCGTACCCGAACCTGTCTCTGCTCCTTCCAATCTTACTGTCCCGCGTGGACCGGTTGAGGCAAAGCTCTCCTACTATACCCCTCCGGCGGATGGCTCCCGTCCGTACGGCTACGTTGAGCAGCCGCCAGAAGGCGTGCCACAGCGCAACTACAGCAAAGAAGATCACGAGGTTACAATTGAAGACCTTCGTGGGCGCGAGACCGACTTCACCCTTGACAAGAATGCGTTCGAGGTCTTGGCGAACGTCCCCTCAGCGACAACATACACAACGTTTGATTCCGATGACGAGGTTGAAAAGGTGTATTACCCTGAAGTAGAGAAGCTCCTCCTCGACAGCCTGCCTGGCGCGCACCGCATTTTCATCTTCGATCATACCATCCGCCACGCAAGGCCCAATTCCAATCGGAGTCCTGTCACACAAGTCCACATCGATCAAACTCCTGCTAGCGCCAAGCAAAGAGTTGAGCATCATTTGCCGGACGAGGCAGCCGAGCTAGTTCGTGGCCGGTATCGCATCGTGAACGTGTGGCGTCCACTTAATCCTCCAGTATACTCCTTCCCCCTCGCCATTGCGGACTCATCGACGGTTAGAGATGAGGATCTCGTCGGAGTGGAGCATCGATATCCAACACGTACGGGAGAAACGGCAGGGGTGAAATATCACAAAGGGCAGAAGTGGTACTATCTGTCGGGCATGCTTGGCAATGAACGTTTGTTGCTCAAGTGCTCCGACAGCGATGGAACAGTCGGAGGTTACGGCCGGGCACCTCATACCGCTTTCATCGACTCGAGGACTCCGGATGGGGCGCCAGGTCGGGAAAGTATTGAAGTGCGAGCACTCGTTTTTGGTTGAGGGGTCTGCGGGAAATATTTTGTTAGTATTATCGGACTAGGAGTTTGGAATGGATTTCTGGATAGTTGCGCTGGGGTCTGACATGCTTACCTGTCATATAATGATATGATTGTCTCGATAGTGCGCGTGAGAATGATGAACCTATCGTCACCATCACTGAGAACTCCATGATTGCTGTAGGCAGGGGATCCTGCTATCCAAGGAATCAATCATGTGCGGTTCAACCCTTTTTGGATTTCAACAGAAAGTCGTCCATCCGCTTCATCCAGTCCCCCGTCCTCTCCCCTGTCCTGCGCGCCTTTGCTTCTCCCCAGCCACTAAGGAGTTCCTCCCGCAAGGGTTCGGGAATGTCGATTTGTTCATCCCGACTCAATGCCTTCAAAATCGTCTCGCCATCATTCTCGGATACCATCATGGCGTCCAAGGCCTGGCTGCCTGGAAGCGTTGTCGGAGTGGGTTTGTTCTTTGTGGAGATCTTAATATGGGCCGACGGTATCTTCTCTACCTGGATGACTTCGACCTCGTCTAGGGACAGATCCTCGTCATATAGTACTTGTCTAATGATGGAGGTGATCTCCTCAAGCTGTTGGTCTGACAATTTGTTCCTCCCTCCTTCCAAGATCGACTCGAGTGCTTGCTGGCTATCGACTCGTAGATTAAGGATCTGAAGCACTTCTCCTTTCGGAATCTTGTATGGGCGGAGGCGAGTGACCAGAATCTGGGCAGTTCGAGGGTCGCGGACGCGGACATTGCTAGGGATCGGCTCGAGCGGTGCTCCTTGCGCTTCAAGGTAAGATTGGACCTTTGCCAAAGTGGTCCCGAGGTTTTTGGGAATCCGTTTTTGACGGCCCTCACGCTTATACCGCTCTTGCAGTTCGCGAACATGCTGCAGAACTTCTGCATTGGTGAGCGTCCCGCTCATGGTTTGGACGACTTGCTATATTCCGAGTTAGAACCCTACATCGTAGATGGTGTGTCCCTGAGGGAGGTTGAGGCGGTCTTACGGGACTCATGGCGGAATTTAACAAAGCTTTGGGCTATCCTGAGGCATTAGATTTAGACTTGATGGTTCAGATCATATCTAGCATGGATATCTGAACCATATACCAAGCTGATGGAGCATAGATCAGGCATTCACTTGAGAGTTGAGATGATGGAAACGAACGAAGTCCCGACTGTACTCACTATTGAATATTCAATATACTGAATATAGGGAAAATTTTGCGCACAGACCATCCACGCGTCTTTGTTGATTATTACCCAACCCTAAGCGGTCGTCAGAAAAAGCAAGACCAAGAATGTGCCGAAGTTTCCCCGCCCACGACCAAAATTGTGTGTAACGTAGGAAATTCAATCATTACCGCCATCATAATGGTTTGTACACGGTCTAAAGCTCGTCGAAACGAGCAATTAAGGGGAAATGCTACTCATCGTCATTATACCGCTCTCGAAAAGGCGTGCCTTCGCGGTGAGATAGGCCGCTCGTCGTCAGCAATATGGGTTAGAGACCACGCGCTCTAATCGAGCGATTTTTCAGCGAAATGGAGTCCCTAAATCGTCTGCATACCGCATCTTAAAGTCTAAAAGGGGCGATCGGCGTATATCTGATCAGGAAATGCGAGGGCGGAAGCCTCTTATCTCACCTACCCAGCTCGCAGTCCTTGATCGCTTGGTTGAATCAATGGGTTGCGAAGAGAGGAATATCACGTGGGACGCATTGGCGTACGAGTCTGATACCGATTGCGCACCACGTACGATTCAAAGATCTATGGCGTCTATGGATTACCATAAGAGTATCGCCTGCAGAAAAGCTTGGGTTTCAAGGAAATTGGCATCTAAACGTGTTGCGTACGCGAAAATGATGTTAGAGAGGTATCCTACTGCAGACCATTGGAAACATGTTAGATTCAGCGATGAGGTCCATATCGGACTTGGGCCCCGAGGGAAGAATCTTATTATACGGAAACGAGGACAGCGGTACTGTTTGAATTGCATCCAACGGGTTTCAGATCCGGATGAAGCGGACAAGCGAAAAATCCACGCCTGGGCGGCTGTTGGGTACGATTTCCAAGGCCCTCTTGTTTTCTACGATGTTCCGACGAATAATACCGGTAAGATGTCGCAAGATGTCTACTTAAACAAGATCCTCAAACCTGTCGTTGGTCCTTGGGTTGCAAACAACGAGTATTTTGTATTAGAGGAGGACCAAGACTCTGGACACGCACCGCCAAGAACTACCAAAACGAAGCCTTACCCGGAATTGAAATGGAAAGAGGAGATAGGGCTGCATTCCTATTTTAATTGCGCGGGGTCTCCAGACCTTGCGATCATCGAGGACTGTTTTCAATCTTAAAGGGGTATGTTCGCAAATACAGGCATTGGGAACCGGAGGAAACACGCCAATTGGCACAGGAGGCGTGGTATGAGTGTCTTGATCAAGAATGGATTAACCAACGTGTCCTTACCATGCCTGATCGGTTACGGAAGGTTATTGAATCAGAGGGCCAGATGATTGCATACGGTAGGGGCATGGCCGGCCCAAACCCGGGCTAACAGCCAGAATTTCGTAGGTATATACTCATTATCTAGGTGCGAATAGTCTCAAAAAACGATTGATTATATTTCACTTATTTTGTGTGGGTAGTTGTACGCATAGCCGTGGTTGAATACTAATTTGTATGTGTTGGGGCGCCAAGACCAATTTCTTGCTCTTGCTTTTTTTGTCGACCGCTGGGGGCCAACTTCCTCATCAAATCCGTTCCAATAACTCCAGTGGCTTCCACACCACCACCTAATTGTGTGGTATTTTCGATCGAAAATGAAATAAATCCTATCTAAGCCTACAGGTTTAACCGGTATACCAACATGTCTGAGTATTAGAGCTCAGCCAAAGCATTAGGCTCAGAAACAAATATATATTATTTCCTATTGTTCTTACTATTGTCCATCACTATTGTCCTACATCTGCTACCACCTCCGAAAATTCCTTGGGACAGGGCCTAGATGGTGTACCTAAATTCTGCGAGGCCCTCCAGAATCCGTTCGCCCCTGTTCGCCTGCTTGTTTCTCATCATATAGTAGAAAGCCAGTCCGATGCACATCAGGATCGTGGCGAGCTGGGTTGCCTGAAGACAAGTCAGCAAAAGTGCATCCAGTGGCAATGGCGAAGGTAGCTTACCACCGCAGCCCAGATTCCGCTCGTATAATGCGGCAACTCCTTCTCCATGAATGTCGTGCTGGCATAAATGCCTCCAATGGCTCCAAACATGACCTGCATAGCTGAGGCGATCCTGGGGTTTAAGGTTAGAGTTTAGAAACAATAACTAGTAGTGTAGGGACTTACGCTCGAGTGCTCTGGCCACGGATGTTATTCGCCTGCCATGCAAGCACCGTTGACAAACTGGCATTGCAACCCGCAGTTCCAAGGAAAACTCCGAAGTAGCGGGGACCAGTACCGTGAGCGTATCGAACGAGGATCATCCCGACGAGGGTAACAATAGACTGTAGGATGGCAAAAGGGGCTCGAGTGCGCCATCTGTCGGCCAACCAAGAACAAAAAATAGCAAATGGGACACTAGCCACGGCAGGAGGTGCGGCTAGTAGGAAAGTCTCGCTGACAGAATATCCAAAGGACTTAATGATTATTGCAGAGAAGAAAGCAAATGCATAGATCCCTACAGCAGCGCTCATGAACATCAGGGCGCTTTATATGGGTTAGTAAAAAAAGGTTTAGACAGGTAGATTCAGTGAAATCAGTGAAATCAGAAGGGTTGGGGGTTAGGTTGGGGGTTTGAAGCACAATACTTACAAAAGCCAGATCTCCCATTTGAGCAAACAGTGTTTGATCTTGGGCCAAGTAATCTCATCAAATTCAGCATCGCTACGATCGCGATTCAGGCGGTCGGTAATCATCTGGACCTCGTCCTCGTTCAAGAATGGCTTTCGGGATTTCAATACCTGGTCCGGAAATGGAACAATCAAGGCGTATCCTAAGGCAGCCAAGGCGACGGTGATTAGTCCTTCTATGACGAAAATCCATCGCCACCCACGTAAGCCACCAACTCCTTCCATCTGGATCAATCCATAGGCCAGTATGTTACCGAAACCATTTGATACGACGTTGACAGCATAGAACCAGGCGATGCTAGAACCGTCAGTCGTCCTTCTATCGCAAATATCTGAAGAGGGGGGTGTACCGTTGCTGGACTTGATATCGTTCGTACCAGGAGCTGATGAGGTAGACGCATCCAGGACTGCGTTGAACCGTTAGATCTGGATTACAGCGGACAACACTCTCTCAAAGAAGATGCGCACCATTGATCGCGGATAACTTACAAAAATCCCGCTTCGAAAACACCGACTAGCAAGCGGATAATGACAATAGGAATCCAATTATGGGCGAAACCGGCACACATGATGCAAACACCCCAGCCAAACGCGAGGAAGGCGAGGTACCGATGGGCCGGAACCTTGCGTAGGACGATGTTTGACGGAATTTCGAAGATGAAATACGTGAAGAAAAACACCAGGAGGGCGATTGAGTATCTGCGAAGGCATTTGTTAGGAAGATGATCCAATCGGAACGTCACCATGGAGCCGCTGGTACCTGTTGCCTTGATTGAATCCTAGATCAACATCCATTCCAGCAACGCGGGCATTGGAAAGCTGTGAGAAATTAGCCAAGGATCCCTATAGTTGCCAAATGGTGTTTCCCACATTTGTCCGATCAATACCACTGATAGAATACATAGCTCCCAAGATGGGGATGACCCTGATATCGATCTTGAGACTAGAGGTAGATAATTTAGCACCCTCCCTTCCGCATTGTGGTTTTCGACTCACGTAAGCTTTTTTAGCCTTTTCAGGTATTCAGGGTTGTCATGAGCGATATCCTGGTTTGAGGAGCTTGCCTCGCCCTTTTCAACATGTTCGACGTGGCCGATATATGGCTTGGGGTCAAGGTCGGCCGGATCGACGGAATGGTGCATCTCCTTCATGGCGGCGAATGACGACCTGCTTGTAAAGAGAATGGATATACCCGATCTGAAAAAGATGGAAGGGCTAACTGTTTGGCGTTTCCTTGGGTGACGCGCTTGGGGAGAGCGGGTTTATCAATACGCGACTCTGCGTTCGAGACCATGCCCGAAGAATACCGGTTGACTGAAGCATGCCTGTCCTTTATCACCGCATTCTCGGATTGCCACATGGTCCACCATCCAAGGGCAGCAGGTACTTGCTGATCCTCATCCATACAAATTTCCCTCATCCCTACTGTGAATACGGAGTACTGGGAACTGGGAAGACGTTATCCCGTGCCAGTAGGTAGCACAGGGTACTTAGTGCATTCCCCGCAATCTCCACGCGGAAGCGCCAATAGGCATAAGGCAATAGTACCATCTTCAGCATTTCCCCGGAGCGATCCATGCCACTCTTCCCCGTTACGTACATAGTATACACTGAGTCTCGGGTATCTTGGCATGACTAGTGGACGGCCTGGAATCTGGATAGTGGATTGAAATGGGGAAGAATTAAGAAATATTAAGCGTGCCGCTTCCCGCATTCCAGACTAGTGTGTTAGTCGCTTTCATAAACTTCGAATTATGTGCGGGACAGCTAGCAGGGCACAATCGTCCATACTCCATCACGGGTACCGATTATAGTCCCTACGGCGACTTGATAGAACGCTGGATGAAATTTTAGACCACTGGTAGTGCAATATTCCTGTGAAAGAGATGGATAAATATGGAGAGCCGTATAGGTAACAATATCAGCTACCAGTGTCCAGCATTGATTGCTGAGATGGGGATCTCTGAGAACGGGAAATAAGTAACATCACTTCAGTTCTCGATGGAAGCATGGAAGTATGGAACGCAGTGGCCCCTCGTACTCCAGACACCGGGGTATTATTTCCGGACAGGGAGTATTATTTCTAGGCGGAATTGAGACGGACATGCCGGTAATTTCAGCTGGTTGGTCAATTGTATCGTCTGTCGGACAGGAGCATGGGGGGAATACAGCCGAATACAGCCGAATATGAGGAATCAAGTTTCCAATGTTCAGGGATTTCCGGCTGAGGTGATCCTTTGGCATTTTGGGAAACATCGAGAAAGCCGAACCAATAGAGGAGACAGGAGATAGACGAGACAGACAGACAGTTCCAATCGACCAGACTAAATCTCAAGGAAGTAGATAGATCCGGGGTTCCGGTGATGTGGCTTGTCTGTGGATGTGCTCGGTAGGATACCTTAGTTCACGGATGAACTAACTACTGTTGACCAAAGCTTTCTGTCCGCGTTTCCCTTGTGGATTTTTGTGGTTTTCATGATTTCATCTGGCAACCCTGACTCAATCAACTGCTGTGCAGTTGACACTAATCCAGACAATACCTGCAGTAATTAGCGACTTCGTTGGGTTCGTATTCCGTACCTTATGGTGACTTGGTGAGATGGAAGTCAGAGGATGGGCTAAGAGGCAGGGGGCGGCGCGTATTCCGGATCCGGGAATAATAGATCCGCTAGGCTTAGCGGCTTAGCACTGAGATATGTGGCGTTTGTTGCGGCCGTCGAGTCGTCAACGTCGCATTATTCAGACTTCACTACGGAGTAGACAACTCGACATCCAGCTCCCGTGCAAATTATCCGTCGTCATTCTTCAAGTATTCCCGTCACCATGCTGCGGGGATTTCGGCAATAAACTGCTTGTCCCTTGCCTCTCCACCGTTACATGCACGCAATTCAGCCACTAACTACCCAAGTCCGAAAGTGGATGCCGTTGACCAAGCAAGATAAATACTCCAGAAGGCAGAATCGGAAACACCCCATCAGATCTGGCTGACTTCTCAGTTCTCAGTTCTCACCGATCACAGCTGAGTGCTGGCTCCCAGACGCCACTCGAGTTAGTGTCTTTCAGCTTTACCAGACCAATTTCTCCCCCCACTAAATCCTGATCTTGAGTTCTTGTCAGTTGAATACATACATAGTTCATGCACATGGCACAACTAGTACATGTAGGTTTGGGTTAATGAATATCTCCAGTACGTACTTGTTGACATGGTGGGTCGCACCCGATCGATGAATCTAGACCTGTGTACATAACCCCAGAGTACGGATAAGATGGGTTCAATACGAGGCTCTGTTGAGAACGGCGAATTCGAACCTCTAGTGACCTGGTCTTCTAAAGTCTAGACTCGCTACTGCCGCAGGGAACGACTCTTCATCCGCGCCCTTAAAGTTCGACTAGTCTGGTGACTGATCCTTAGAATGTGTGTGAACCGCCATCCTTGGCAGCACCTGTAGATCGGCCGACCCGTAGAAGTTGAGGATGGGATGCATCTATGCTTGGTGGAATCCTGGATAGACAAAAGAGAGTAGCGAGATAGATTGAAATAGTGGATGTGCAGTTGCATCAGACGGAAAAGCATTCTTCGTTAAATTATGATTACGCTTCATTCGACAAAGCTCATACGCTAAAATTTCTTTTCCGTAGCGTTCGATACACATTACTGTTCTCTAGCTGCTCTTCCCTGGCCAATGATCCTAAGGTTTGATTATATTTGCTGCCCGAATAATGCCTTGAGCTGTCTTCGTGACCCATTCCTGTGCCATGTCGAAGTCCTTATATATCTCGACGGCCTCCGTGATTCCAGGGAAAGTAACAGGAGCATATCCTTCAAAAAGTCATTAGCAGTGTTAGTCGATGGCCGCAGATTGGAACCTACCAGTGTCTAGGCCAGGTGCAAATGCGACGTGTTGATAGAATTCCCGTTCGGGGAACCCTCCTTGGCTTGTGAAGCCTCTTTGGAAATCACGGTATTTATGATTCACAACGAGGAGCAAATCAGCATCCTCGCCCTCCAGAGCTTTCTGTTCGAGTGCTTTAATTTCAATCGCTCGCCTCTCAAATTCGTCGATGGCGTGGGTGAGTTCAGTGAGGTCCACGCTCCCGCTGGTTGAAGAGATGGTCTTCTCGACGGCATCGAAATACTTCTTCAATTCCACTGTGTAATTAGGAAGGTCAAATGGGACGACCTCATCATCTGCGAGGTGATATGCCAACAGTGACAGATACTGTCCTACCGCTTTATGGACGGGGAATCCCGGGTCACCGTAAGTGGTCATCCAGTGCCAGGTGTCATAGTTCGAATGATAGTGATAGATTGGATCTCCGGCACCTTGATCGCTCCCCACATCGAGCTAATCGGATGGTTAATATTCGTCCTCGGTTGGCGGATGGTCCTACTTACTGAAGAGATGCCTTTGTGGAGGAAAGCAGTGTAGTCAGATCCGGAACCTAGGACCCCAACCTCACCCTCCGTCTCCTCAAACCAAACGTCATACATTGTCAAATTCAGAGCCCCATTTTTGGGCCAGATGACCTTCTTCATCGTCTCAATTGCAACTTTATGCAGCTCTGGGGTCGCTGAAAGTCCCGGGGAAGGTCCGGAGCACCCGACATCGATATTAAGATATGACACAGTGGTAGCTGAGAGCCATGGAATGTATTCTTCCACCCATTCGGTCGATCCGAGGAGGCCGTACTCCTCCGCGTCCCAGGATGCTAAAACAATGTTTCGTCGGGGTTTCCATCCGGTTTGAAGCAATTTACCAAAAGCTTTGGACAATTCCACCATGATTGCCGAGCCCGAATTCGGGTCCGCAGCCCCTCCGACAATCCAAGCATCTCTATGATTGCCGATTACGATGGTCTCATCGCTGTTCGTGCCGTTGATCCATGCAATGGCATCCCAGATCGGCGTGATCGCATCTCGCATGACATTCGACATGGAGAGGACGGCACCTGGGGCGGGACCGGTGCTATAGGTGGAATTGAGAGCACCAACCCAATTGGTACGATTGACTTCCGACCCATTGGTACCATGGCCGTCTAGGGCATTCAACAAAGGTTTTGCGTCCTGCCAGGAAAGTGGGAAAGATGGAATACGAGGCGTGACCGGTGACTTATCCGTACGAGGGCTGTCTTCCTTTGATGGATATCCAGGGGTCGTTGGGTCTCCTGGATAGGTAGAGAGGAATTGCACAGAGCCTCGTTGGGCAGACGTAGGATTTCTTGCGGGTCCCTCTGATACAGGTCGTTAGTCGACCTATAAGGAAAAGTGCCGTTGCTATGCATAAGAGTCGGCTAGTTACCTGGATATGCGGCATAGCCGTTTGCTTCAGTCACATTGCCGTCATCGGCAGTGTCGGTGAATATGACTGCTCCGATCATTCCGTAGTCTTGGGCATTCTTAACTTTCAATCCTCGGAAAGGCCCTCCATACCTTGCAAGAGCAATTTTGCCTTCCAGCGGGACTCCAAGGGCGACGAGACGGTCAAAGTCCACTTGTTGTCCTCTACCGACGTAGACATATTCCGCCGAGGCATTTCCAGTAGCTGAATATCCGTGGAACACGGGGGCCGAATCTGGGGAGCCCGTTACCGAATCTTCTGCCAGTACATCTTCTTTCAACTTGGGATGAAACACGGACCCATTTCCGTAAGTAAGTGTGAGCGAGTTTGACACTGGGTAGTTCAGATACACAATATATTCTGCCAGGGAGGCCGTGAATCCGTTCTCAGCCCAGCGATCTGCTGTCCATTGCGCCTGGCTCTTATTGGTGCCGGCAATGTGCAACCCATGAGTATAATAGTGGCTCCATTCAGAGAGCGACGTACTGTCGAACGAGTTGGACAGAATCGATTCGGTTTCTGACAACACCGGCGGGAATGGCGCATGAGGAGCTTGTCGCCTTGAGAGTGTTCGGCCTCTCTCCAAAAGATTTTTCTCGCGTATACATGCGTTCGCTTGGGCAAGCAACGATATCAGTGCAATTGAACGTGCCCCCTTCATTGTTACAACGCTTGCTAGTGACGGGACAAGAAAACGGACTCAAGCAGTAACGACATTGTCAATCGAGTTCAGGTCGGACGGACGTCACTCCGGCTTTGTATTTATACCACCATCCGGGCATTTGGATAACCACCCAAGATGGCAACTATTGGCATTCGACTGTACAATCCCCGGACTCTTTTGTGCGGGACTCGTTGTCTCATCTAGGATAGTCCAACCCCACCGGGTTCAATTGCTGGGCGAAGGACCTTAGCATTGGCATTTTCGGAGCTTAGCCGCTTTTTCAGGAAGGTGATTGTGAATCCAATTCCTAGACAACGTAGAAAGCGGCGTTGGAGCCGGTACAAAATAGTCAAGTCGAGAGAATAGTTGTGGCGATGATGCGCTTGGAATCGACATGGATGGTGCATCGTGATCTGATCCGATGTGGGGGCCACGGAATGATTCCCAAGCAACTGATGTCATCCCCCAATGCTCCCGCTCGTCTTGCGGAGCAGAGGCAGATACCAAGTACATAGTCGATTTACTGTGTCTACTAATGTTCTGCAATAGAAGTGCCGTGCTCAATGATTCTCACTCGTACTCTCGTAGACCGGTGTTAGGACTAAGACGAGTGATTAGCACTGCAGATCGTTTCTCAATGCGGTTGACACCGGGAACCCAACTCTTGGGGGGAACAGGGTGATCTGCGTGAACATATCAGGTGTGTTGTTGAGCTGCATCGGTCAACGTTACATTCAGTCGAAGTCTGAAAAGCATCATCAGGACGTAGATCGTGCAATCCCTCTTGTGAAGCACGCGACCGGATCAAGGGAAAGTGATGAAAGAACACAATGATTGGTACAGTCAACACGTACCGCCATGGAGCGGGAGGCCATCATGGCCATATCAATTGTCATTGCGGCAAACATTGAGTTTTGTTCTGTTTGTTGACAGAAGCTTCCTCTCCGGGCGCGGCCCAGGTATTGACGTCGATGTGTTCGTCATCCACCCCCATTTTGGATATAGTCGGGCTAACAAAGCACTCAGTCAAGCTGCTAGTAGTTCATATCGAAGGATATGTGTATAGCTTAGTATCATTGATACCGATAACACTATCTAAATCTTTTATCTGCGAAGTGGATGAAATCTTTTAGTGGTTCGGCAATGTTGAATTTGTTGAAGCGTCGTGAGCGTCCAACCACAATAGTAGCTGCTTTACGACCCTGTTGAGGGATTTGCAAGATAGATAACTAACTGTCCCGCAATTAACTTAATATAACTAGTTCGAGAACGAGCACCTCTAGGAGACTTACCGCAAATATGTTCGCTTGGGCGACAAAGGTATCAAGAGCTTCGTTGACCGGAGATTGGGGATCCTCATGAAATAAATAACTTCCCCTTTTCGAACTCGAATAGATGTAAGTAAAGAACAGGTGGCGGCCGTCCAAGGTCCCCTAGGCAGAAACAAAAAGCTTCCAGCTTGCTATCCAAGCAAGATTGATAGGATTAGTCGGTCGGGATTATACGTCAATCCCGGCTCTGGAGAGACTCCGTTGACATCGGTTTTGCTGCCGGGGTTTTGGTTATGCGGCGGATAGCGTCCGTCCCTGCTAAATAAATGGATAGAATCAGACACCTTCTCTTTGTTATCTAGTTCTGCCGGCCGGATCCAGATTCCATTAAGTCCTGTCACTGATACGATACTGGACGCATTTGTCACAATGAAGCCGCTCAGCGGTGAGACGAACTGATTGCCAATGATGCCTCCGATTGTGATTTTGTCACGCCATCAGTTACTCTGTGCGAAGGTACAATAAGTACTGAGGGTGAGAAGCTCAATCCGCATGGGCGGAAGTGGCGTCGAAGTCGTTAGTTCAGCAAACCAACGTGGCCCAAGGTTTAGATTCGTCTGAAGATCGATGCCCTGTAAGAAATCCCTCGTGTATCTAATAGGGTTTTAGATGATGTCAGCATTTCTGGTGTGTATGAACTTTCACGATGTGAGCGTAATGATTGCATCACCATTCCATCACTTTCGGTATGAAAATGTGAATTGTAGCTGTACTACCGTCCCAATCAAGATTCAGTAGAAGAATTCTAGAAATCACACCACTCACTCGGTAACCCGCTGCATCTCATAAGCACCAGTATGTTGACCATTGGTTCCGCATCTTTGAGGGCAGCATTGATTTACACACGTTCCCGTGTCATTCAAATATCACTGAGTTCAAGAATTGCAGCCATGTCTACCATTTCAGACGCTATCACCAAGGACCACCGTGAGTTGGAGGCTTACTACAAGGAAGTGATCAATTCGAGCGACCATGACCACCAGGAACGCTACGGCAATCAGTTCACTTGGGAGCTCGCTCGTCACTCCGTCGGAGAGGAACTCATAGTGTACCCGGCATTTGAGAAGTACATGGGAGGGAAAGGCCATGCAATGGCGGAAAAGGACCGGATAGAACATCATCGAGTGAGTCGCCCGAGAATAGAGCTTGGTTCATGCTCATGATCCTAACCGACGTCTAGGTCAAGGAGATGCTCAAGGAATTCCAGAACATGCAGCCGAATGATCCCAACTATGTCCCGAAGTTGAAGGAGCTGTGGGGGAACCTAGAGCAGCACATGAATGAGGAGGAGACGGACGACCTCCCTGCTCTGGAGCAAGCTCTTCAGAAGGCTAAAGGTGAATCGGAGTCCATGGCCAAGACCTTCGGCTTCACCAAGATGCTAGTCCCCTCTCGAAGCCACCCGAGCGCTGGCGAACACCCACCATTTGAGACTGTTATGGGCCTCCTCACCGCTCCAATCGACCATATCGCCGACATATTCAGGAAGTTTCCTGATAAGACCATTTCACCCAATCCATCCACCAAGTGAAACATCACAGTGTGGACAGGAGGTGTTGTATTCTAGCTCTTCATCACTGGCAGTGCAGCACCAACATGCACCATCTGTAGTATCAGTCGTAGTATTGTCAATGACATGGCAATCTGTATAATTGTATATCATCCTAGCAGAATCCTTGATGGCCGCGAAGTGGTGGTTAGTAAAGAGTGATTTTGAGCATGGTTGTACTAAACGTTGGTGTGCGTGGACGAAATGAATGAGAGCGATATGGTTGAATAGCAAAACAAACCGGAAAGTTGTAAGTTGCGGCTTACCTAAGGTCACATGACTAGCGGAACGCGAGACGCGACCCGCCTGCATGGCTTCACCTCCTCCATTGATTCACGTGCTCCTCTTAAGTCTTGAATCTTTATGTCCACAACTGTCCAGTGAATCTCATACATACCTAAGTACCTGTATCTGTGGAGGTCCGAATCTTACTTCTTCATTGAAGGGAAAACCACCAGGATGGCCTCTCGTGTAAGGCAATCCATGGCACCGTCCGCAAGCCAACGTCCAGCACAATCCAGCGCCGCAGATCCGTCCTATGTTCGCCCTTCGTACCCCCTCAATCGCGAAGCCCAATTTGCAATTGACGAACTCCTCCGGTCTAGCTCTCTTACCTCTCTCGAAAAGCATCTCTCTCAGGCCAGCGACCTTCTTACCCAATCCGCCGGGGAGATCAACGACCGGCTCCATGAATCGCAAACGCGGCTCACCAAGCAGCGTGAGCGGCTCGAGTCGCGTGAAGCCGATGGTGCAAGGCTGGTACAAGAGCGGGAAGAACAACTAGGAGAGATGCGAGAGCGAGTGGAGACGATGACGGAAAAGATGGAGGAGCAGGTGCGGAAGATTATCGATGCTCAGAATGGGCTTGAGGAGATCCGGAACAGTGTGGCAGCGGTACAGGGGGAGTGTAGCCAGTTGTCTCACCTTCCGGGGCGGACACAGGCCAGGCCGTCACAGCGATCGAGGACCCAGAGGGTGGCGGATGACGAGGATGAGGATAGAGATACGGAGATGGTAGATGCGGACGAGAATGAGGAGCAGGAGGAGCTGCCAGAGTGGGACTTTCCCATTGCGTCTGATATCTTCCAATCACGGCTAGAGGCCGCAAAACACGAGTATCAGTCTCTAAGCCTGGCGACACGTTACGCAAATCACAACACCTACATCGACTTCCGACGTCTCGTGCACGATTCACAGCATCCCAACGAAGACGGCCCACCACTGCCTCGCCCAGAAACGTGGTTCCCAGAAGGAGATGCACCTGGGCCCGGAGTCACCCTCTTCAATCAAGGAGCCTCTAGACCTGGAGCCGAGGAAGAATCGGACGAAGACTTGGCTGTCTCCCGAGCCACAATCAGTACTAAATGTCCGTTGACATTGCAGGAATTCAAGGATCCAGTTACGAGTCAAAAGTGTCCGCATAGCTTCGAGCGAGATGCGATTATCGGCATAATTAAGCGGAGTACGCTACGGGTAGGTGGGAACGAGTCCCAACGAAGTCGGAGGGGTCCTGGGCATGGGATGGGTGATAGATACGTGAGGTGTCCTGTGGGTGGATGCAAAGAGGTGCGTTGTATTGTCAAGCTGCCCGTCTTCCTACTAAACCCGATCAGCATATCACCGAGTCCGACCTCCACACCGACTCGGTCTTAATACGCAAGATTCGGCGCATTCAACGGGCAGCGGCCGCCGACGAAGACGAGGACGGAGGGGACGAGAAGATGGATGATGACGCGTTTGATGAATTGGAAGATGATGACGAGGTGGCCGCCGTACGGCAGAGGAAGATTCGAAGAGGCACAACTGTGCCGCCAAAGACCGAACCGCGGAATAGCGGCGTCACAGGGAGGCCTAGTGTTTCTGAGAGGAGTAGTGGGGTGACGCAGACTGTTGATTTGGGAAGCGATACGGAGGAGTAAATTGGACGAAGTCCGAGCGATCCAGTCGCAAGGGATGGTTGATGATTATCAGTCAAACAGCATGGCCCTGTCGTCAGTTCGGATGAATGGCCGGCCACGCAGCGAATATCAAGTTCTATAAGGGGATATGTCCAATGTCGCCTGGAACGTCATTCATCCTATTTACTCTTGATCTGATCTTTCATCTTCCAGACTACCATCAACGTCACCAATTGAATACTACAGTGATTTGAGTGCGGCCACTTGCACCCACCAGGAGAAAGCACACAGCTAGCTGTACCCTAACGACCAAGCCACCAGAGATGTTATATTCCACCCCGTCGCCGTTATTAGGGCCTGGAGCACGCGTCCGCTCAACAACAATTCAGAGCACCCAGCCCCGTATGGAAGAAGGCATAGAAAGTAAGACCAGTAAAGGGACATCCTGGCGCAAATGAAAGTAATGCAAGAAATAGATTTCGTAGACTTGCAAACGGTCCTGGCGACCCATCCATGCAAATAAATGCCCGAATCGTATGTTATGGGCCCAAAATAAAGAAAACACAATTCATTCCTTCGTATTAAGCTGACGAAAGTCTTCGAGAACACCAAAAAATGAAGAAAAAGGTAGAAATAGAATCCATCGGCCGGTTATAGAAGGGTCATTGGCAAGCTAGCAGCCGCAAGCAAAGCATACTCACACACGCCAGTCGATACCGCGCTCATCCTCCTCCCTACATCTCTTCAATCCAACCCTTCACCCCAAAACCGACCCTGGCCACGCTCCTGCACCGACTCATGTTTCAACTGCAAATATGGCGCCTCTCTTTGGCCATGCGCATTGTATCCTTGTCCGTTGGCACCTCCGACTGCACCGCCTTGCCCACCATAGCTACCTGGTCCTGCAGTCCCTAGATAGCGTTCACTCCCACCAACGGTGTATCCGTTCTGCTTCATACCATTCCCGTAGCCCTGATTTGCACCGCCTGATTGTTCACTGCGATCATAGGCATACGGATTCTGTTGGTGGTATTGGTGGTATTGCTGGTGTTGGTGTTGTTGGTGGTGTGCGTTCGGGGGTTGATAATGCTGGTATGCGTTGGTGTTCGACTTGTGCGACCCATTGCGGTCGAATTGGGTGTGGTTTGAGGCATACGGTTGTGTGTGCTTGCTGCTACCTCGAGAATCGTGGCGGGATGGGGTGGCGTAACGATCCTCGTCGGGAGGTGGCTCGTTGCTAAGGTCATATTCGGCATAGGTGGGTGACTTGGGGCCGTTGAGAGGGGGTGACGGTAAAGCTGCAGTGGCTTGTTGCTGGAGGAAGGAAATGGTTAGACCACCGTTCTTGTTTGCATGACGAACAGTAAGGATTTTGTTAAAATACCTCTCGAAAGCCTGCAAACATCCTCTCTTCCTCCGCCCGTCGCTCCTGTTCCCTTTGTTCCAGCTCCATCTGCTCCCGCTCCTTCAGTTCCTGTTCCCTCTGCTCCCGCTCCATCTGCTCCCGTTCTCTCTGTTCTCGCTCCCGCTCCCGCTCCCTTTCTTCTTCTTCCCTCTTCTTCATCAATGCCTCTCGCTCCTCCTTCTCTTTCTGCTTCTTTGCCGCTTCTTGTTGCTGTCGCTGCGCCTGTTTCTGGGCCGCACTCTGCGGGATCTGAATCTGCGGGTGCATCTGCTGCACTTTCGCGAGGTAGCTATACATGAAGTTTGAGAGAAGGACTTGGGAGTAAAGCTCCCGGCGGGGATTGGCAAGTTTGATATGAGCCATGCGGTAAATGGCGCGTTCCTCGAGGATGGAAAAACGAGTCCAGTTGTAGTCAATATCAGGTCGGAGGATTCGGGGGGTTGGATCTGGAGACAAGCCACGGGACGCTGATTGCTTGGATTTGGAGCTAGAGTCAGCGCCGGAAGACTTATTCTTCTTGGACCCTCCAAAAAGGGAAGAAAATAAGGAGCTATCCTTTTCCTTCTTGGTAGGCTCGGATGACGCCTTGCGGTTTGTCTCTTTGCGTGCCTCGTCAAGCTTCACCGAATCACGATCGAGAACCAGAGATTCGCGCCCAGGGGGCACCGCACTGCCACGGCTGTCGATGGAGGATTGGAGCACGTCGAGACGGGTTGAGTCGTCCTTGTTTCCAGGCTTGGAAAGTTTCGACTTCGATTTATCTTTGTCCTTGGACTTGTCATCTCCACCAAACGACCACCATGACTTCTTGCCACTTCCGTCTGACACCTCCCGCTTGTCCTTGCCTTTCTTCTCCGATTTTTTCTCCTCGACGGTGGGGATAAAGGAAAGCGAATCGGTACGCGTACTGTTGCCGGGAAGCGGGGATGGATGGGATGACATTTCGTCGAGGGTCTGATTATGAGCTTTCTGCGAGCGTTGCGTTGGTGGACCGGGAGGGGCACGTTGCTGAGATGGCCGGTTGGGTAATGGTGCTTGCGGAGGCTTCGATGGTGGAGGTTCGTGAGAGGATTTTCTTTCCGGGAGATGGAACTGTTGTTGCGGAACGACTTCTGATTCTGGAGGAGGCGTTTCAACGATGTCAGGAACATTGTACCCAGGCAATTGCGCGGAGGTTCTTCCATTGGACGCAATACGCGAATGGAACGCTCTCTGTGGAGGAGAGGTACGCCGTTGTTGCAGGCTCGGGTCGCTTTGGGTTTGTTCCTGCTTCTGATCGTGGGTGATGTGTCCTATGTCCGAAAATGCGCTGTGTTCCGGTGGAGGTGAAGGTGATGTGGAGGGGAGGGGAGGAGACATGGCACGCCGTGAGGGTCTCGAGAAGTTTTCGATCGGTTTGGATGAGGATATGGGCTCCGTCTGCGACCTTGAAAACTTAAACTCTTTAAAATCCGGAAGCTCGGGGATCAGAGGCATTTCAGGTATTTCATCTCGCCCAACGATAGGAGATGAAACGGGAGACTCTTCCCTCTCCGGTTCCCCATGTCGACTTGCTATTCGTTTCGAGAATGGAACCCTCTCTCCCTTCTTCAAGCTACCTCGTCGGTATGTCGTCCTTGTCGACCGCTTCAAGGAGCCTACTGGCTTGGCAGCCAGTACTGGCATATCCTCTGGGGTGCTGCCAGCATCGCTGATGGACTCCATTGACTGCCTGTTGTCTTCGAGGCTTCGTCTCTTCGGGGTCGTCTCCGGGTCAGATACCAGTTCCTCCAAGGTGGACAGGTTGACCCCGGAGTCGGGATGCCTCTGAGATGCAAGCGATCGCTTCCTCAACAACCGCTCTGCCCCATCCTGATACCCCGACCCGCTATCAATCTGCCGTGACAACATGGATTTCTTTCTACGCAACCCGCCGGCTGACCCGGCTCGATCAAGGCTAGGGGGGAGGAGAGCCTCATTTTCATCGCCGGACCGCCGCTTGAGTGTTTTGACTCGATCATCGATGAAGTCTTTGAACTCTTTCGGGGCGAGCTCTGGGTGAACACGTGCAGGGACCCAGAACATGTGTGAAGGATCTTGTTCATCATCGCCCTGGGAAGCGGGCATCTTGAACCCGGAATTGAAGGATGGAAGGTCGGGATCCATCGCGTTCACATCCATCGACATCCGCCGGATCGCTTGCAAATTGCTCAGCTCCTGCGCTACGGCTGCGGGGCTTGATTCGTAGTCGATATCATTGAGCGGAAATCCAGTAGTGGCGGTCTCTGAAGCGGACCGATGTACGCCCGGTGGAGACGCCGGTCTTCGATCGGCGGTAAAAGAGGAGCTCCGAGGCGGTATATGGTATTCTTCCGATCCATGGTTTGGGTTCGTCGGGGATGTGGGTGTGCGTTCGTTCGAAGTCGTTCTTCCTAATGGTGTCCTTCCCTGCTTATCAGATGATGATCCTCCAGATGCTGGGGGGAACCAGGATTCCTGTTTCGAAGATGATGGTTGGCTGTCATCTTGAGGATTTCTTTGCTGCTCAAAACCGAAGGTATGGAAGTTCTCCGCTCCTTCGACTTGGGTTGAACTGATGAAGCTCAGAGGTCGCGAATGGCGCTTTGGGTCGGAGTCGGATCGATCGCGTCCATACATGTCTCCTATCGCTTCGGTGACGTGGTGAGAGTCGTCGCTTATCGAGATTTGCGGAACATGGCCTTTGCGTGCCTGATATTTGCGTTCGAGTTCGCGAGCGCGCTCGCGGCGTTGAGACTGGGAACAAAGCATGTTAGCAACGATCCAACCTGACACTGGGAAGAAGATGCTTTGGTGCGATTAGAGAGACGGAAATCAAGGTAGGGGATTGAAGAAGGCTGTCCCTGGATCGGTTCTGCAGTGGAGTTGTGCCAAAACTGCTCAACGGGGGCTTTCTCCAATAGACATCGCGGCGCCCGACCGATGAATCCCATCGGATATGTTTGCGGAGGAAATGAATCGCCAACTTACATCCATATTCTGTTATGATCTAAGGGAACAGCGGTCGTAGCGGAGCAGAGTGCGAAGCGGCAATGAGCCCAGTCCTCGGCGGACAGACGGCAGCGTGCTCATGGAAGGCGATGCAAGCAAGCGAAGAGCAGCAGCGAAGACGGAGTGGGTGTTGACTCAACCAGTCTCATGATCCGGCCGGCAACACGCCTACGGTGGAAGGTCGATGGTAGTCGGTCGGGATGGAAAGAAGGAGACTGTAATCGATCGCTTCGGTATCTTAAGGATCGCGTGGCTTAATTAGTCGGGTTGGAGAAGGATGGACGGCGCAGTCACGGGTGCGGTAAAGGGTGTCAGGGAATACGGCGGAGTATGAATCGGATTCGGTGAGCAGGCTTCGATGGATCTCGGTGTTCCTAGGAAGTGGATAGAGGATGAAGGAAGCAGGCGGAGAAGTATAAGCGTGAAGGTGAATGGATTGATGATGGCCTTTGAAGATTGGAGAGATGGAGTCTGGAGAGGGAGAGTTGAAGCGGAGAGGGACCGGGGGGGTGTAGGCTTTGGATTACTGTACATACGATAGATACAGTTCAGGCCTTCAGGGACGGGATATTAATTATGAACCGCGTGTGAGATCTAAGAAGTGAGAACTAAGCATTAATATTAATGAATGCCCCTAGCAAGTCCTCCATCGGGCATCGGCACATAATATCGAAATTAATTCCAGTATGTAACAGCAGAGACAATAGCAGTATAAAACAAGGGGTTTCTAATCGCAAATCGTTAACAATACCGTACTATCACCGTGTGATTGGCCTACAGTGGATTTAGGGCGAGTGGGAAGCCCCAGCCACTGGGTGCTTTGAGAATTGAGGGTGTGAAGCCCCTGTATTGGGGGGAAAGGCCCTATGATTGGGACTTCGAGCGAGCGTGGGAGAGCCCCTGTCCACTTCACTTCAGGCGCTTTTCTTCACCTACTTTCCCTGGTTGCGGAGACTAGCCTTCGGGCGCCTAAAGGTTTGACTGCACTTGTGACTCCAATTATGACTGGCCAGATGAAAGCCAGTGCAGGAGAGAGAAAAGGAGACGGCGGAGAGAGATAGGTTCCATCGATTTTTCAATACTCTAATTAACTTGTGTGCATCACCGCCACTATCCTCGTGCTGACGCCGAAAAGGGGATGAAGCGGGAAGAAAACGCTTCACTGGTTCCACGGCATCTCAGTTACAGGCTTACAGTACCTATCAATGCATTCGCCGCCATGCAATATTGTCTAAAACACTCTTGCTTCGATATTCATCTCTACTCTTTTCCGATCGTGCTAATGCCCCATGAACTATTTATACATCTCCTTATGCGGCTCTGCCGCTGCCCGATGGCCCGATCTGACGGCCCCTGATCCATTTTGACAACATCACCAATGTTCAGTAGCAAGTACTATGCAATCCACGGAATACGAATGGGTATTTCCCTTCAGATTCAATTCCTCTTTCTTGTGTGTGTTCGTTAAAGTCTCTTGAATTAAATTCCAACCAATGTCAGCTCTAAGTTCAGCCTGAAGTTTGAAAAATGTACTCACAAGTCGCAGGATAGTCTTCGCAGCGTCCTCTATTGCAACTCCGAAAACTACCAACTCCAGTTAAGACGCGATATATAGTCACTGCACTTGCACCAATTTCATCGGAGGAGGATTAACTTGAGCTCTACCCTCATTTGTGAAAGAGGCTTCGCTTCCTATTGTCCTACTGTCCTTCACGCCTATTCTTGCCGACTTACCTAGCTGCATCACTACAAGCCCAAAGGTCAATCCGTGACGGTAGGCCACCAAAATTTTTGGGAAGGCAATGCAAATACCGTTCCTGCTACGTGCTGGGAACTATACAACATGATGTTGCGGGCGGCGTTGCCCTCTGAGGTTCAGCAGCTCCTCTCAGGTTCAACAGCTCCTCTCGACCGCGATCGTACTAACAAAAGACCCGTCGAAGCCTCTAGAGGTCTCCGTTCCCGCGCCTACATCGATCCTGTTAGTGTAGTCTATATATACGATGACGTTTCGAGTGCGCGTCGTAGTCACGCCGACTCCAGTGCCTACCATCAAAGATTTCAAACTCGGAGGATGGAGCTTCATAGCCGGGGACATAACCGTTACCAGCTAGTATCATGTAGCGAAGGACTGGGATGGGACAAAGGCGTCCATGAAGAGTATCCTGTCGACGAGTTCTGGGTGAAGCGGTCCTCGAACGATTGAGTCGATGAGTGGAGTGGAGAGATAAAATGGGCGACTGCGCAGAGGCTGGCCGGAAAAGAGAATATGGCGGAAGGAGAGCTGACGCAAAGGAATGGAAATAGTAAGGTGCCCGGTTGAGGTCAAGACGGCTGGCTATCGAACAACTTGGACACTTTCGGATGTGGATTAAAGATATGCCCTAGCCGTTTCTTTGCGGGGAACGAAGTGATCACAGTGATTTGGAGTTGGATCAAGACCTCTCATCACATTCTGATTAGAATAGATAGAGGAACGAGAGAAAGACAAGATATAATGTCTTTGGCGAGCAGGATTTGCCATATTATGCAACGGTCTAGCGATGGGACCCAGTGAATATATATCCTTATACCTCGAGTTCCGGTACTGAAGACAGGTCTACCTACAAATCCGATTGCCTATGATTGTATTCTAAACAAAGGTAAGGGATGTTTCCATTCTCGAGAACCCACAATTGGATCAATAATGCAGGATCCGGCGCAGCATTCCCATTCGGATATTCCAACCATCGATACTACCTAAGTACCAGAATCCGACCCAATTCAAACGACCCGGAAATACCAAGACCATGGACCTTGTATCACAACCCCTTTTCTTAATAAATCCCCTCTCTGACCACGTCATCAACTTCATCTCCCTTGCCCGGCTCCTAGGGCGTTCCTCCGTGATCAGATGCATGTGAGAAATGCATGAAGTCCATGTTTTGAATGGAACGGAAACTTGGGGTTGATGACTGGATGGGCTGAGCAACTGAAGAGAAGCCATGTGTGGGATTGGCAAAATATGACTGAGTTGGAGCGAAAGACTTGCTTGTCTTGATATTGACCAAGTGTGACTTGCATCTTTTAAAGCTGCAACATTGGCCTTCAATGATCATGGAATTGAAACACCTGAAGCTGTGGCTCTCGACGGAAACTTACCTTAATCGTGCTAGTGTCTGGTACTTGCTCCGGCCAGCTTCGAGACTATTACTCGGGCATTGAACTTTCACTTTGTAAGGCTTGTAGGTAAGTGGAAGGAGAGGAGCCAAAGGAATATCTATTCAGAATGCGGCAGAATGGAGATTGACGTGGTAAATGGTATTCGTATATGTCATGCAGGACGGAGGGCAAGAATTTCTTGGGTTTTAATCACACAATGACACCCATCAGCCTCAGCAAGATTCAGCGTATGCGACAGTCAGAATCAGAATCATGTTTGCCAAAGATACCCATAGCACCTGCGCTAAGAAGTTTCGGCCAAGATGCCAACTACAACATGACTTTGCCAGAGTTAATATCGCCAAACCATTGTCGGGTAACTCCTACAGGAGTATCGAGGATTCGAGGTCCATATCGTATCGAAACCTCCATGGAATAGGCCGGAAGAAGAATAAACCAGTCGTCAATAATAGCGATGCAGAAGGGCCATTGGAAAATTGTTGAAAATGCTTGAACGCGTTATGGTTCATAGCGAGCTCCTTCGGGACACTGGCTTCGTCGTTGTATATAGCGTTCTTCCCAAAGTAGCGAGTGTTGTCTAGCCTTGCTATCGTTGAATCTCTTTAGTTAAGCCGTCACGAGCTCCTCCATGCAGAATAGCGGGAGGAAACCCCCGTGTCAGTTGATCTTTGACCCGTTCTTATGTTCGCAAACGCTTGGTCAAAAGAGACTTGAAACAAGACAAGTTGCCTAGCTGTTTGATAATGAGTCCACCTTCAGACGAAACAGATCACTCTGGAAAAGACTGAACGGACCATTGGTGATAGGGGTTTCTGCCCTGATGAGCTGAAACCACTCCATCATCGCAGACACGACCTCTCGACTTGGGGAAGAGCTGTGATTAAACAGGAAAGACGCGCTCTAAGAATTCATAATCATAAGGTTGTAGATAAAGAGGAAACGGTAACTTGGAGGGCTAACAGCACATCCACATGCGAGATGAGGTCTTGGACACAGCAACGGCAACAAAGCAGCTCAGTGGGCTGACTGAAATGGCGATAAAAATGATAGCGGGACAGCCATGAGAGTCGAGTATGCTAACCAATGGAGTCTAGTAGTGAGTAATAGCAAGGAGTAATAGCATTGAGACGCCCGGCATGAGGACAGAAAATGGTTGCGGACGAAGGGTGTGAAACGGAGGAATAAAACCGACATCTAAACGGAGTAGAAGCAGCAGGGATATGGATATGGTGGTAGAGGAGAGCGACACACTGACGTCATATTAACGCATCCGGCTTCAACATATTTATACCTGGTGATACTGGTATATAAGTTCTTTCGTGACCTGTGTACCGACAATAGGCACGGTATGTAAATAACCAGCCAATTCCATAATTTCCCATTCAAGTCTTGCCCTGAACCTTCTTCAACCGGTTATCCAAACTCAACCATGACTACAAACAAATCCAACGCCAATATGGTGTCTTCTAACGCCAGTGGCCATACCTCTGGTCACAACGCCGGAGAAAACGTCAATGACGCTGTCAAGGTTGCCAGCGACAAGGTTCAAGTATGTCGTTTCGTTTATTCCCCTCTCGTACTTCATCTCCACTGCATCTCCACTCACGAGCCGTGCGCTTCCAAGTGTTGAATTAGACAATGATGCTGACACAACCCAGGGAGCCAGCAAGATCATCCGCGGCAACATCAATACCTTCGTCGACAGTGCGGCCAACACCAAGGCAAAAGAGGGGGAGAACGAGCGGTTGTCACAGCAAGGTCATGACCAGTGGGAGGGGAAACGGGAGCCGACGGGGGTCTTTGGTGAGAGCAAGGGAATCGATACAGCGTATGCGAATGGCAGAAGAACCTAGGAAGGACTTTAGAGAGCTAGAGGAACTGGAAACGACCCGAATGATACCAGATGGCAGTATGATGAGAAACGGATATCATGTAGTGTCAAATGAGATTTATACGCCGCCTATCCGGAGTAGAATTGCGCTTGTGTTAATAAATGCTCGGTTTCGCTTTGAATTACGTTCGCTTTGAGTTACGTTTGCTTTGAATTATTCATTCGCTTTGTCTTGTATTGCCCGATATATACAAGTACAAATGCCACCGATTCCCAACTCTAGATCAGAGAAGATCTTTGACTCTATCCAAACGGGAAATCAATCCATCCACACAAGAAGAACGCTCATCAACGAAGGCCCTGGCGCAAACTTGCGCAGATCAGCTATGGGAATATGGGAAACAGGCCAACGATGAACATGGAAAACGCCAGATGTCCGGATACTATCCACAATGGTCTTGTAGACAGCATGTTACAGCCTATCTACGAACAAAGATCCCCGTCTAACGCCCTTGCCAGATGCAAGGGTACATAAAAGAACTCCAGATTGTGGAAATCGAATTTCGTGCCGAAAAACGCCGTGGGTCCGTCGCTAGAAACGCCAGTTGATGCGGTCATGGAAAACGCTCGTGGCATCCATCGGATGCGATAAGTCCCGTATGAATAATAATACTCCGTTGGCCGTGGTCGATAGGTCCCAGGCCGTGATGTATACCGATACAAGGAGACTGACATATTGACAGAACTCTGACTCCGGGAGGCAGTGAGAAGGGCTTGGTGAGAAGGGGGTTTCGAGTCCCTGAGAAACAAGAGGTATCATGCGAATTCGGGCCAAAGATAGTATGGCAAAAGCGTTGGTCCGGTCCATTTCTCGCCGTAGGAGTTCGTTCTCGAGCCGTCGAAGAAGTCGTTGTGAGCATCTTGAAGGATCGAAATCCAAGAGGACGGTTCAGGATGCTTCATCCACTTTGCTAAACGTTAGCGATGGTTCTCGTAACACGCTTCCGATGACTCCAAAACATACCTGATTATGAACATGATACGTCCAAGCCCCCTTGAAAAAGTTCTCCAACGTTCGGTTATTTGGCGGAAATTTGTCTTGTTCAACCCGGTAGTCGGCGATAGCACCGCTGGCTCTGAGTGCTGATTCTTCGGCCGGAGTTATGCTGAACCAATCGTGCATGGCAATCGGTGCACTGGCACTGCCATTGTTCACATCAGTTGTCCGCTCAAGTGCTGGCGCCCCATTTCGCTGCTCCACGGTTTCTTCATGCTCTTCATTAACCTCGGTCGAATTGTCGAGATGGCTCCGATTATTCAATTCCGGAAAATGTGCGGTCGGGAATTCGATGCGCTCCAACTCAGACCCGTCATAGCTCTCCCACTCATCCTTGATGGCGTCGTCTTTTCCTTTGAAGACGGCGCCGTAATCTTTGACACAAGGAATCGTGCACCGTCCCTCGCGGTCCCAATTGAATTCGGTCCAAATCGGGTCGAACGCGGCGGTTTCCATCATCTTCAGTTCCTGATCCCGGCCATCTTTCCATGCCATCCTCCCAATCACTCTTGGGTGGAAGTTCAACCCCATGCGCACTCCGCCGTACAACAAATAACTGCTCAGGCTGGAATTCGCGGTGAGGGAGAGGATTGCGGTATTGAAATCGCCAGGATGGCTGTGGGCGGCCCAGCGCTCGGCAAAATCGTGTTGTTTTGGTAGGAGGAGAGGACGCATGTCGCGGAGGATGAGAACATCCATGTCGAGATATAGTCCGCCGTGATTATGTAGAATAACGAATCTTACCGCATCGGAGATGGCTTGCGGAAGGAACGTCATTTGCTTCGCGGTGAGGACCAACCATTGCTGGCCAGCGGCGTCCTCGATGATACCGTCGGCAACCACGATCTCGCCTTTGGCATTTGGTTTCCCCGGAGATTTGTAGTACTGAACACCGTCCTTGATCTGGTCAAGTTGGGGGAGAGGGATCCGGGTAGGGAAATTCCACGCATGCAGGGAGATGTCGCCGCGCTCGACAAAGGGGAGGAACTTTGAGAACAGAGGATCCTGCGTCAACATCTTCTCGACCCCGTTCGGATTCCGATCCGCGTCAATCCATATCCACAACCGCGAGCAGGGGAGATTCTGGGTGTACAGATAGGATTTGATAAAAACTTCCACACGCCATGTGGCTGGACCTGTCCAGTAGACGTGGTAAGGTATGATAGGACCGGGACACTCGCCAAGGGTCTCGTTGGTCGATTTGGTTACCGACGATGGGTCCGGATACGCCTTGAGCGTGTTGTTGTGGCCATCAGCATTGAGGTATTCGGCCTTTCGAGGATCCTGAGCACTTGCGCGCGTCGATGGTGCTGGGAGTGTGTAATACTGATCCTGCTCCTCGGCCAGGAAGTGCAAGCAGTCGAACACGTTCCTCATCTTCTCCAGTCCTGTATATGTCCCTCTGCACGCTTCGACGAGGAGATCCAAGTCTGCTTCGGTATCGAAATCGGGTCGTGGTCCCCAGAAGGCATCGTTCGGCTTGACCGCGGTCTTCGGGCGATTGAAAAGGTTCGCATGAGGATTAAAGGTGATGGGCGTTGGCTGTGAAGATAGCTGAACCTTCACCTTCTCTTCTTCCAGCTTGAGGACTCCCGTCGGCCGCTGCCCTTCCACCAGAGCCGGAATCGCTAGCTTCGTCGTCACGGTCCTCGGTTGCTCTGCGACGTATATGATCCCGAGTAGTGTCGAGTACAACAGTCCAGCGAGGACCAGGTTCCTTAACAGTACACAGAATCCCCGTGTCCGTCCGCCCATCGCCATGTTGGATAGTACGAAGACAATTCGGGTCGGAAGCCTGTCTCGCGCTGGCTTCGTCCTCAAATCGAGCGTGGCAGGGACAGCGAGAGCGATATAGGTCGTCGAGGGGGGTCGAAGAAGGTAAAGATATACGTTCTGGCCCCGCACCCGGATCGGATATTATTAGAGCATGTGGTTGAAGTGTGGACGGTCGGAAAGCAATCGGATGGTTAATGTATCCACGGATGAAAGGTCAGGATCAACAGTCGTTGGTTTAAGGTGCTCTCAACGCGCCGTTTATTGAAGCAATGTAATGGTTCTGGGTACTCAATGAAGGGCCCAGGCGAGTGGAAAAGATACGAGGAAGTAAATACAAGTGGATGAATAGGAATTCAAAAGAGCGACAGTGAAAATTGATCCAAGGCAGAGGTGGAGAGTCGAAGAGTGGTGGGATCGAGGAGGTGGAAAGGGTGAATCCCGTGAATGAGGCTTAGCGGAAGAATAGAGGAGGAATTGAAGGATTTCAGGAGGAAGCAAACAAGGTTCGCCAAACAAGGATCGTTGGCGTTGCAAACTGCATATGGTCCAGGCGTCCAGCCGTCGAGGGGCGCCGGACGCAACAAAGTCGGGTCTGCGAGTTATCCTGTAATAGGCAGTTATCCACTAATAACGGCTAACACCTGGTGCTTCTTCCAAATGAGGTTAAGTTGGCGAGTTCAAACTTGAATCAACACCTGAATGGTTGCTTGGCTGGCGGGGATTCCGGATGGGTTTCGTTCATGATGATTCGGCCCCAATTGGCAGTCAATCAATATATTAATAGCCAAGGCATGATACGGTTATGAAGAAGGGAATTGGAAACCTCAGAGAGAGAGAAACTCAAGAGAGAGAGCTAGAGGAGAGAGATAGCCAAAGGTGGGATTTGATCATCTGAATAGTGGGATGGGGGTGGTGTCGAATGTCGATCCTGGTCTGATCCCAATCCTGAAATCCTGAACTCTGAATGCCTGATGGAAGGATCAGTTCTGAATTCTGGTTACTCGACGGACGTATTATGCTTAGATCCGAAATGCTTCATGTCAGTTCCTTAATTCTCGGTTCCTTAATTCTCGGTTCCATAATTCTCGGTTACTTGATCATTGGGCCTGCTCGCCTGGGTCTCCTCCATTCAGGGACTAGGTGATACCGATTACGATGCGTCCCTGAGGGCCTGAACTCTCCCTGGTCGCAGTCAACTAGTCTCTACCAAGACGGTCTTGCGAGCAAATCTTCCTCTGCCATCCACTCCTAGCTTCTTAACGATTTATTTCGGATTTCCAACTTGAGGAGCACAATGACTTCAATGAGGTAAGACCACCGGTGATTCAAGTAGCAAGGTGGAGATGAGGGTGTTACTACAGTGTACTACCAACTCAGTCTGGTCAACAATCGTCAGTACGGGGCTGGAGAGGACTAGAAACATCAAACCGGAATGGTGAAGACGGAAGCAGTGGTGGTGATCTGGTGGCTGGCGGACGCGACGGGGGGAAGTACATGGGATCATCGTATCAGATCCGATGTATCATCGTATGTATTTTTGTCTTGATGTGAGTGATGTGACGTGACGAGTCTCATGAATTATGATATCATGGGGATGGAATATTCAGATTGATCAAGACCATTGACCAAGTGACCAGCATAGCTTCTGATCTTCGGCTCTCCTCATCTTGAAATAGGTCTCCCCAAGCGGCTCAAGGCCCAAATGATTCAAATCCTCATTCTCTTCATCCAATTTGACGAACCCACTTCTACCCGAGTCCCTAAACACACCGGCGATTTTTAATGAGTTCGGGTCAACTGGCGTCCCCTCCGGCCCCCAACGCCCCCCGCGAAGTCGTGTAATCTATTCCTGAAAGATGAACGATTGAATATCAACCGCTTGGGATTTTTTCTCCCCTTTCCCCATCTATTTGATGTCAAACTCCAACTGGATTCCGGAAGTTTGGACTCTTCGATGAGTTCCGAGGGAACACACCACCATTGTCTTCATGCCATGCTGCAATCCCACCATCACGAATCCTCCAACGTGGGTTTGCCATCGATCACGCTCCTCGTCGGTGGTCGTCATCCGGAACTGCATCGTCATTCTTTTTGGATTTCTGGCTGTGCCACGTCCGGCTTCGCGTCGCTGGCTTCTGCCGCTTCGCCCACATCCCGTTCATTGGGTTCCCTCGGTTGACCAGGGACGTCCCTGTCACAGACCGGATCTCCAGGACTTTGCACACCCCCAGCGGTTGGAACAACGTCATTCTCCTCCCAACCCCGACTTCTCCCACATCCCCCTCTTCTCACGCCTCTCTAGCCCACGACTAAGATGGAGCCCCGTAGATCCTTTGTCGCAGAGAACCAAGAAGAGCAGATATGACGCCCATCTCTGTCGCTGGTCCGTCCGAGGATATGCAAGCTTGACAACCGCCACCGATATTACCGGCCGAGGGACTGGTTGCGAAGTCGAGGAGGTAGATGTCCCTGGAGCATCCAGTGGTTCAATTCCTATTCAGTATGTGCAGCTCTCTTGATCCTTCCCTGTTCTTCTTGCATATTATACGACATCCAGTCCTCGTTCAAGTAGAGACAAGACATGGATGAGCAAGCCAGTTGTCGAGAACATAATAGTGCGATGACTGTCTCGTATTGCACCATATTGGCTTGGCTTGAGCAAGGAGATGTCCAAGCCACTTTGAGTTCTGTAGACAATATCTCCTCGAGCTTCTCTATGGTCGGGCTCGTTGAGCTGGACGTTTTGCATATCACGCGCTCAATTGACCTCTCAATCATTTCGTTCACCTCAAGCGTGGTAAATCCTTTTGATACTGCCTTGTGTTTCCTGTTTCAAGTCGAACCTTTTATACTATACTCAACGGAAGATTATATAGACGGTTTCTTGAGTTTAGCTGGGCTGATGGTGCGTCTCCAGAATTTACCATCCTAGGTCGTTATCAGGCCTGGGCGCACCATATCGAAGAGCCATCCTTTACTTCCCTGCATTGCCTTACGATGTTTTATCGGTCCCTGGACTCACCAACGATATCGACGCTCGAGATGCTGCTCTTCTTTGCGAGCAAACTGGGATTCCAGTCATCCAGATCAAATACCGCCTGAATTCGGTAGATCGCTATCCGAGGCCAATTCATGATGTGTTTGCAGCGTTTGATTGGGTCTCCCAAAATCTAGAACAATTAAGTAAGAGAAGTCATCTTAGGTCGGATGAAGATAGTGATGAGTTCTCGAATGGAGACAGGAAATGGAGAAACTCATCCCTCCGACTTGCGACTTACGGAAGACTCGTTGGAGCGCAGCTGGCTACGACCCTTGGCTTAATCGAGTGTCGAATGACAAGCGGTACGCCTAGCATTGTCGCAACCGCCGTGGATGACGCTGTTGTCGATTGGACCTTTCCGCAATCCGACATTTCCTACTTTGCCAATGACTCGAGCATACCAGCCGGGGCAAATTCAGGGTTCGATATCACTGACGATGACCTAAACCGCCAGTGGGATGAGTTGCTCTCACTTGAGTCTGGTTCTTTAGTCGACGAGGTGGGCGGTGCCGTCATACAGGAGCCCCAGGTAACGAGAAAAAGAAGAAAGAAGCGGAAACTTCCATCCTGGGAGAATTTCCCCAATGGCGGACCGTTATCAACCAGCACCCTCCTTGACCTCCGCGATCAGCTCTTCCGCCGTCCCTCACAAACCCTTGATCCTTTCGCGTCACCCCTTTTCTTTTTCCGCAGTAGTGGCATCGCCATTCCCGAACCAGGGACGGTCATTACGTCCACATCATCAGACCCAACCGTTCCGTTTGGTGATCCTTCAACTGCCCTTCCATACCACAATCGCAAATCCCACATGGTCTACCCTCCTACCGGATCCGGTCTGCGGCTCCCCGACTTCTCTATAACCGCCTCCGGCACCTCGCCGCTACGTGACCAAGCCGAGGAACTTGCCAAGCTTCTCCGCCGAAGCGTGACGAGGTCAGAGGTGAAGAGAATGAAGACCGGGAGAGGCCTTGTGGATGATGTTCTGGATGACGGGACGATTCTCAATCATGCGGTCATGAAGGCTGAGAAAAGAGTTTTACTAGATGTGAGGGAACGTCCGCAGGGTTTGGGCAGAGACGAGACACTCTTGGTCGAGAAAGCTGCGTGGTTGAAGAATGTGCTGACGGCTGCATAAACACGCCCCGCATTGCACGGAGTCAAATGGTTGTCGTGGACAGTGAAATCAGTCAAATACTTTGTAGAGTAGTAAATTCCCCGTTCGTACGCCATTGCTCATGCAAAATTCGATCAGAAATCACCGATCCACGCTATCACGATATCAAGTCATCCCTTCATCACGACCACCTGTTCAATAATTCTCCGGCAACCCCATCGCCCCAAAGTCCGGATATGGCTCCTCGCACTTGAAGTCACGGTCATATGCCTTGGTCGGCAATATTCCCGCCTGCATCCCCAACTTCCAGCTCCACTGTACCGCACGCTCCGTTTGCCAGGTCCAGTAGAACCATCCCCACCCTTTCTCGAAGCTCTCCATCTGCGCCTCCGCAAACATGCGCAACCACTGTTTATACACGTCTGTGTATTCGCTTGGGTCCGCGTTGGAATCTTTGCATTGACACACCGGGTCGTTCTCGGTAGGACATGTCGGCCTCATCACACTCGTGCTCGCGTTCCCCGAGTTCAGCGTTCCTTCCCAGCGACTGCCGACACCGACATTGTTGAGAAACGTCGCGCAGTCCGTGTCCGCTTGTGACCACTCGCCGCACATAGTTGGGCCGAAGCCGGTCTGCTTGTTTTGCGACCGTACCGTCTGCGCGGTCCAGCCTTTGCAAGCGAAGTTCAACTTGTCGGTGTGTTCGAGCTTCAGCTGATCGACGTTGAAAATGACATATTGGTGGACATCCAGCACGAGTTTATCGTCCTCTTGGAGCTTTCCTTGCCACTTATCGAGGCCCATGAATCCGTCGCCGAAGACGAGTACGCCCGGGTAGTTGTTCTTCCGAATCAGAGAGATGGCTTTCGACGTCCAGTCGAGGACTTTGTTCGTGTCGAGGTCCACCATGCGCGGTTCGTTCACGAGACCATAGACCGTCACTAGGTTCTTGTACCGCGGTTGGGTGAAGAAGGTGCTGAGCTGATCGTGAATATCGAGCGTCCGCTGCGCATTGAGATCACCATCCGTGCCGTTCAGCCATCCCGCGGGCCCCTGCCGCCCACTGTGATTCCATCCATTCTGACTCCCCGGCGCACCATGCAGGTCGAGTTTCACGCGTAGTCCGTTCTGTCGGCAGTACTCGATCCCACGGAGCATATATCGCCATGCGATTTTGGAGACGTACGGGTCGCCATCGTAGGTTGTGACGGCCCAGTACCCGAATGGGATACGGACGTGGTCAAACCCAGCGTTTCGAATCTCAACAAACGTGTCGCGGGTGATAAATGAAGAATAATGCTGCTCCAGTGTTTGCGCTGACTTCGCTGGCCCGAGTTTGGAGGTGAACGTCCATTCGTCAATGACCCCGTCTCTTGCGCTGTACCGCGAGAAGAATGACGGGGTGATGAACGGCTCGAGGTTCAACCAGCCACCCACATTCATGCCGCGGATAGGTACTTTCCCGTACTGAAATTCGTCTTCCAGGTTTGGGACGTTGGGATTCGCTTGTATATCGTCGTCCCACGTGGAGTTGATGCCCATGATAGAGAGTCCACCGACCGTCTCGGCGGTGTAGGTAAGATTGAAGTCGACGGTATCATACCAAGTGAAGGGGTCGAGAAGGGTGCCTTGCGCTTCGGGCGGGATGCTATCTTTTGTGACGCCCTGTAGGTTGTAGTTTGAGGGTCTCGTGGATTTATCGGTGGCCTGGCTCGGTGGTGACTCCTTGTTCTTCTTGTTGACGAAAACACCGACTGGGATGGCGATGAGAAGGATGGCGACGACAATGATACAGCAGATAACTAGGAGGAGTCAGTATGACGGGTAGACTGAGATATCCAAAGCCACTCACCAATCCGTTTCCGACGGCGTCTCTTGAACGCAGTTTCGTCGGTAAACTCGCTCACGGATCCGCCGCCTTTCCCAAGCATGTGCTCATAGAGAGTCGGACGGCCCTTTTCAAGAACCGTTCCGCTGATGATTCGCCTACCCGGGGCGTCTCGCTTCTCGTTCATGGTGGCACGGATCCTCCCCTGGGACGTTTCCTGCTTCTTCTTGTTCAGCCCCGGTAGCCACTTGAAGCCCGTTCTCCATTCCTTGAACATGGACTTCCGCTCATCTTCATCGGAGGTATATTCAGTGACCTTTTCTTTAACATGTGCTTTCCGCTTGGTTCGATGAGGGGGCAAGTGATCTCCAGGTTTGTGTTTCATGCCAGTTTTCCACTCCTTCTTCATGATTTCTCGTTCGTCGATGTCCGAGTTGTCTTTATAGCCGTCATCACGGGAATCTAGCCGTCGCTCTTCCCTTCCCGTATCGACCTCTCCATCCGTGTGCGTATCCCTTTTTCCCCGCTCGGCTCTCCTCCTCTCCCGTTCTTCACGTATTCTCGCCCGTTCCGCTCTCCGCGTCTCCTTTTCTTCCCGCGCACGCTTTCTCTCCTCCCGTTCTCGTTCCCGCTCTTCCCCTTGTCTTTCCCGCTCTTCCCTCTCTTCTCGCCCCTGTTCTCTCGCTCTTCGATCTTCATCCCGCTCCCTCCGCCGTCCGTCACTTTCGCGACGCATTCTCTCCCGCTCCATCCGCCTCTCCCTGGCCTGAACCTGCGCCAGGTACTCTTCGTCATATTCCTTCCAGCCTCTTTGCTGATTCATCGTATCCAGCGCGGCTAGGCCAGAGGAAGACAAGTGACGCCCCGAGCCGCTCACTGTCCCACGGGTTGGCGTCCCATCTCCACTTGGGCCGCTCTCGTCCACTGTTCGCCGTCTGCGCCGCCTCTCACGGTCACGGTCTCGATCTACATCTTGACCTCTGTCCCTGTCCCTGTCCCTTGTGCGATGCCTTTCCCTCTCCCTTTCGCGACCGCTACCATATCGTTCATCTCCACTTTCGTTCCTGCTCCGGTGCCTCCGGTACCTGTCCTCCCGATCACGATTCTGTTCCGGCGAGTCGTTTTGTGGAAGTAATGCACCCGTGCTATCGGTCGCTTGGTGCCCGCGTCGTCGACGATGTTCGTTGCGGTTGGGACGCGCGCTCTGACGCCGGCGCGAAGAGTCCCGGGGGTGGTGTTCGCGGTCGTGGGGCATTCCAGGCGGGAGTTTGGACGGCGGGCACAGCACACAGAATGCGGCTCTTCAAAACAGCATGCATGGACTGGAATGTGAGAATGCTAAATGAATTGGTTGGATATATTTGTGCGACATGGAAGATATGAGTTCTATTGCAGATTGAAGATAGGGGTGTTTGCGTCTTTGGGGTGTCTCGGGCTGTGCGTTGCCCCCCCAACGGGCTGTGGACCACGTTGGCATCAATTTACCTTAGGTTGGACAACTTTCTTAATTCTTACGAAATATGTAGTTACAACTAAAACCCAATAAAGAACCAAACTCTATTCCAAAGGTCCTCACTATCGATGCGCAATAATTGATCGTAGCCACCCATTTGTTCATGATGGAAGACTTTCAGGAGACGAGCCATGAAATTGCTTTTAGGGTCATGACTGAATTCACACTTCACGCCATCACGATTACACTCTGCATTGGATTCTAAAGTGGTGCCTCAATGAAACGCGGTGGAGGTTCATTTGCAAGGACCGAGGGTCCTTCGATTAGCCGAATCGCTAATTCTACGGTATATCCTCCGAGTCTATAGGTACAAGAACTAATCTATGGCCAAGATCACCGGGTTATACCCAACAGCAGTCGCTCCGCGTGCGAAAGATTTGAGTCATGGAATGTCAGTGAAGTGAACTGACCGTTTCCAGACCCCGTTAACCAAGGTACCGTCCAATCCGCATTGGATCCTCCGCATGAGGAACTGTTCGACCGTGATTACGAATACGGAGTCAGGTGGATATCATGGGATCCGTAGACGGCCGTGGAATCATACATCGAGTGGCCTTCTCTCTGCCCACTACATCGAGAAATGATGATATTCAAGAAGCGGCAACTTCTCCATTCAGGGCCGCCTGTCTGCTTTGCGCATCCGTATATAGATTTTTCTTCTCGATGTATTCGATCACCTGCATAAGTGAGTAACCGAATGATGATGTAACGAATGGTGGCTTACCATTTGTGGGACCAGATACCGGATGCCTATCCAACTGTTAGTGGACACTGATATGACTAACAGGAGATAACTTACTCATATCCTTTTTCAAAAATGCCCGTATCTTCGTTGAAGATACATCATTTTGAATGAGCTGATGGATGACATGGATATTGCTTTTCCATTTCTGGATTGTCATCAGCAATTGAAACCCGCATGATATACAATTCATTTCCGCACCTCCAGACTCGCTAAAGCGTCATCGATATTGGTTCCGGCTCGTTCGACTACAAGGAATGTTAGAACTTCCTCGGGAAGTAGTGGTAACGGGAAGTACCTATGAACGCGCCGTCTGTGAAATGATGAGTGTCGGAAAATAACCAGTGGGTTCGGAAGGAACTTACAGTCGCCGAGTATATGTTGCAGATCTTCTTGCGACTGGTCTTGTTAGCACCGAAAACCGTGGCATTGGCCTGGAAATCCTTACCCAAACACCTGGTGTTGACATAGTCGAGATGAGGTCGGCGCCCGCAAGTAGGACAATCTTCGCTGTACGCCTCGAGCCGTCCGGCATTTCTACCCCTCCCATTCTTGTGTTGATCTCATAGTTGAAGTGCTGTTTGGGTTAGGAAAGGGTCCGAGAGGGGCGTTACGGCGGACACTCACATCCAGCACTCTTGCGGTACTACATATGGTTAGCGAAGAAGATCCATGAGTTTGCGAGCAGAAAAACGTACGGTTGGTATTCTGTATGTCGAGCCTCCCAGTCGTCAACCATGACCCAAGACGATCGTGAGTCTGCATCGGCTTCGAGGGCCAACTAAGAAGCGTGAGAGATGGCGACTCGGAAAGGAAACGAACCATCCTACCTGGCACATATGTATCTAGGAGTCGGAGTTAGCAAGCGTCATGAGATGCCCAACATATCTCTTGACTTACCCGATCCTTCGCAGTGGCGAGTCCAGCTATGCGCGAGTCAGAATCGAGAGCCGTGCATCATGCATATAGACCTGCAGTCTCACCTTTGCTGTATGCATCACCCACAGGCGACCTGCCACATGGTCAATCTAACACGATCCGATATGCGTCACCCAAGCCGAACTTACAAATAGCCGGCAACGACCTCGAATTCTGTCCTTGGATATTTCGTCCACTAGGCCATTGGTTAGCCTCGTGCGCCCGCTGCCTGCCTTCCAACGCTTACGTCTTTCGCTAATTCGAATAGGCGGAGGTGAAGAAAGGTGATGGGAGAGAAACTGGGAACTTTGCGTCAGTACCGATCGGCTTGTCGGGGAACGTGTGCGAAGAGAGCCACGAACCTTCCGCAGGCAACCAAAACCAAAGGGACCTTGTCTTGCGAGCGATGCCTCGAATCGCGCTTGGCCGCGTGCTTCATGGATATGAACTTGTTCTTGGGAAAGGAATAGCCGTCCAGTTCGTCGCCATCCATCGCGAGCACCGGGGGAGGGGCCTGGGCAGCAACCTCGTCCCCGGCGCGCGGGGAATGCGTCATATCGAAGGATCGGTCCGGATTCGAGGAGGCTAGATATATGTTCACGGCGGTCTCCTTCTGGGAAATCTCGCGATATGGTCGGCGATAGGGAATTGCCCGGTAGAAAATGGTCGACGAAGTTTGCTGGCGCACGCAATCGGGTGTGCCCGTGTGGGGTGGTTTTCTTGATGATGGACTAATATCGGTAACTAGCAGGTGAGGGCTCAGTGGATGCCTAATCACCCGGGCTACAAGCCGGTAAGTCTAGACTCCGGACGCTATGGTGCATCGGGAAAGAATTACTCACAAGACAGTTGCCTGGTACAGTGTCTGTAGAGGAGCTTCGAGACGGTTTGATCAAGATGACTCAACTGGTCGGCGAACGGCGAGCGGGTAATCTGAAGAGTCGAGGCAAGTTCAGGCCGATGGTGGTGGGGAGTCGGAACTGAACGTGAAAGTCCAAGCCAGACTCTCAATCCGTATTCCTTCAACTGGTTTTATTAATAATATAGTCTCTAGGAACTCCGAGTGTGAGAGAGTCAGAAAACCGGATCAGGAGGGAGATGGAAGGCTGCAAATTTGGACGTCTTGACCCTTTAGAGGAACTTGTCTATGTAACCGTCTGCGGCTCTGGCTCACTTCTCCATGATTGAACGCCAACTGGCACATCAACCGGAACATCAACCGGACCATCAGCTTGATCATCAGCTTGATCATCCGTCCATCTGTCTGGGAGATTGGTGAACGCCCCCTTCTATGGCATTCCGTACAAGAGTTAATTATGAGCTATTACCGTCCTTATTTCCACGGCAATCCTTCCTGCTCGCATCCAGTATTGATCTCGTGTCTCCCCTCCAGCCCCTCCAACCCCCACCTGAAGCCTGATGCTGTAATCCACCCTACATGTCCTGATAGGATCCATCATTGATGGGCCGACGCCGGACACCCTCCCCGCGGCTCTGCCCGAACATGACAGTGGGATGGTGGGGTGGTAGGATGGTGGGATTTGGGGAGTTCAACACCATTGCAAGTACCTGGCGATAGGTATTCGATGTTGGGACCAGTATTACTACTACGTAGTATGACCTGAATCCATATGAGGATGAAGATGGTGGGATGAGGATGATTAGACTCCACCAGTAGTGTAACTTATTGTCCTCTCCGGGACACGTATAATCGCCATACAATTGTATCCGGCGTTTGGAAGGCTCTCTTCGAATAAAACTTGACTCATCCGGAGGCCCCAGTGCTTCTCTTGAGTATTTATCTAGAAGTAGCCGTCCCGTACCGAACATGTTACCCCATCGTGCCCATGCAGCGGAGGGAATTTCCGGTCCCGCATGACGATACGGGGGAATTCGTATTCTGTAGATGTGAGATATAGAACAACAGCACTGCAAGTCTGCAACGCAGCCAGAATTGATCCAGATATTTGATCCAGATATTTGATCCAGATCATTCCGTACAGCGTCACCTCCTCACTCCATGGTACGTAGCGCATGGTAATTGGTAGTTTGGTACAACAGTGGACTTGCACGGCCCAAAAGTCAAGAGGGGAGGGAAATCCATCACCACGTCTCCGCTGCTTGTGGCACTGGTGGCTTTCTCAGCAACTTTCACCAGAATCGCAGCTTATTACACCACCACTGCCATCGGACATCGGTGCTCGAGATACTTAAGTAAGGTACCGACAGCTGCTTCGTAGTACTACAGATTACAGAACCGTCTCTCGCACTGCACCGCGGACTCCATCATCGGAATAATTCGCCTCTCCTCCTTCTCTTCCGCTTCCGCTTCCTCCTCCTGCATCACCGCCACCATCATCATTTCCGGGGTGTTTCGTAACAATATTCACCAAGGAGGTGCTGGCAAGTGCTCTTCTGAGTCTTCTTGCTTTCACGTTTCCTTTTCCATTTCCGGTTCCCTCCCACGGAGAATCCCCCAGTCTGCTGCATCGTCCTCCAATCCGTCCCTTCACATTCTTCGACCGTTCGACCACCCGACTTTCCACTGTCCCAACTTGTGTCGCCCAACACTCGGATCCTCACTTGGCTCATGGCGCTCGGCCTGTGTTGAGACTTCGGTGGGATGGACCTTACACCTTCGCGTCATCTGGAAAACCCATCTCCATTTGCTTCCAGGTACTGCTGAGTTCCTCCAATCTCATTTACCGCTTGTCAACTCCTCCACGCTTCTCTTCTTCTGCTTCATTGCAAACCGTAGTCGGTGGTCATCTTATCAAAGCCCGAAAGCTGGAAAGCTCTCGAGCTGCCTGGCTTAACTGGCTTTGATCGTCGAATTGCTGCCATAACACGGTTGCGATTGGACCGCACGCCCTGCTTCATGCTACATCTTTCTCTTATATCTTAAAACCCCATTCTCATGTCTCCAAGAGTCACTCGCTCTTCGGCGAGGCTCTCCGCAGGTTCTCATCCTTCCGAATCCACCCATCAGTCCCCGTCTGCACCACCCCCATCCCGACCGACTTCGACTCGAAAGCGAAAGGCTTCCGCTCGTGATCCGACCCCAGAACCTTCATCGACCGAGAAGAGTTCATCTAGTCGGAAAGCGAAGCGGTCCAAAGTCGACACCGAACCTCCGGCTGCCGTGGCATCAAAATCAGGAACAAGGTCCGACAGGTCAAAGGCAATGACTGGTGCAGGGTACTGAATGACAACCTCCATTGAGTGCCGCCAAGAACTTGGAGAATCATGCTGACGGATGATAATGTGGTAGACCGTCAACGAACCCCAACTACAATCAACCCGAACAAACCCCTTCGAATAATCGAGGGTCGATTTCCAAACGAAAGCAAAACCGTGGAAAGAAGCAAGGTACATCTCGATTTGATGGTGATGGATATTAGGAAGTCACTAAGGCCTGTTTAGAACTACCCAAGTCTCACATTAGTCCTCCAGCTCGCCGATCAAAAAAACCTGCCAAAGTGGATGGTGACAGCACTATGGATGAAGGCGAGGACCCATTAGATGCCATCATGGACACGACCACCGGGGCAGCATCCCAAAATAACGATCCCACCACCGACCCAGCACACGATGACCATGATGAGGACGACGATGACGACGATGATCAGGATGATGATGAAGATCCCTTCGCCAGCGGGTTGCTCTCACGCCATCATCCCGGTCACCTTTCTAGCACACTTCGAGCGCTCACGGGAATTGTTGGGAACCAGATGTTGGGGGGAATGGGCTCCCGGCTTCGGGGCATCTTGGAAAACCTGCGCCAGAAGGACGATCCGTCGATGCAGTTGATCGCATTGCAAGATTTATCGGAGCTGTTACTTGTCTCCACCGAGGACAACCTTGCCGGGCATTTTCAAGTGGACGCGTTTGTCAAGGAGCTCATTACTTTGATGCAGCCGAGCGAGATGGGCGAGGAGAATCCAGAGATCATGCTTCTTGCCTGTCGTTGCATTGCCAACCTCATGGAAGCATTGCCTCAAGCCACTGCCACCGTCGCCTACGAAGGAGCCATCCCCATCCTTTGTCAGAAATTATTGGAGATCCACTTCATCGATCTGGCTGAGCAAGCTTTGAGCACGCTGGAGAAAATCTCGGTCGAATTCCCGGCAATGATTGTCCGTGAAGGCGGTCTCACCGCCTGCCTCTCCTACTTGGATTTCTTCGCCACCAGCACCCAACGAACGGCTGTCACCACCGCGGCGAACTGCTGCAGGAACATCCCACCCGAGGAATCATTCCCGGTGATTCGGGATGTGATGCCGATCCTCCAGAACGTGCTTAACAGCAGCGATCAACGAGTCCTGGAGCAAGGATGCAACTGCGTCTCTCGCATCGTCAAGAGCTATGCGGATCATTATTCCAAGTTGGAGGAGCTCATCAGCGACGAGCTTCTGCGGACCGTGCTTCGACTTCTACTTCCCGGCAATACCAACCTCATCAGTCCGGGCATTCACACCGACCTCTTGAAAGTCCTGGCGATCACGGCCAAGGCTAGTCCCAAGCATTCGGCAGCGCTGTTCAAGATGAACGTGGTAGATACGCTCTATCAGATCTTGACCGGCGTCTCTCCACCCGGAGAGGATGAGAAAGACGTGGCGACCAAGATCGATAGCGTTGTCATTATGCAAGCCTTAATCCACCGCCCCCGCGACCAAATCGTCGAGACTCTCAACGTGATTTGCGAACTCCTTCCCGATATTTGGGGCACCGATCTAACATTCCTGAAATACATCACTCCTGCAGGGTATCCCAACGGCAGGTTCTTTGTCCACAACCACGAGTCCAAGTTGAACGCGAACGAGAAGCGGATGAAGCTTTTGGAGGGATGCAAGAAGGATGTTCACCGATTCGCCGTGATCCTCTTGCCAACTCTGACAGACGCCTACTCCAGCACGGTCAATCCACAGGTCCGAGAACGTGTTCTTACCGCTCACCTGAAAATGCTGTCCAATCTAGACACCGACATTTTGCACGACGCCCTTCGTTCCGTCCCGTACGCGTCGTTCCTCGCATCCATGCTGACGCAGCTTGACAATCCTAGCCTGATCACTTATGCCCTTCAGGCGGCCGAGCTGCTCTTGAAGCGGTTGGAATCGGTGTATCGTTATCACTTCTACCGAGAGGGCGTGATGTCCGAAATCGCCAAACTGGCTAATCGCCCTTCCACGTCGGCGGAGAAGTCCTCTGGGAGTCAACCGACGCCTATGGATATCGAGCCTGTTCCACAATCCAGTACGGGGTCTCAAGAACATTCCGAAAACGAGGAAGCCCAGGGGTTCGGATACGATCATTCCGAGGACGAGGACGACGACGAAGAGGACGAGGATGAAGGGGACGATCATGATGACAATGATACTGAGTCGGACGGATCGAGTTCTGAAGAGGATGATTACTCTCGAGAACATCATCCTTCGCAGAGTGATGACGAGAAAATCACGGAGCGCGCCAAGAAATTCCTCGAGATCCACGAGACAAACCAATCTATGTCCGTGAAGGCGAAGGCGTCCAGTATCCTTGAAGATCTGGCCAAGCTTGCGCAACAAATCCGTCAACAATACCTCGAGCATGGACAGCAAACGAACGAGAACGTGTTCGAACGCCTTGCAATATACTTTGACATCAAGTCCCCGAAAAGTATCACGAGCTATGAGCTTCTTACCTCCGATATTGTCCAAGTCCTTTTGGATGTTATGTCTCAACCCCAGAGTATTCCTGGTGTTGACGCCCGTACCGACTTCCTACACTCGTTCATGAGGTCATCACCGCAATTGCGGACCGGAAGCAAAGGCGGCTACGCTTCGACCCCTTTCAGTTCTCTCGTCCAGAAATTGCAGGACCTACTGAGCCGTGCCGAGCATTTCGAAGTCTTCACGGTTCCGACATCGGACAGTAGTAGACATACCGCAGCCTCGATGCTGGCCAAACAGCTGCGTCTGCGACTTATGGCGGATGATGAGTCCGGTATTCCATCCCATTTCCGCAATATCATGGTCAACATACATGCCATCGCGACCTTCAAAGGCCTTGACGATTACCTTCGACCACGCATTGCCCTTGCCGAACGGCCCAAAGGCACGAAAGGACGAGAAAGCATGACGAATGCCCTGGCAGCATATGCGGCGGCCATGTCTGGGCGAGATCCATTCGGGGCTGGCAATACACATCGACGAGATCCTTTGCCGCCCGCGGTCCCGACTCCAGGGGATTTCACGAACCGACAGATCACAAAACATCAAAGTAAATCGAGGTCCAAACACGACGAGCAGAAGAACGCGCAATCTGGCTCCAGCTCCACGCCCACCACCAAATCCTCAGGCATCCGGAGATCCACCCGCAAGTCCAATTCCGGGAGTCTCCCCAGCCGACCGGTTGCTCCAGTCATGCCGGACGAAAATCTGCAAGACACCCTCGAATGTGCCGATGAAGCACCACTGTCCGAAGACGAGGAAATGGACGAAAACAGCGAATTGGATAATATTCTCGGGGGTATCGAAGACGACGACGATGACGACGACGAAGCAGATCCCTCCGCTGTCAACATGGAAGTGGCTCCGACAGGCAAGGTGACTGCTCGCAGAGAAGATGGTACAAGGATTGCAACGCCGGTCTCCACATCTTCGAAGCGAGCACCCTCTGCTCGAGTGCCTTCCACGCAGCGCCTTCTTAGCACCAATTCTCCTTCCGCAAGTCGACCGAGTTCGTATCTTTCTGCCGTTCAAGCTATGGTGAACGACTGGCATATCGAATTCTCCATCAACGATCAGCCGATCACCCATGGGACCACGATCTACCGCGCGGTACATTTTAACCAGGGGCAACCAACCGAAGTCTCTTCGAAGACCATGTGGCATGCCACGCATCAAATCAAGTTCAAGCGCGTTGCTGGTCCACCGCCCCCGGAGACAACAGCGGCGACACCCCCCCCTGAGTCATCCACCACCGATTCCGGAGTTCCCATGTGCCTTGAAAAGAACCCAGTGGCGTCCACGATCCTCCGTTTCCTGAACATTCTCCATGGGTTGAATGCCAACATTGAAGACGTCGTGTCAGAAACCAAAGACCAGGCGAGAATCACGTCCGAGCCCCTGTCCCAGTTCGTGAACACGAAGCTCACCGCGAAGATGAATCGACAACTCGAGGAGCCTCTCATTGTGGCGAGTGCTTGCTTGCCTAGCTGGAGCACCGACCTTGCTCGATATTATCCGTTCCTTTTGCCATTCGAAACACGCCACCTGTTCTTGCAATCCACTTCCTTCGGTTACTCTCGTTCTATGAACCGATGGCAAAACGCTCAAGCCATGTCCGAATCCCGAAACGATCGCCATCGTGATGAACGGCCATTCTTGGGCCGCCTTCAACGCCAGAAGGTGCGCATCTCCCGCCAGAAGATCCTCGAATCTGCTCTCAAGGTTATGGACATGTACGGGTCGTCTCCTAGTATTCTTGAGGTCGAATATTTCGACGAAGTCGGTACTGGTCTCGGTCCCACTCTAGAATTCTATTCCACCATCTCCAAAGAGTTCGCAAAGAAACGTCTCAAGCTTTGGCGAGAGAATGATGCCAACGAAAAGGACGAGTATGCGTTTGGCAAGCAGGGCCTCTTCCCGGCGCCAATGAGTGGCGAGCAATCCGAGTCGGATAATGGCAAACGTATCCTTCAACTTTTCAAGTCTCTCGGCAAGTTCGTTGCGCGTTCCATGCTCGACTCTCGCATCATCGACATCTCCTTCAACCCCACTTTCTTCCGTATCGGAGAGGAAGACGTCGCAGTCACTCCCTCGTTAGGGGCCGTTAGTTTGGTGGACAACGATTTAGCGAACTCTTTGAAGCTGCTCAAGAAATTCGCCAGTGCGAAGAAACACATTGATGAGGATGGCAATCTCAACCCCGCGCTGAAGGTCGAGGCTATTCAGAATATTGAGATTAACGGCGCCCGTGTGGAGGATCTCGCGCTCGACTTCACACTTCCTGGCTACGACATTGAGCTCCTCTCCAACGGGCGCGACATTCCGGTCACCATCGACAATGTTGGCATGTATCTGGAGAAAGTCATAGACTTCACTCTCGGATCTGGAGTCCGTCGTCAAGTGGAGGCATTCCGCCAGGGATTCTCTCAGGTGTTTCCCTATTCCTCCCTTCGGGCATTTACTCCCGATGAACTGGTCATGTTGTTCGGTAGACTTGACGAGGATTGGTCGCTCGAGACCCTCATGGATTCGATCAAGGCAGATCACGGGTTCAATCTCGACAGCAAGAGCGTCCGCAACTTACTCCAGATCATGAGCCAGTTCTCCCCGAATCAACGCCGGAACTTCTTGCAATTCGTGACTGGTAGCCCGAAGTTGCCGATCGGAGGTAAGTGAAAGACCGAATCCATGTCATTTTCTCGACGTTCCTTGCTAACCTCACTTGTAGGATTCAAGAGTCTCACACCAATGTTCACCGTGGTCTGCAAACCGAGCGAGCCACCTTTCGCCTCCGATGATTATCTCCCGAGCGTCATGACTTGCGTCAACTACCTCAAACTTCCGGACTACACGACCATCGACATCATGGATGGGAAGCTCAGAATGGCCATTGCTGAAGGTCAAGGTGCATTCCACCTTTCTTAGAGCAGGTGACCGTGTCGGCCAGCTCTATCATTCACTCATCAACTCGCACTGGATGGAAGCTTCGATCTGACCAACCATGGTCATACCCGGAATCAGGATTAGTGGCATAGGGAAACTTGTCATATGGATGGGTGTAGTATTTTCTTTCCCCAAAAAATTGACGATGAGAACATGCGGTTTACCTCTGAAATAGCATTAGTGGCGTCACACATTCGCCTGGTATGGTATGGCTTTGACAAATTGCATTTGCGGTGTCGCATTAAGACTGGAAAAGGGGACCACTTCCATAACTAAGGGCTGGTTCTTCAGCCCACCTTAGCATAGGTAATGGATCAATCAAAATGAAATGTATTAGACTTCAGATGGTGATGCTAAGTGATTGGGAGTTCCTACTTTACCCATAGGTCAAGTACATAGAGTAGGACCTTGATGGTCAACTCATATTGTAACCTGTACTAGTTAGTTAGGATTTTATGATTAATCGTACATATATCCGTAGTGTTTTATGGGCCAGCCACAGCACACTCCTGAGGCAAAAAAACGAGAGTAAAAGGCAAGGGCTAAAAAACAAAAACATACGGCAATGGGAGTTCCCCTAAACTCTCAGCTGTACAAAGGCGTCAAAATAAGAGGGCCAATACCGCCGAAAGACGAGGGCCCGTCGAAAACACCCTCTCTGCCATCATTATTCTAATGATTGTAAAGATGCTGTTTCCCCCACAAAGAGACCCGTAGAGTAGATCTATGTAGACCAAGACGGTAGGATTCCCTAAAGATATTGCCATGGATCGCGCACCGTCGGCTTTCTTCACTTTCGCTGCTCTGTTGTTCGCTCTATATGGATATCCTCTGAAAGCTTTGCGCTTCGCTTTTCCATTTATCGGCCCTTTAAGGCATCATGCGTCCATGTGTGCGAGAGAGGATATCATTATTTTTTTGGGGTTTTTGACTCTTGTCTTCAGCTAAATCTTCCGTCAGACTGAGCACACTATTGCTGCTGTGCTTCAGGTCACGCATGGCTCTTGCTTAGACTTGGGAGTGCACCAAGAGGCGAGACTCCCGACGAATTCCAACATATTTCCATATTAAGAAACAAATGAAGAATTTTGGTGTGCGATCGTGGACTAATAAGTGCTCATATCCATAATGCTTCCATATCTATATAATAATAATGCATAGTTTGTCTACAAGAGAACCCTTGCTTTGGCTGTTTCAAGCAACTCGTACATGACATTTTGCCGTCGCATGACGAAATTGGAATTGTAGTACAATGTTGTCTTCAAGGCACGCCTCCAGTCATTGCAAAGATGGAGCAACAGTTTACAAACTCACCAGGATAAATGAGGACAATGTACAGTAATGTTTGTTTTTATAGTTAAAGTCATCTGAAAACCGGAAATGGGGCACTTTCGAAGGGCCCATTCAGGATCATTAATGTCGTCCAGCACTGATGGTAGTCTCGCCCTCCCTCGCTGATATGCCCAACAGCATACTCTGCTAGACCGGCGACTCCCCTGTACATTCCAACCTTCAATTTTCCTTGCCGATGCATGCTTGTCCAGTGAAAACCCCATCAACCTGACTGCCCTGTCGTTCGTGAGAGAATCCCCAAGGCGAGTGCCTCGCCGGGATCCCAATGACATTTCCGTCAGAACTGTCACGGTTTCTCGATGTTTAGAGCGCCACGATTCCGGCGCGCATCGAGTCCACCGCAACCATGCACGACGGCTTCCTGCAGAAAGGTGACGCTGAAGTCGAGTCCCAAACGCCTTCCAATGATTTTTACAATAACCCCGCAGCTCAAGACGATTGACTGCTAGGCCCACGGATGTCAGTCCGGACTTCATTCTGGATATCGGTCTTAAAAATCCACTCCTGACTCTCGTCGTCGCTAATATTCCTCAACGTTCTGGTCTTTGTCGGCGCGGGCGATGCCTTCATTTCTACATCGAGTGTTACATGGATATCGCGGTATCCGGCGTTACGGCTCTGTTGTGACGAGAGAGGACCACTGTAGCCGAGATCAGTGTGTCGACGACCAGAGGGTGCAGTGCTGGGGTGGTCGCTGGAGCCTATTAGGGTTGGGAAAAGTTTGCGTATAACCGGGCGGATGCCGGGGAGACAGCCGCAGATGATCCCGAGGCAGATTTCGACGTCGGAGATGACGTACACAATAGTGGAATTGTCTAAATGGTCAGCATTACGATCGACAGAAAGGCATGTAACGGTGCCAATTCACATACACGCGACGTCCCAGGAGCGAAAGTATTTGACCATATATACTACTCGAACGACACTTCCGATACAGACGCTAATGCGAGTCAGCAATGCAGGAAACCCATCATATTGGCACAACTGACATGACGCCTAAGCTGAAAGATATTATCAGCCAAACCCGTTTGTTAAGGCTCATTTTAATGTTCCAGAGGTAGTAAACAGGCCAGAGGAAGACCAGACAGTCCGTAAAGGAATTCATACTCGTCGTTGTAATAATAAATACTTCCAAATTGATACAATGTCTAATAGGCCTGAAAAGATTCCAGGTGTCTGACATAGGCCTAGAAAGCGTCAGAGTTCGATATATAAGGCAGGTTAACGACCAATATAGACGGATTGCGACTTACCAACATTGGAACAACGATGTTAGAGAGCAGATAACTCCCCATGCGGCCACAACAACGATACAGATATAGTTGAACTGTGAATTTGTGCGCGATGGGAATATGCGAAGATACGTCAAGCAGATGGAAATCTTCGTCAACGCTGCCGCTGGACCGAACACAACTTGCGTGACAATTCCCCATTTGGCTATTAATGGGAGCCATTCCAATTTGACGTCGTAGAGGTGGCGTCCGTAGCCCGCTTTCAACTCCATTATATGTACTATTGCTATTCCCATTGCGAATATCTAATACGCTGTCAGCTTTCCCTTCGGAAAAGTCATCGATATGGATAAATATTTCGACTCACATATGCCAGAAGCATAGTCCAATCATCCAATCCTAGAGCATTGCGAACTACCACGAACCGCGAATAGAACCGACATGAGATGAATATCGTGGCCAGGATCATCAGAGTGATACCAACGCCCCATACGACGGGATCGAGCACATCGCGCGGATTGTCATAGTTCGGCTCTGGCCAAGTGGCGATGTCCTCTAGGGTCGGTGTTGCCATGGTTGACGGGATTCAAACGATGACCTGGCAATTAATGCAGACTCAACGAGAATACAGAGGATGTCGACGATTGTTCGGAACGGGTGTCACCATCATTGGGATTCCAACTTTAGCAAGTTGTCTCGCGGGCGCATCGGCGTGCATGAAATCGAACTGTTGTGGAAGATCGGACTAGATCAGATCGAATGAATGTAGGCACCGATAGGAGGTATATCAAGTCCGCATCAATTTGTTCTGGGTTGTTGGACTAAAACTTCTAACCAGCATCATTACTCATTCGCAGCCACGGCGCGGCTGAGACTCGCTTTTGAGTCGAGTACGAAGAAAAGTCGAATGGACGAACGGGTCAACCCTGGTTGTATAGGGGAGGAATTCGGGATAGGAAGAGCGCATCCCGTTCAACGCTGGAGCTGACCAATGAACGGGGAGTTTTCGACAACTGGGAAGACGTGATGCATCATCTTCACTACCAAGGCAATGCTCGGCAGGGTAATATCCTTGCGTTCGATATGTAGACACCTGGATGGTGAAACCATTTTCAACCTTCAATGAGAATGTGTAAGAGTTCGCCAACAATTGGATTGGAAAGAGGAAAACATCATCGATTTGCAGAAGGAAAAGAAGGGAAGAAGAGAAGAAGATCTCTCTTTCCCTGTGTAGTTCTATTTGCACTATGAGCGCCGTGCAGATCTGTTGCCCATTCACTCGTAACAGAGGCCACAATGCCACGAGGCAAACCCCCTGCAGTGGGAAGAAATTGAGTTACGATCCCTGGCACCCCACACCACCACCACCACAGGCATGTGCAGGATGTCTGAAAAGCTCAAAAGCAGCATAACTAGTTAAAGGTAGTAGACTAAGTTAGTTATACCATTGCCGAATTAGGAAAATTACCAGACGCGTGACTTAATAAATTCTCCGCCACGCTCGACCACTATCCTACCAGCGCAGCACCTTTTCGCCATCATTACGGTTGTCGTAGAATACGGAAAAGTGGGATTTATTGGTTGTACACAGTATATTCCTGACGTTTAATTGGTTAATATAGCATATTTGGACGGAAATCCATTGAAAATTAAGTGCTGTAGAATAAGTTGAAGATAGTCCAATATTGGTGGTTGACGTACAGAGTAATATGGTAGTTGGGAGAATGCCAAGTGTTAGGATTTGGAATGCCTGAATTCTGAAGAGCTCAATCTTCTAAGAATGGAATATCTGCAGAGGCTCAATCTGTAACGCAGAGGTAAAGAGACGATCAATAGCAATAAGGGTAGAATGTTATAATATGAAACTGTTCCCAAGGGACTGTTCAAAGGTCTGTAGAACTTTGCGTTGTGTTGTAATTAAAACCAAATAACTGTAACTACAGAACCGCTCCTTATATACTCTAATCCTCCTGCCTATCCGTTTGTAGCACATTCCTACCTTTGTCTTATAGGGAAGTGTTCTTCCCTTTATCTCTTTATCTAACTCGTACAAAGGAAAGGTCCGTTTTCAGCCTAATTGGAGGTAAGATACCAAAGCACCATGGCGCCAACAAGGTTGCTAACAGAGATTGACCATATTGTTGAAATGGTAATCCAAACACCAAGAAACATAATTAGTCAAGAATCCACTTGGTAATCCACTCAGGAAACCACTCGGCTACCCGCTCAGGAACCCGCTCAGGAGTCCACTAGAGAAACCTCCCAGAAAGCCACCTCCTGGCAGTCCATCAAAAAGCCACCATTCTCATCGAGCTTATATTTAGCCATCGTCGCTGCAGTCGGCTGCAACTCACAGGCCTTCCTTTCGATACTTTGTATCGACACCAACGGTAATCCACGCGAAGATGCCGTTGTTGACCGTGTCTCCTAGGTATACATACTCCATTACAGGGTCATATTGTCCTGCGGCCGTCTGTGCGAGAGTAAAGTCCTGATCATTGCGGGCCAGGGACATGGTGTTAGTGTTGTACGGAGCGAGGAGCTCAACATCACTGATGAGAGACTAATCAAAGAAGGGCTGGCCAACATGGGAAACGTTTCCGTCCCGGATACGCTAGTTTGGAAGTGTTTCGTAGTCCAGATGGGTCATGACTTTGATTCTATTAGTACCCGTGCGTTTACTTGGGAAAGATAGAGGAGAACGCTAACCGTGGATATGTGTAGCGCGGCCAACATAATGGCCCGGGAACTTCGACTCGAAAGTAATAACATCGTCCTCAGTAGTAATTGGGATTCCACGGAAGGAAGTCTTATTGACGAGCGTTGTATCTCCGGCATTTCTATTCTGCATAAATCCACCGTCTGAGACGCCGCCATACACCCCAGTAGAGTTACAGTGCCAGAAATCGATGGCGGCTTTAGGGATTGGCTCTCAGGGATTGATGTCAATGAATTGGATGTCAGTGATAAGATCAACACCTGGCTCCTTTTCAGCCACATTTGTTCGGATCAGGTCCCGGCGACGTCTGTCGGTTGCCAGAGCCGCTTATCCACGGTTTATCTCTTATAAAACTTACAGTGTGGGCCTTCTGTCGTCTCGGGCGCCAGCACCGTCACATTGTTGCTATCAAATATCGTCTCCGCAGATGAATCTGGGGTGATGTCAGTGCTATTATAGCGATGATTGGTTGATAGCACTTTGTTCAAATCGCGAACATGCAGCATATCCCCTATTGTCTATTTCAGTCCTATATCCCCCATTTTCGCCGTTGACCTGAGTTACTAACTTTTTCGAAGGCGTCGCTTGGCGCAATGCTCGTTTATAAGTGCATCTCTCCTCGTAGCAAACTTCTCGCTAACTCCCCGTGCTTTTAACTGGACGGAACAGGCATCGACGGCCCCCGGCCCGATCGACTCCATGAATTTAGTGCGCAAGCACAACTCCTTAGCGTTACTATATTGCCATGGGCTTAAGCACTATACAACGAAATAGCTGCTAGTAGTCAAGTTGCGAACGATAAAAATTGGATCATATTAATAGCATTCGGAGATAACTATTCGCATTTGCATTTTTGAACCCTCGACCATTTACGAACTTACTACTTAGTACCTACTTACGTACGAAACATTAAATTTAGAGATTCGGACTAACCGATAGCTAATCACTCGCGGAGTCATAGATATCGGATGCAGCTCTGCTTAACTAGTAGTCTAGGACACGCATCCCATGAATTAAAAATATGGTCCGATGCGGACAGATGCACCGTTAATCTAATCCGGTAATTTCAGGTCTTTCTCCGGTTTATTTCCAGTCAGCCAAGAACTAAGTACAGATGTACCTCCGTATCTACCGGTAAGCCGGGACTCGGGACTCAGCCCTGATGGCGCTGACAAGGAGTTACACAGAAACGGTGGCTCCGATAAGGTTGTCTCCTGACCGGCCCCCATCTAGAGCGACCTTTTCCGTTTACCGACGCAGCGGACAAAGATTCTATCCCCGGTCCCACGATGGTTGTACCACGAAGATCCTCGTAAGGTTGGAGAATATTCAGCCACAATTTTACGGGGAGGTACTGAGTCGAATAAAATCTATTGAACAAATCTGCAGGCATGGCACGATACCACGCGCCGAGCTAGAGGCAAATGCAGTGGAAAGTATCGTAACCGTACGAAGAGTCCGAGTCGTTCTGTTCCCTGCTTCCTCGGCAAGGTATCTCAATTACCTTCCCATCACGGTGTACAGCTCTCTCTGCGCCATGAGCTCGTCAATAGCGAATAATGGAAAATACAATAAACTCTTATGGCATGAGTCTAGCCTAGGGATAAGAAGCGCCACATAGTGCACGGTACAGGACGCGGAAAGATATGTCTATATAGATCCTTTCGGCTGCCAGGGCGGATCGTCCTGGAGTAGCTCCAAACAATTGTGGTTTTTATTGAAACGTGTTGCTCAACATGATTATTACTTCTGCCCTTGTTTACTTCCTGGCATTCAGTCAGGGGCTGGCTACTCCTTTAGCTAACCCCCAGGAGGCTGACCTAGCAGGTCGTCCATCAAAACCTAAATGCTCCAAACCAGCGAAGAGACTGCCATGGTAAGATCCTCTCTGTGGGGTAGGACATGACTTTCCATTATACAAGCTAACATTTTTGCAGGCAAGCCCTGAGCAGGAAGGAGAAGAAAGCCTATATCGATGCGGAGCTCTGCTTGATGAGAAAGCCCTCCAAGCTCAATTTGCCTGGAGCCATAACCCGGTTTGATGATCTGATCAAGCCGCATCAGATCATGGCCCGAGAGACGCATCAAACCGGCTACTTCTTGCCTTTCCATCGTTATTTGATGCACACTCACGAGACCGTGCTGCGAACTGAGTGTGGTTACAAAGGCCATCAACCCTACTGGGCAGAAGAACTAGACATCGACAACATTCAGAACTCTGATGTGTTGGATTCCGTAACAGGCTTCGGCGGCGGCGTATTAGATACACTGGCATGCGTCCCGAATGGCCCGTTCAAGAACTACAAGTTGCACACAGGCCCAGGACAAAAGAACACGGAAAACTGCATCGAGCGTCGTTTGTCCAACATTGCAACCTTGACTGCCCGCCAGGAATACATTGACTACTGCTACCAATTCAACACATTTGAAGATGCGTGGCCATGCTTAGAGGATGGTGGCCCTCATAACGCCTGGCATGCTGGTGTCGGCGGGGTCATGCTGGTATGTGTTGCTACTCATAGAAACCTCCGTCAATATGGATATAGACACTGACCTATATACACAGGACCCTATTTCCTCGCCTGGAGGTATTACTTCATTTGATACTATGGCCTATCTTATTGAGCTAACTTTTCCAAGACCCACTCTTCTATTTGCACCATACCTGGCTGGATAAAGTCTGGTGGGACTGGTTTGTACACTCAGGTCGCTCATTCAGATGTACCACTAAATTATACCTAGGCAGAAACAAAAGCCAGAGCGCCTGCGCGACATTACAGGCCGTAAAGTCAGCATCAACCCATTTTTCGACCTTCGTAAGCACTACTAATTTCTTTTGTATCGAAAGACGGGTCAGTCTCGCTAGTGGATTAAGTGTACTGACTGCTACTTAGTTTCAAACCTTCCCGGCAACTCGACCATCACGGATTTCTTTATGGGCAATATCCCAGGCTTGCCATCCATTCCAGGTGGAGGACCGTTCAGTGAAAACAACAGGGGGCCGCCGACCTTCCAGCCCAGGAATGAGACGATCGCGGACCCTGTCAAACTTACTGACACACTCACTGTTTTTGGCCTTATCCCCAATACCACAGTGTCCCAGGTTATGAATATCAAGGACGGGTAAGTGTTGTATATCACACTGAGTTATTAGAATTGACTAACAGCGTTAGAATTCTCTGCTATGAATATGTTGATTACGAGGATGCAATCTAGGGTCCAGATTATGGGCATCAGTGTTGCTTGCTTCATGATCTGAAAATGGCGCACCGGCTATTGTTATACAAGTGTTTGTCAAATAATCGCTGCTAAATTCGCAATTATGAGTGTAGCTTTCAGAGGGGAAGTTGTTAACTTATGATTGATTGATCGAGTTGAGTTGACAGAGGCATCCACTGGACTACATATCTCATTTCGTCTTGCCGCCCAATATGGTGTGCCGCAGCAGTCCTGTACCTGAACGCCCAGCGGACTTGGCATTCATGTATTGGCGTGTCTCAGCAAGGAAAGGAAACAAGGCTTTATTACCGAAACCCAACTACCTGTCGAGAATGCTACAAGGGAGGAACTAAATAAGAAAAATGCCAAATGTCAAAAACCGCAGTGAATACCTCTGTACTATCTCCCTATATTAGCGGTAAGCCAGGGAATATACGGTCATGTGCTCAGCCAATGGGAAAAAAATCAAAAGCATTCAGCAATGGGAGTTCCCCATAACTCTCCCACCGGTATAAAAGAGGTCGAAATCAGAGGGTCAATACCACCGAAACACTTGGGTCAGTCGAAAGTACACTCTCTGCATCCATGGTAAAGCTTGTAAATATGCCGTTTCTCCTTAGTTTCCAGTCTCGCTCTCAGTCAGCGTTTGGTTCGCAGTCTACAGTACTCTCCAGTTCCAGTCTCATCAATTCGGCGGTAGTCGACGCTATCAGCACTCTAAGCAGCGAAAGTTCTCTACATCCATTCAAAAGAAACGCCTTGACAATGGCACCACGACGCTTTATTACGTGCGTGCGCATCAATCCGGCTGGTCGAAGACAGGTCCATACCCATTTAGCCCCGATAAGGTACTTTGAGATATCCAGAAAACTGCTAGCCGAATTGTTTCGTTCCGAAGGAAGATAAAGTGAAGGTGAAACCTTGTCTATAAGGCATTGTGCTGTAAATGCCGGTGATATCGGAGGCAGTCACTTCGCTGCAAATCAAATTGAAGACAATGCTCATGACAGAGAATAGCGGTTCCTTTGATCAGGTGATCTGGAGATGCGACTTCTGTTGGATCGAAACGTGTCTTATTAAGAAACTTAACAAATGAGAGTATTATATACAGAGTATCAATCACGTGCCTCATAACCTCCGATGTTCTCCCGGCTTTGGTCTAACATCCTCCCCTACCTAGGCCTGAAACACCGGTGAAGGCAAGATATATCTAGATCTTCGTCTCACGATCTAGGTCTTCCTGTTCCCTTCTTCCTCAGCTCAATCCTTCGAAGTTCGGAGGGATGGGGTTCAAAGTGAGTCAACCAAGGCGTATCGTCATATGCCAAGGTTCCGCTCACGTCGAGACCTCGCGTCTATATTGTCCAAAGCATCCTATCCAACGACGAGTGCGTGTCGCGCTGTGATCGAGCTGATGGTAGCAGTTAAGGGCATGAAACGAAGGTCGAGCTCGGCGAAGCGATCTTTTCCTGCGGCTCTGGCCGTGCTAGATCGATTCCTCGTACGTCTTGGTGGTATTCTTGTTTATCTTGATCATTTCCCGAAGGTTTTTGTTCCTTTTTTCTCCATTTTCTGGTCTTTTGGTTTGTTTTCTCGCTTTTCTAAGGGTTTCTGATCATTTTGGTTCATTTTCTGAGGGTTTTCTTTGCTTCTCTTTTCTTCTGATCCTCCTCAGTGCTGCCAGCCGTTGGACTTTGGCACCTCTCTGCCCAACTGTACGTCTCATAGAGTATCCGCCTACGATCATTGGTTCTTGTTCTTCGTCTCGAGATCTCTTCTGAGAGGGGTTCAGGCGATCGGTGTTGATCTTAGCAAGTTCTTCAGCTGCAGTATCTTCAACAATCTCTTCAAAGAGTTGTTCTCCTGTGGTCCTCGTCTGAGGCGTTTCGTTTTCTATTTCTCTTTGCTCATCTTGTTCTGTAGGCGGAGAGTCACTCTCGACTTCCATTGACTCCACCTCTTCTGCAACCGGTTCATCTTCGATGGCTGGTTCGGCAGGAGGCATCGGTTCTACCTCTTCTGCAACCGGCTCATCTTCGATGGCTGGTTCGGCAGGAGGCATTAGCGGTTCCGCTTCTGCCATTTCTGTGTCCATATCTCGGTATGAACTATCTTCCGGGGAGATGGACGGTCTCCTAAAGATTGATGCATCAAGTTCAACCGGTGTTGCGTCTGCACCCGGTACAGCGCTGTCACCCTGCTTTTGCTGCAGCAGTGACGTGCCATTCTGCTGTGGCATCCTCATCACTGGAGGAAGTTCTTCTAACTGTTCTGTAAGGAAGGGTTGGGGTACGCGACTCTTGCCGGCTTGCCGCTTCTCTGACTCTATGTATGCCCTTACGGCGGCTTCAATCTCACCAGGCTCGCGACCTTCCTCCCCCTCCAGGAATTGACGTGCTCCTGCACGATTCGGAAGTCCTTGCAGCTCGCGCCAAGTTTTCTTCGTCATCTGCTTCAGCTTCTCAATTCTGATCTCAGATTGTCCTCGAACGGGGTCTTCTACATCCTGGAATGTGATACTATCAGGGTTATCGACTTGGAAATCTCGTCCCTCTGCGGACTGGGCTTGAATCCATTTGCCAATATCGACTTCTCCCCTGACCAGTACCAGGCGGTTCCCATGCACTAAATGCCTCAAGATCTTCCCACTGGGCGTTTCTAATGCATACGTCCCAAGTGGGTGTGCCTTGGCAATATAGTAGGGTCCCACCCAATTCGCTTCAAATTTCTTCTTCTGTTCCCGACGAAGGAGTACTCGTTGCCCCTCCTTAAAGCCAGGTTCTCTTGTGAAGGTCAAACCGTTGTGAAGTCCCATTTGCTCCGCACGATCGAGCAATCTTTCATGCGCAATTTCTCGAGCGGTGCGCAGCCGCTTGACCCAGTCAATAACTTCATCTTCGGTTGCCGGTCTCTTTTCCTCTGAGGCGTTTTTCATAACATCCTCCGGCAAGTTTGGGTGTCTTCCGAAAACAAGATAGTATGCTGATCTTTTTGTAACAGTGTGCTGGCGGTATCTACAAGCAAGGAGAGCTGCATCGAGATATTCATCCCAAGAGCTAACCTTCTTGCCTATGCACATCTTTGTCAAAATCGAACCAAGTGTTCCATTGAGGCGCTCCACCTTGCCATTGGTTCGTGGATGGTAAGGCGTTGCAAGCTTATGACGCGTCTTCAAGATTCGGAGGAGATGTTCAACCACATTCGAGATGAATTGACTGCCATTGTCTGACGTAAGGGCTGAAGGGGCGCCAAACGTAAGCAGGATTTCCTTGTACAAAAACTCTGCGATCTCAGGAGCCGTTGCATCAGGGACTGCTTTGGCGATTGGCCATCCAGTCGCATAGTCAATGGCAGTAATGATCCATCGGTTTCCGCGATTCGTCTCCGGAAGGATACCGATAAGATCAATTCCCTATTCTTCAAATGGCTGTCTGGGTTGAACACGATGAAATCGGGTTTCATTTTCCTTACTTTGGCGCTTGGACTGCGCTAATTGACATTCAGGGCAATCTGAAGCCACGTTTTCAATGTCCTTCTGCATACTCGGCCACCACCCTTTTGTTTCGACCACGCCGTACAAGGCCGGCCAAGCAAAGTGGCCATAGTCGCGGTGGACCTTGCGCAATGAGTCTCGGCGAGTCGGTGGGGGCCAGTATGGCACCCAAGGGGCGTCCTTGTGGTCGTCAATTCGGCGCTCAAGGAGGTCATCCTTTGGCGCGATGCGGAATCTTGAAAGCTCTCTCAGCTTGAGTAGCTTGTTGCGCCGGACACGCTTGTCATCGGGAAGTGTTCCGGTAAGCAACCATGTTCTGATGGCTTGAATACACTTCTCTTCAAAGCTCATTTCTTCAATAACGTTCAGCGCATACGGGTTACGGAAATTCTGCGCTTGATTGGCGGGAACGTCTTCCATAAAGTCTGGGCGTCGAGAGAGTGCATCTGGCACAGTTGCTTCGGTACCTTTCCGATATTGTAGGTCGAGGTTATACTGCTGATATTCTCCAATCCAGCGTGCCAACCTCTTCGTTGGGTGAGACATAGTCTGCAAGTACTTCAGGCTCTCATGATCCGTGAGGATCGTCGTCTTGTCTTTGTCAAGGATGTACTTGTTCCATGTCTTCAAGGCGTGGGTAATCGCCAGCAGTTCTTTTTCATGGACAGGGTAGTTGAGTTCAGCGGCGCCCAACTTTCGTCCTTCAAAAGCAACTGGGTGAAATACGCCATTGTCATCATCTTGGTATAAGGCTCCACCAATGGCCCACTCTGAAGCGTCAGTTTCGATGGTGAAGGGCTTGTGGAAGTTTGGCTGAATAAGGACGGGGTTCGAAGTCAGGCAGTCCTTGAGTTCGTTAAACGCCGCTTGGCAGGACAATGTCCAGCGGATTTGTCGGAACTTGTCCTTCCTACGGGCCTGATCTTTTTCCTTCAGCAACTCATGTAGCGGGGCTGCAATCTTAGCGAATCCCTTCACGAAACGACGGTAATATGCGGCAAGACCAAGGAATTGGCGCACATCGTGTACGGTTCTAGGCGTTGGCCACTCTCGAATGACGTCAACCTTCTTCTGCTGGGGGCGAACGATGCCTTTTTCGATAACATGGCCACAAAAGTCGATGCTTTCGGCTGCGATTGAGCATTTCGAGGGCTGTGCATACAGCTCCTGGTCAGCCAAAGCTTTGAGTACGGCTTCTATGTGTTGTTCATGTTCTTCCAGTGTCTTGGAGTAGATGATGATGTCGTCTAGGTAAACCAACGCGAAACGGTTCAAGAACGGTCGCAGTGTATCATTCATCAGATGCTGGAACGTCGACGGGGCGTTGGTGAGGCCGAACGGCATCACAATGAACTCGTACTTGCCATGCAGAGTATTGAAAGCAGTCTTCGCTTGATCAGCAGGATCAATCAGGAGTTGCCAGAATCCTGAAGTCAGATCGATTTTCGTAAAGACGGTTGCTTCGTTCATGGCTTCCAGACACTCATCGATACGCGGCAGCGGATAAGTGTTGCGAGTAGTGAACGCATTTAGAGCCCGGTAGTCGACACACATTCGCCATTTCCCACCCGGTTTAGGCACGAACAATACGGGGCTTCCCCATTCGCTGATAGATTCTCGGATCAGTCCACGCTCAATTAGGGCTCGAACTTGTTTCAGCTGTTCCTCGATGTGTACGGGAGGAAGGGAGTAGTGTGGCTTGTTGACAGGTTTGGCATCTCCTGTAGGAATCTTGTGGTCAAACTTCCTCTGTGGGGGAAGGTGATCAGGGAGACTGTCGCGAAAGACATGTCGATATCGCTCGAGTATCTCTTGGATGCGAGCATTCGTAGTCTTCGGTAGGAGGTCGGTATCGGTAGCGTCTCCTTTGATTTCCGCTTGAGTCTCGTTCTTTAAGATATACAAGCGACCTTGTTCGTCTGGGCACTCTCTTTCCCAACATTTTCGGAACGATCGATATGGCATCAGGTTGATTTTACAAGGAGTTTCATCGTCGCTAAGGTCGACGACTGATGAATCGCCTTATAGAACATGAGTCCAAGCCTTGGAATGAGTGCTGCTCACTCGTTGTTTAATGACCAACTTGGATAGGGGCCAATCGATTGCTGGATTGTGTTGTCGAAGCCATTCGATTCCGAGGATTACGTCGTAGTCGTCCATATCAAGAACTCTGAAGGTACGTGTCTCTCGGAAAGAACCAATCTTATAGGGGACTCGAATGCCTTTCGTGCTTGTCATCTCTTGACCATTAGGTAGGCGTACTCGTCGAGAAGGTAGGTTAAAGACAAGATACTGAGGAGACTTCTTGTAAAATCTATGCCAGAGCTTCTGGGATATATAGCATCGACCAGCACCACAATCTAACATGAACTGAACTTTGGTAGAGTGGTTGGTTTCTGGTGCAAGTTTTCCTGTAAACTCTATCAGGTTTGAACCGATGGCGTTCAGTCGGTCGATCCCATCGTTCCAATGCCAAATTTCCTCAACCTCTAGATCTTCAGTGCTATCAGACGAGAGATCATCGTCTTTAGCACACGACCACAGCGAGTCGGACGTATTGTCGGGGTCAGAGGAAGCATCAGGTTCACCTATGCTCGGAAGGGCTTCCTTCTCTACGAGCGAGTGGCTTTTGGGATCTCCTCTGAATTATCCTTGTCGTCTTCTGCTTCTTGCGAAGGGCAGTCTCGAGCAAAGTGGCCGTGTCCACCACAATGGTAACACGTCCTGGCTGTTTTCCACTTCTTGTTTCCCGGATCGAGTCTGGGCGCGCGATTGGTTTCGCTTCCGCCACGTCCGCGTCCACGACTAAACCTGCTTCTGTCTCCACGGCGGAAAGATCCGCGAGAAGAAGATCCACGAATCATATTCATATCGTCATAGTTCGTCGTCGTAGTGTCAGACTCATACTCATCTAGGTCTTCAATATCATCGCCGTAATTTTCCATTGCGTTGAGGCGATTTCGAGAAGAGTATGGACGGCGATACACTTCGAGGGCTTCGATCTCGCGTAGCTTGAAGATGCGGGCAGACCATTCTGATTTGTCTTGACTTGGATCCGTGATACCGAGTTGCAGATAGTACCTCTGCGTGAGGTGCCTGCGGACGCCTGCCATAAACCGTTCGCATTGCTCGCGTTCAGAAGGGCGGTCGGTTAGGGAGTAGGCATAATCAAGGAACCTGTCCGAGAAAGCTTCTACGGTCTCCCTCTCTTGCTGGCGAGCGTTATGGTATTGACGATTTACTTCGATTTGGTGTCCTGGGGGAATCTTCATATTGCGGAGCCAAGTGAAGTAATCTTCTGCCGTTACCATCACGTTTGGTTTGATGGCCGGGGGGCCGACGCGGTCTCGGTCTATCATCGTCACTTCCCTGGAACGGTAGTATTCCATCGTCTTGGTATAGTCCTCCATCCATTGTCGTTGCAAGCGGCCTTTCGTAAATCCCATGAGACGGGTGATATTTTCCGGTTCAGGAAGTTCCTGACCGCCGTGCTCGGTAATAGCCAAGGCGTTAAAGTGGACCTTCATTCGGGTAATGAAGTCGTTCACTTCGCGCACCTTGTTTTCCGCGTCATTATTGAAAGGATCAGGCTCAGTTGGCTTGTTGTACCGAGGTCGGACCACACTGGGGGGCAAACCATTGCCATATCCCTGGTTATGAGCGGAATAGGGGCTATCGCCACGATTGTGGGGAATGTTGTAACCTTTAATGATTTCTGGTGCCACAGTGGAGGCGTCCTCCATGGTCACTGAATGTGAGGCACCTGGAGGAGTAGTGTAGCGAGCTCCTCCGTTGACGATGTTGCGAGTCTGTTGCGTCCTCATATGCTCCTGTCGAACGTGGAGATTGTTGACATGTTCGGTAAGAGCATTGATTTGTTGCTGTGGAGAAAGGTTCACCCAAGCAACAGCACTCAAGTGAGGGACTGGAGATGACTCGAGAGCTCCATGCATCTCGCTAGGAGGCGGTCCATTTGCCAGAGGTGCTTCAGGCGCAGTTTGAGAGTGTTCGGAAGCATCCTCAACGGTAGGTTGGTGCTGTTCAGACATCGTGGATATTGATAAGAGGTCGTTGTACAGAGAGAAGAGTCTTTTGCTTGCAAAGAAGATTCTGAGGTTTGTAAAAAAAGAAAGAGGAAACGATCAAAAGGAAGTATTCATCTTTCGGGACACAGATCCATATTTGCAAAAAAAAGGATCGGGACTCTTCCCATCCACGCTCACGACGTCGCAGCTCTTTTACCAAGGTATAGAATCAGCGAGTCCTTCTTCTTTGACATTGTGGACTCGTCGATAGCTCGTCTTAAGGGCAAGGAAACCCTTAAGGACGTTCCTGAGCTACCAGATGTTGGATCGAAACGTGTCTTATTAAGAAACTTAACAAATGAGAGTATTATACAGGAGGTGCGAACCCGCAAGCGGGTTCGCTGAAAGAGAGCCTGGAGGAACGAAGCTAGAGTTTACAGCTTTCGAATGTCCTTTAAAAAAAGGGGTCGAATTATATTCACATAAGCATCACAAAAGGCTTGTTATTCTATTGGTGTTCTGGGGAAGCAGAGAACTAATTTTGATACGTATGCCAGAGCTCTAGGTCGATCAATTTAGTATCCATAGGACTACCACTCGAATGCTAATGAAAGAGAAAAGGGTTTCATGCACTATATTCATTACCAAATCCTCCTAATTCTTGTCTTATGATTGCTTCTGTGTTGCGTACGCTCGATGTTTTTGGTCTAGTCAGCTACCTCAATTTTTTAGGAGGATAACGGTTACGATGTGGCCGAGATCCGCTGTTCAAGTTCGATGGTAGAACCGGTATATTCGAGGAGCCTTCGGGGCGTGCCGTAGTAGAGGGAGAAGTAGGAGTAGATTGCGAGTCTGCGGTGCCGTCTGGGTGCGGTAGATAGAGGTCATATAGGCTCGAGTCCGACGGCGTTAGTATTTCATCGACCGGCCCCGTAAGGCGCGATCTTTTCGAAGGGGTCGATGGAGTGGGCCGGCCCTCCCAACGACCTGGTCGTTTCGACGGTGAGGGAGTGGTCGGGGTCGTCGTGAGTCCGGCGGACGCAAGTTTTGGTAAATAGGCCAGATCCAGGATTCGGAGGGCCAGAAGGTTCGTGTCAGTCGTACGACCCACCACCTTTGCGGTAAGGGCGATGAATGTTCCTACGTGAGGGATCTTCACCTTTGCCCAACGTTTAGAATCCTCTAAGAAGCAGGCCATAGAATATGGAACCGGTGCGGCGTTAGAGGCGTTATAGACGGAAGTGTCAATCACGAAGCGGCGAGCGTGGGCAGGGTCTAGGGAGTTGTCGTTATTACGAGACGACACGGAGCCAACGATGGTTACCATTGGACACCATTGGTCTGGCAAACGTTGGCGGTACTCGTCGAAGTTCGAAACGTCACCCGGATGTCTAGACCGGTTTAGTCGAGTCATAATACGAGAGTAGGTAGACGAGCCTCATCAGACTGAGTGCCTGGACGTTTATCTCCAAAGTATTATCTGCAGATAAGGTAGTAGAAAAGCGACCGTCTGCGTAGAAGAAAGCGTCAGGGATAAACAGTTCCCGCTGCTCTTAGGTCAGATAGGCACGAATCCGCGCCCGAATAGGCTCGACGACGATATCCGAACAGTAGAAGCCGTCTTCCTCGAAGATATTAAAGTCGGTTTAGATCTCGACGTAGTTAGATAAGCCTTATCGGGTCGGGTCATTCGCTACGGTATTAATAAAATCACGAATATGAATAATATTCGAGAGTGAGGGCAGTCGAGACATATTGGGTAAATACAGTTAGGGGAGGGAGATCAGGGGAGATCCAGCTATCGTAATATCGAGGTAAGAGTTGATTAATATGGCGGTCGAGAGGAGCATAAGGTAGGGATAGAATTCCCACTTTATCTAATGTTATGAGCGAAATAAAAGGCGAAGAGGGGTCGGCTGATCAATTAATAAAGAGGGAAGAGTAGGAAAGAGGGGAAAGGACGGGAGAAAGAATAAAAAGTTGACGTAATATTGGAATAGATTCTATAAGACAGGTTACACAATAGAGCGCGGAGCGCGGGTTGGTGATATGTCATGCACGTTGCCGTGTCACGGGGAGCGGATTTCGCGAAAGATAAGTCGTAGAAGATAGATAAGCATACGAGTCCGGGCTGGTATGATGGGGGAAAGTTGGAAGTCGTAGATTGATAGGCTGGTTGACCAAGTTTCGTTGCATTCAAGGTGAGGGGATCGTGTCTGCCGTTGAACGGTAGTAGAGTGGAAGAGGGATTGTCATCGTAAGTAGTCTGCAGAGCTAGGACGGGATACTAGATACTGTTCGGTCGACTGATTAGTTCGAGTTTTAAGAGGATAGCCTGTATATCGCGACAGGAGTTGCGAATCCAGATAAGCCGGTACTTCAATTGATTCGAATCCGTTATAGAGGGCCACGGTCAAGGCGAGGAGAGTCCATCCGACCGGTTCCGTCGTTGGAGCGCATTATATCGAGAGCGCATGGCGCAGGCGGGTATAGAGTTGCGGACACCTGCTAGTATCTTTAACACGATAGAGCAGGAGTTCGAACACGGTGGTCGACCAGGTCGAAATCCGAATCGGGATGGATCAGTGCTCGCAGGCCTAGGCCTTCGGACATCGACGGACATTGCTGAAGAATTCGAGAGAGAAGAGGAGCAGGCCAGAATAGAGGGGAGTTCCCGCGGTCAGCGGACTCAGACGCCGAGTGCGATGCCGGGGGCGATGCCGAGGGCGACGTCGTCCAGCGAAGTAACTGATAGTACTGAGCACGGTCCGAGCGAGACCAGTCCTTCTGTCGTGGCGAACCGATCCTATTTAGGACAGAGGAGGTCCGGGCCGGCCATTTCTCGTAAGACGCCCTCTAAACGCGTCCGAAGAGCGGACCGTTTAGACTGGAATAAAGAGGAGCAAAGGCGAGAGCTCGACGGTATTATGCGTGGATTAGATGACGAATTCGTCGAGAAAGAGCGGCTCTCTTATGACCAGGCGTGGTGTGCGCCGATCCTAACCAGGACTAAGGTTAATACCGTCTAGGAGTTCTATAAAGCGTTCCATGATGTGAACACGTTACCGATACTCACTTGCATGTTTTGTTATGGCAAGTACGGCCGGATCGAGCTGCAGGAAGTGGCATAGGAACAGTGGACGGCCAGTCCTATTAAGAAGCGTCAAGATTCGCCTTTCTAATACGTTAAGTGTTTCCCTATCGGGAAGAGTATTTACGGGTGTAAATCCTGTGTGCTACAGCTAGGGAAAAATAGTCTATCTCTAGGCGCCCAGTTACACGACCGACTCGGATACGAGCATATGTTCCCCGATGAATTAAAGGATCTAACGCCGATTAAGGAGAAGCGTATCGCACTGAATTCGTGCTACGGCTTCATCGCCCAGTATAGTATCCCTAATAGTCCGAGGCAAGGTGTGAGGTATAGGAGGCACATCAAGGGGCACATCACCGTCTTCCCCAACAACGTGCAGGAGCTGGTGGCCAACGTCCTCCCGCATCCGCTCCTGAAGGTGATGGACGAGATTCATATGTCCTGGCAGGGGAAAGAGAAGCCCGTACCAAGCGATTTGTCAGTCCTTCTATCGGTTCGGCGTCGGGTAGTAGAGAAGGCACTGGTATGGCTGAAGCGGCATAATCCGCTGTATGGTCATATTAAGATCGATGTAGCCGAATTGGAGAGCTGGGATACGCCCTCGCACGGGGTACTATCTCGAGTATATGAGCGGTTAAGACGGGATGAGCCATCGGCGCAGGAGAAGGCACGAACTGGGCAGTTAGTTCCACCCACAGAGCGCGGCCTAGATGAAGGAGAGGCGATAGATATTCGAGAAGTCCTGGCCACGTTAGGTGAGGGGTACGATATCGAGCCCGACCAGGACGTAACAGGAGAACCCGAACAGGGCGATACTGCCGATAGGGATAGGGACAGGGTCTCTAACGGCGCTGCAGTTCCCGTTTATGAAACCAGTTCATCGGGCATGTTCGCACTAGATAGGGGGCCGGATATCGCGAACGGGGAGAAACTATAGTACGTTCGTGATACGCTAGGCCAACAGGATCCGCGCAATAAACGGCGGGGTAGGACGGCAGAGGTTCGGCGTGGGAATGGTGCCGAGCCGTATATCGTGGTGAATCGGGGCGAGGACTTTGCCGATCCGTTCGATGTACGGTTCTTCGCAAAGACGTTCCCAGCGCTATTCCCCCTCGGTCGTGGAGGCCCACTTCAGGCGGATGAGAGCATACAGGACGCCGCCGGGGAGAGAGACGTGGGCATTGAGGCGGGCCGGGCACGAGACCTCATTTCGTCGCGGAACATGGGACTGGTGACGTGGGCCAAACTGGTCCTCCAGCGTCACGGCGGTCGATTCGCGTCACACCCTATCTTTGCCTTTCTCGTTTTTAATGTGGGTATCCGGTCAAGGAACCGCCGCGTTAGTATGGCGAGTGTGAAGAGGAAGGAATTCCCCGAAGTTGAGCGTCTTATACGTTTGCTAAGCGTGGAACGGCTAGAGCGTGCTAAGGTCGAACTAGAGGTTTCACGGACGACGAGCGACGAGGGCGTGAATCAGTTATTAAGGAGCCTGTCGCTGTATGGATATCGCCAGCCGATGTCGAGGGAGAGTCGTTTAAACATGCGGCGTAAGATCCAGTCCCTTATCATTCGGGATGGCATCCCGGCCATCTGGTTCACGCTGAATCCGAACGACATTACTAATCCGATCAAGCTCCGGCTTGCCGCGTATCGGACCCGAGATCCGGAGGAGGCTGAAGCGTTCTTAACTAGCCTAGATCTAGCGTATAAGCGAGCACGGCTGGCGATCTCGGACCCGCTCAGTTCGGCCCTTTTCTTCCATAGGGAGATTTCCCTATTTTTCAAGCACTATGTAAAGACAGGGGAGGACTCGGTGTTTGGGCGGATCAATCGGTATTTCGGAGCCGTAGAGACCAACGAGCGCGGGTCTCTCTATGTCCACGGGCTTCTCTGGCTCCAGGGAAATATGCAGCTGAGTTCTATTCTACAGGACAATAATGAAGAGGATCGGGAGGCATATCGGGAGCGGGTTACTCGATATGTAGATAGCGTGTTTACCGAGGTATGTTCGCCGTATTATGGCCATATAGAGGAAAGATTGTCAAATGTAACCAACTAAGCTAAATCCCCAAAAAGGGACGCCCCTACTAGGAGGCTAGTAGAAGGGCAGATATAGCTAAGGTAATTTTCCTGTGACAAAGATAGCCGAGTATAAGGCTGAACGGTATAGGATCTCGATTACGAGGCGTTCTCCGCCGTTCGGGCGGAACGGTCCGTAATGTCGGACATATCGGCGCTACTAGCGAACCGCGAGCAATTCGCCGCCGCGTTCGAGGAGGAGGCCAACTTCTGCGCCGGTGCTACCCAGATCCACACCCATAGCCCGACGTGTGTGAAATACTCCATCAAGGGGCAGACACGGAAGAATCAGGACCCGTGCCGGTTCAAGGCCCCGTAGAAATTGGTAGAGAGGACGGCGTTTACCGAGGGAGGAGTGTTACAGATTCGGCGGACGCATAGTATGGTGAATCGATGGAACGAGGCGATCGCGGTAGGGCTGCGTCATAACTATGACATTTCGTTCATCGCAACGCAGTGTAAGACTATGGCCCTCGTGTTTTACCTAACGAACTATGCAACGAAAGTCGAGGACCCGGTGTAGAAGCGGGTGGCCGCAGCGGCAGAGCTAATCCCGGCTCATAACGATGCGATGGCGGAGCGGCAGGAAGACGCAACGGATGGCCCGACAACGGACAACGGTACCGAGAACCGGACACGGCAGTTTTTAATGAGAATCGCGAACCGGATCTTCACGGAGCGGCCGTTATCACTCGTAGAAGTCGTCTCTAATCTGCTAGGTTACCCCAGGGAATTTACCAGTAATAACGCCTGGTCGTTCGTTAACGTCAGTGCCCTATACTGGCATATTTTCCGCCGGTAGCCGCATCTGCAACGCGAGAGTGGTATAGACTCTAGAGACGAGGCAGTTGAGGAGACGGTGTTCGTACAGGAAGCGGGAGTAAGAATTTCTCTTATTCAAGCATATCCGCACCGTGGCCGACTCTTACAAGCGCTGTCCCTCTATGATTATATGTCGGTAGTCAAGTTGAAGCGAAAGGGGAAGGACATTGGTAAGTAGGGTGAGATAGAATTAGACCATGCTTAGTCTCCGTCGCGGTCGTGGGTACAGGTACTACGAAAGTCCAGCGAGTATACGATAGTCTGCTTCGACGGCTACCTAAGTAGAGACCTGAGTGAGGAAAGTGAGGTCTACTATAAAAGGTATGTGTAGCGCCTCTCTTTACACGATCGAACTTATTACTATATTCTGGCGAGAGCGAGAATGATACTCGGGAGGGTTAACGATCTGGCATACGCAGGGCTGCTATTCAGCATCTTGCCATCTTTGTGCCGTGGGAGTCCTTTTTGGCCGAGACGACGGGCGATATTAATACGATCTGGGAGAGTCGAAAGCCGGGTCTGCCTCGGCGGATGGCATCTATCGCCGAGAATATCTAACTGCTGCACCGATCGGCCGAAGACGCAAAGCGCGATACGAAGTAGTAGGCCGCGATGTCCGGAGAGACGGATCCGTTCGCCGATGCGGCCGATCTAGAAGATAGGGGCGATGATAGGAGTGAAGGGCCGAGGACAACGTACCGGTCAGACCGCCTCGGCAATGCCACACGACTCATTGACGTCCTAAGGAACGCAATAGAGGCCTATCAGGTCACAGCCGGCTCGACAGAGATATCGAGGATGGTAGATCAAATGAGCCGATTTCAGCAAACCGCCCTAGATTCTATAGACGAACTAGGAGCTACGACCACCCTCGATCAAGGACCAGGAACTCTTAGCGGCCAAGGAGACGGGTTTCCCGGGCCAGCGGCGTCGGTCGTGCCGGCACAGGGGTTGCTTAAGTCGATCAAGGCGCAGCAAAAAAGCGTCTCTCGCGAGAGAGAGAGGATAATCCAAGGGATCCAGGGGTCGGTCGGGGAGAGTAATGCCGAGTTCAGGGCGCCCAACGGTTTCGGGGAGCAGGACGTCCATTTCACCGCTGCCGATGAGGAAGGCCGGGGCGGGGACCCCGGACCATCTATGAATATCCAGCTCGGTCCCTCCACGTCGTTTTCTGCGGCAGGGAAGCAGTTAGCAGAGGAGTCGTTTACCTTAAACCGAAAACAGAGCATCGCACTTCGACTCATCTGTCGCCAGCTAGACCGGATCCGCCGCGACGAGTCCGGAGTTCCCCAGCTCTGCCAATTTATCGGAGGCGAGGGCGGGACGGGAAAGTCACGGATCATCGGAGCGGTCGCGGCGCTGTTCGCGAGGAAGGGGATCCCGCAACGCCTGCTAATCACAGCGACCTCGGGAACAGCGGCTGCTAATATTAATGGGGTTACCATCCATTCCGCGTGCGGGTTCTGGAAAGATACAGCTCGGTCGGCGGGTCGGAGTGCGGATTTAGAGAGATTCGCGCCGAGGAGTTCAACCAATCTCCGCATCGATGGACGAAGCCGGACCGAGTGGCAGGAAAAACTCCTGCTTATTATCGACGAGGTTAGCATGCTGGGTGCACGGACGCTGTATATAGTGAACGAACAGCTATACCGACTTCGAGGGTGTGTAGACGACTTTGGCGGCATCCCGATTATTGTCTTCTGCGGGGATTTCCGTCAGTTCCGTCCGGTCCAAGAGCGGTCGATCCTTCTCCCTAGCCACGCTATTACGTGGACCGACGATAGTACGTTAAATTGATTCTTATTATTATTACATAAATTTGGGGGTTTCTTCGCAACAAATGTTTATTGCATGAAATTTACCCACCCTAGTGGCAATGCATTGTCGGGGGGCAAATCCCTGCAAAATCTGTTGATATCCCTGTCAGACCTTTGATTTACCGATGTCGAAATTAGCACTGTGACGGCGAAGGGGATAGCTTACCAAACAAAAAATGGAATGTGCTGCGAATTCTTTATAGATTTCTTGACAGGATTGTGACTTCGTTACACCACCGTCCTAACCCTGGCCATAGAATGCAAAAAGACATCTACAAATGCCGGTATGTTCGAGTGAGCATAAGGCCGCCGACAACCATGAGCAGGCCCGAGAACAAGACCGCCATGCTAAAGTCCCGGCCATCAGATACAATCGCATACACAGCGCTTGGTCCCGCAAAGACGCCTAACCCCATGATACTATTCAGTAGGCCAACCTTGGAGGCAAGGTCCTCAAAGCCAAACATGTCCGACATAACAACTGGAATCAGGCTCACGAATCCAGAGCCCAGGAAGCCGACAAAAATTACGAAGACTGTCATCAACGCGACGGGCTTCTCATCTTCAGCCTCGACCATAACAGCTGGAAGCCAGAAGACCAGGTGTCCAACGCCGCAGAGAACGAAGCTGGCGATCAGCGCCGTCAGCTTGCCGTAACGATCAGCAAAGCTGCCCACACCCAAACGACCAATGATCGAGAGGCCGTTCATGAGGCCGAGCAGCCAGGCAGCGTACTCTGTGTTGATACCCTGCGACACGGCGGAGGCTGGAACAAGGAAGTAACGCGGCAAAAAGCCTGTCATGGCCACAGTACCTGATACAAGGATGACCAGGAAACGGGGGTCTTTCAGCAGCCGAAGGTCCATAATCTTCTGAAACCGAGGGCCGGGCTGCCTTCCGGCTCGCATGAAGGAGACACAGGAGAAAGTAAGGACTCCGGCCGATATGTATGCCAGCATGCGAAAGGTGCCGGGAAGCCCAAGTCTTTGGATCATGATGCGAACCGAATATGGCCCGATACAGCCCCCTAGAGCCCCTCCCGAGACCACGAAGCCGTTGGCGAGACCATGACGCCGGAAGTATTGACCGGAGACACTGATAGCAGGGTAGTATACGAGAGCCGTGCCAAGACCGAAAGCAAGACCCTGGGAGAGCACGAGTTGGTAGAATTGGGTCGAGAATGATGCTGCAACTAGGCCGCCGACGATGAGTATGGAGCCAGATATAAGGGCGGCCTGGTATCCCAATATGTCGGCAAATCGTCCGGTAAACACACCAAGAACCATGTAAAGGCTGGACGAGAGTGAGCCAATGATGATTATCTCAGGCGACGGCATGTCGGGGAATAGTGTCGACTTATAATATTCCTGGAAGACGCCGAAGGAGTTGGGCACGCCGACAGCGATGAAGGTGATCCCAAAGGCAGCAAGGAGAATCGCCCAGCGCGAAGCCCTATAATGCGAGACGGACTGTCGGGTGCCGTGGGCAATGCTTTGCGCCTCGTCGCTATGCCGCGACCCATCGCGAGGGCTGTCGACGGCTGTAAGACTTTGCAATTGAGTTGACGACATCTTGCTTGATTGGAGTAGATGCACGGAGATCAGTGAATTTGTTGGTACGTAGTGTGACGATTCGTCTATATCCCCTTCGCTGTCGTCGCTGAAGTGCACAACCTAAACTCCGTTTGGTTAGAGTAGCGGAATTGTCGCATTACGCGGGGGTGATGATTAAGCAAGTTCGCTGCTTAAGCTCAGTTACTGTATAGACACAACGCATGTTGATATTGACGATTCCTATTGTTCTCGAAGAGAGTGTTCTAGCTAGCCAAAACGTTGAAGATAGGCAAATACATAGGAGAAAAGTGAGCAGTCCTAAATAGGCTTAGCCTAGGGGTAATGGGCCAGAGATGGACAAGCCCTATACAATCATTTGAGACGGAGAATAGGATAGGAAGAGCGCGAGGGGGAAAGACTCCTGTGGCTGAGGCGGGAAGTTCAGCCACGTCGAAAAGGGTAAGCCTTCCTTTTTAGGAGGGTATTTGTCAGCGGCCAAACTATATACCTTTGACGATCTGATCGTTCGAACATCCTCATCCCATCAAAATCTATTATGTCTCTGCGTCGTAAATCGTGCGATGCCTGCTTCAAAGGTAGACGGAAATGCGACCGCGGCCACCCGGTGTGCAAAAGATGCCACAAGAACCAGAGAGCATGTCATTACGGACCTCTTCCTACGGACACCTCTAGAGTGACCGCCAGCACTGGTGAATGGTCTCCGGGTACAACACAAGCCTTGGTTCAGATGACCCAATTCTCTGAATTATTGGACAACCACGACCATGACGGCCACTTGAATTCCGCGCTCGATTTCGATATACAGCAAAGCTACCTCATCGATACCTTCAGTTTAAGCATACCAAACTTTCTTGGGAACTTGGGAGAGATACAACCTGTGTCAGGCAACACCAAAAGCTGGCAGTGGGTCATTGACCAGCTCAAAAGCTATCCGCAAACGTTTGCTCAGAACGCGGAAACGCCTTTCATACACAAAGAATTATACCTCAATCAATCTCCAGCACCAATACGAGCAGCATTCGGTATTTGCGCTGCCCATATCTTCGTGAATGATGGCAACAAGTCGATGCTGAATCGAACTCTCAACGCAGAGGTAACTGAATTGCTGAGGCCTGCTCTGGACGAGACTATTCTACAGGCACTGGCTAGAATGCAGGCACTGGTGTTGTACCAGATTATCAGGATGTTATATGGCGACCTCGAACAACGCATCTCAGCTGAACAGCAAGAAAACTCAATAGCAGCTTCCGGATTGCAGCTTCTCCGCCGTGCAGACTGGGAGCTTCAGGGCGAGCAACCAACGTGGAAGAATTGGATCCTAGCAGAGAGCATCCGTCGTACCGTTATGGTAGCGTTCATGTCGTACGCGGTATATTCGCTTTTCAAACATGGCATATGTCCCGAATTCCCAACGTTATCTATGTTGCCCGTTTCCACGAAAGCAAATTTGTGGGGCTCGCCTGGAGTTGGCGTACAGCATCACATTCTGGATAAAACTATGAAGTATCACGAATATACCGACAATTGGTGTGCCTTTCCCCAACTGGATCCGGCCCCTTTCGAGAAGATGCTACTCGTAGCCTGCAAGGGCTTAGATCAAATCGAAGCACTTACATTCGCCGGGACCATTGGTTGAAGACCGTCCTGCCTGAGATTCAGATCTTGATTGATATAATCACTATTCAGGGTCATTGGCATTATTAGTACAAGTCCTTTCAAAAGAGTAGAGCGGTTATATATTTCCAGTGTACACACAGCATTGCCGAGCACCAACCTAGAGCGCGAGACTACAAAAGTTGAGTGAGCAATTTGCCACTATTTCGGCCATCGAAAAGTCCCATCCAAGTTTTCGGAACATCCTCGAACGAACTTTGCCGAATCGTCAACCCTTCATCAGTGGCCTTGATCTTTCTATCCTGGAACCCCTGAACCAGTGCCTCCACAATCGCAGTCCACCTCCCCGTCGGAATTGCATCAAGAACCACAAATCCCCGAATCTGGAGCCTCATCGCAATGACGTGGTACCATTTCTTGATCCCACTTCGCTCTCCTCCATTATATTCAGCAATGGCCCCGCAAGCCGCAATCCTCCCGTCCTTCTTTACCCTTGTGAGCATCAGGTCCAGAATCTCACCTCCCACGTTATCGAAGAAGACCTCGACAAACCCGTCTGTAGCCTCCTTCAATGCCACCTCGAAATCCTTGCTCGTATAGTTCAGACAAATGTCCGCTCCCAAACTTTCAACCCATCGACATTTCGCATCAGTCCCAGCAATTCCGATCACCCTTTTACAACCCAACACATTCTTCGCAATCTGCACAGCGATAGAACCAACAGCACCTGCAGCACCACTAATCACCACCGCATCATTTGCAGTGGTCCTCGCAATGTCGACAAGCCCGTAGTAGGCCGTCACACCCGCTACACCAAAAAGACTGACATAATGCACAGGTTTCAAACCCTTGATCGGGTTGATGGGTATGCAATTCTCCGCCGGCAAGACAGCGTACTCGCTCCACCCAACATCAGCAAGGATCAACGCTCCGATTGTCAGATCCGTAGCTTTAGACTCGATGATCTCGCAGATACACGTGTAGGAGGCCATGGTATCGCCTACTTCGACGGGTTCAATATAGAGGCGGTCGGGGGCGATGCTTGGGTCGATCCAGAGGCGTTGGGCTGGGTCGTTGGAGAGGTAGAGGACTTTGATCATGACTTGACCATCCTCTACTGGTGGGAGTGGTTTGGTGGCGAGGCTGAAGGTTGAATCTGGTCCGGAGAGGATTGGAAGGTCGGTGGGCTTCTTGGAAAGGATCCAGTGGCGTGTTATTGACGGTGTCATTGTGAAGAATGAGCAATTTTGCTATATGGCAGATTTGGCGAGCTAAATTAAGTTCTGAGTAGGCTGTTACCTAAAGTCGATAAGAGTACGCTGTTGAATGATGAGAATCGGAGAACTATATGTACTCTTTTCTAAACCCCGGACTTCCTTCAAAATCCTCTCGAAGGAATGAAGACCATCACGCGCTCAAGCGGTCTCCGGCCCAGTCCCACATGTCACGGCTGTCACATACTACAATGCTGATGAGAAACCGCCTTCCCCCAAGCCTGCTCATTACAAACACCGCACAGTACGCTTGTAGAAAACCTATTAGCTGCTCAAAATAACTCCATGAGCGCAGTTCGGCCACACTGGTTCAATCTGTTTATCTCTGTACAAAGCTAGTTTATTCCAGATTCCCAATTTAATCGTATTACGCAGACGTGCGGTCTTGCGGTCTTGACGAGATAGAGCACCAGGCTGCAGATCAGTATGACCAATCCCGCTGGGCTGTGTGCGGGGCTCCACAATTGACCGCACGATCCACGATATATGACCGCATCCTTCGTTTCCCCCTTACACATATCGCCTCATGAACTATTTCTCACTCCCCTTCTATCCGAAACAATGAAGAACGAACCCTATGAAGCAGCGTCTTGCGACATACCCTCTTCCGCGACCTTGTATAAGGACTCAATTTCCTATTTACTACCAGATGATAGCAACGAGATCCCAATGATCATGGTCGCCAATTCGAACGATTGGTTTCCAAGTCAGGCCCCGTTGACTTCACAAATCAATTGTGTACCAAATTATGATCACGATTGGAACAGTGTATAGATATCGAGTAGCTTTGTCTCCTGGCATCATCTGTATTACTCACCGCCATTACTACCCTTTCTACCGACGATGAATGATGGAGACCTAATCTAAAAAGCGATATCAGATAGAGTTGCCAGGATCGAAGCCCGCACCAAGGATGGATTAAGTCAAATTCAAGAGATGGTCGAGAGCTATTAACGAAAGTGAGATATCTTTTTCTAGGGAATGGTAAAAGCTGACGAGTCCACAGGTTAGAAGAGCAGACATAAAGATTGAAGCAGGAAATCGACTCGAATATCTCCCTACTACAATCTTGGTCAGCTTCTATCAAGCGATTTACTGATGAGCGGGGCAACTAAAATTAACTTCTTTTAGGGCGTTCTATTCTGATAGCGTATATAAAGTCCTCGGTATTCAGCACTATAATCAAATGAGATGGTTGATAAGATAACAACAATGTGTTAATATTCCAGAGTCGAGCGGCATCGGAGTATCTTTCTAGACAGCTTGCTATGTTAGAACCAGTTATCTGTAGAATCACGGCACAATAAAAGACTACAAGGTTCTATTCTAAATGCTCTCTGGGCATATAATATGGCGCTTTCTTTCGTTGTCCCGTGGAGCTGGGCTTACCAGCGCTACTAAGAATCATGAAGGGTCATGTGAAAGGAGGAAACAACGCGAGAACTAGCTGTATTGAAAGGAATTGTTTTCGTTGCTATCACTCTCCTTGAGTGAGAATGTGATTTCATCATGACTAGCAATCTGTCCCATCACACACTAAGCTAGCTCCGACGTTCGCTCCCTCGTCTCGAGCTCTGCGCGGAAGACGGGGTGTAGCGGAGTATTCTGACCTCTCTTATCATTCTACCAGCCTTTAGATGCTCTCCCCATTGTTGATCGTAGATCCGGTGATATTGGACTCACTATGGATTCTGTAACCGGCGAAACTAATCCATCGTGGTCGGGGTCTGTCTCTGAAATGGTCTGATCGGGATCCTAGACGAATGCTTCCGATGGATTGCGAATGATCCTAATTTGTTCGCGATCAATGGCCTTGCTAGGAGCCTATGCCTTCCGCTGGCCAGCCCTCACCGGGGAGAAGCTGGTAAGGAGCGTTAACTGCAGCCTCTTGTTGAAGAGTAACTGAAGTGTCAGAGATCAGGCTTTCAGGATATCTCTGTTTTTCGGGACCCGCCGGTCTCCAGACCGCGCCCCCATTTCTTAGTCGTATTTAGGTGGTCTAGCCCCCATGGTTTCCCCATGGTTGCCCCGTGGTTCCCCCGTGGTTCCCACGTGGAGGATCCCACATCCCACGATATCACCAATGCTTCTTTCTTTGCTTCTTCGCTCGTTTTGAGGAAACAAAGGTCCCCACGACCATGAATTGTATACAGAACATATAAGATGAGCGTATTCCTGTAGATTGTACGCTCATTAAGGATCAAGATCAATCAACACTTTCAATTCTTGGTAATCAAGTGCTCTCCTGCTGAAGTCGCATCTCCAGATCACCTGATCAAAGGAACAGCTATTCTCTGTCAGTAGATGCAGCATCACCCTTATTTAGATTTGGTGGTGGAATGCCGGGCTATCCGCCTGGATTTCTGGATATAGACCAGATATATAGATACAAAAAGCCCCAAGTTCACTTTATTTTAAATTACAATCAATTCAGTTACGTTGTTATTGAGACATCGAAGATTATATACAATTTGTTAGGTGTGGTGGTGCCAAGTACAATTTCGTGGCTCGCTTTTTTTGTCAACCGCGTGTCTGGGTGTACAGCCCATGTGACAGTCTTGGGCTTTGCCCAGTCTGTGTGTTGTGGCCTTGCGGCCTAAGGCAGAAGGGATGGGTAGACCGTTTGCCCACAGATGTAAATAGCAGATCGCAGTGAGAGAGATCTTCTCCTTCTCTCTTTAGCAATTCAACAGCGTTACCAGCTTACCAAATCCTTCGTGGTTTGGGCCCATGACAGCCCAAGGCACTTACATTTTTTAGAGGAAACTTGTTCAGTTAGTAAAAACCAACGGTACGAACCGTCTATATGAATTCTATAGCAATCAACCGGCGGTGGGGGTAGACTTCTTTAGGCCAAACTTGTTAAGAAGTCTATAAAGAAGTCTACCAGCAAAGTTTCATAGTCGGGAATTCCTCACCACTCCAAATCCGGAGAAATCTACCAACGGTTCCAGTGACCATAGTACAGTAGTAGTAGTAGAGAGTAGAGATCTTTATATTCTTGCCACTCTAAGTGTGCGGTCGTTTCCTCTTCCTGACTGTCCAACTCTATGCGAGCTTCTCAACCACGAACTTTTTTAAATCTTCCTCCGTCAACTCCTTGACTCCAAGAAGCTCATTGTCCGTCTCATCATAAGCACTGCCGTATGTTTCGCCGGCCAATCCCGTACCATTGATGACCTTAAAAATGGCCGAAGAGCTGAAGTCGCCAGCGCTCAGTTCATCCAGACCCTCTTTCAAGACCGCACTTGCAGCAACCTTGCTGATCTCCCAATTGTCCCCTGGCCGCAGTCTTTCTGCAATTTTCAACAGCTGATTCTGCGTCAAGATCACCTCCGAAACTTTCACGACCCTGTTTTTGGTGGCCTCTAAGTTCTTCAAAATTCCGGCGATGGCCTTCCCGGCAGTCGCGAGTGAAGTAGAGCTCAGTCTGTTATCACCCTCGTCGAGCAAGGTAGCTTTGCGATCTGTAAAATCTAACAGACTCGCCTCGCCCGGCGCAAACAGGAATTCCAGGAAGGCCCCACATGCGAGCACCGTCCAGGTCAGCTGTCCTGCATTTGCCTTTTCTTGGAGGTGATGCTTGATCTTGAACACGTTTTCGTAGAGTGGAAACGCTTCTAGTTTGGGGTTGGTGGTGACACTGCCGTACTCGGAAGGAATGAAACGCTTCACTCCAGCAACGGCAGCGGCGTCAATTAACACGGTCTGAGTCTTGATGGCCGTACCGGCCACAGTGGACACGACTGCGTCAATGCCTTTGAGTGCAGCAGTCAAAGACTCCACGGATGTGAAGTCCACTTCAACTACATTAACGCCCGCATCGAATTCTCCAGGCTTCTTAGACCTAGCGAGGACCTTGACTTGGAATTGTGCGTCGATAAGTGCTTTAAGGACATGAGGCCCAAGCGTGCCAGAGGCCTGGTTAAGTTGTCAGTCATTCTTCTTGGACTTTTCCTTGTTGGAGCTCATACACCGGCGATTGCAACTGATTTAATCTCTGACATAATGAAGATCGCGACAGGGGTATTGCAGTTCTTCTACCCAAATTGATGTTGGCCTTAATGGTTTTGCTAACAAGAAATGCTGATGAACTATCATTGTTGGAGCGAGTAGAGGTCCTTTATACTCCTTTCCGAGTCGTATTAAGATTGATCTGTTAATTCTACCGCTCCGGCCTGATCAACCAAGACGTTTAAAGGTCCGCACGCCGTCCCGATCCGTGTCCGCATATCCCGCACCTGCAGACCCTTGTTTTGCGGGAGTCCACCTGCCCTTATAAAGCATTTCCCGAAACCTGCAGACCCCTGTTTTGCGGGGATCCACCCGCCCTTATAAAGCATTTCCCGACTCGAATTCGCAACGGCACCGCACACTCCTTCCACTATCAACTCTAAGAGACACTTTCTATAAGATTCTTCCTCACCCGATCACTAACATGAGCATCGAGGGCCGTGCGATGATCGCTAAGAAAGCTTGTACTCGATGTAGTAAATCGAAAAAGCGATGCGACCGCGCAATCCCAGGTTGTAGACTCTGTACAAGGTATTCGGACGAATATTGCGTTGAACTCGTTGTGTACAATGTTGCTGATCGAGCCGGCTTGCAGATTCGGTCGAAGATGCGAGTATGAGGACTCTATGGCATCGTCCTTAGGCCCAACCCCTTCGCAATCCCCAGGATTAGAGACATTTCTTGCCTCGGAGCCAATTACACTAAGCCACCTTAAGAACGCGGTCATCCATAAACTCGGGCCCTTTACACCAGAAAGTGCCGTTTCAGCGTATCACCAGGCAATTGAGCCGTGGTTTCCGATTACATCCGAACTACGGGGCCGACTCCGACCGACATGGGACGAGACTTCTCTGGACGTTACATTACTCTGCCTATCCATTTTACTTCTTACTACCAGCCCCTCTTCGACTGCAGAAAGTGACGGTAACACCTCCGAACTCGAAACCCTTTATCTTCAAACCAAGAGTAGCCTCGCCTTAGCTGAAGGACTTGGATTTAATTCTTTTCCGATCGTTCAATCCAGGATTTTGACAACTCTTTTCGAAGTCAGCCATGGCTTCTATCCAGCTGCTTATATCTCTATTGGAGCCACGTTGAGAGCTGCAGATGCACTTGAAGTTCATCCTAGGGGAGACGCTTTGCAACCTCACTATTCAGATGGAGCAGTCAGTCATGAGGAGACAATTTTGATTTGGTGTGGGATTCTGGTCCTGGATAGGTGAGCTGTTCCTTCACAGAGTTTCCAGAAATGAAGCCTTCGTGGAGGTTTCGTCTCATTCTTGCTTCTAGATACATCACCATTGAATCTGGCCCGCGTTCTTCTCTAACTCGCTCTCGAATCGGATGGCTACATAACCTTCTGAAGCCCGCCCTTTGCCCAACACATGAGCCCAATCAGGATAAAAATAGCCCTGTTTCCCGCTTCGCTCGCCTGATGGAAGCCTCCGCTATGATAGATAAGATTCACACCACCATAAACAGCCCCACGTCAGACCAGATATTCAATATAGAAGAGATGATGTTGACTGTTAAAACGTCAATCGCCCTCCAGACGATTCTGACCGAGGAGATCCTGGCCGAGGACCGCCTCTACTCCGGTGGGTTGGGTCTATGTCAAATGTAAGCTACCAGCCCTCGCAGATTGGGCTTTTTGTGTGGGCGCGTCGATGCTGATGTTTGGACAGCGCCCTCCTCCTGGCATACGAGAACGGCACCAAAGTATCCTCCTCAGCCAATGCAACTGAGAATTGGAATTCACTTGCCACAACGTCTCTCATCCGCATCCTCTCTACCATAACCAGTACAATCGAACTCTTCACGATGGAAACACGGTCCATCGATTTTAACTACTTTCCGCCGCTCGTCACCTTCTTGGTGTATAAAGCGGCAATGATTATAACGGAAAGGCTGTCGATAGAACTCGATGTAAAAGACGGATTAGCAAGGTTGAGGACTCTAAGGAAGTTCTTGAGGATCGTGGCAAAGAGGTGGTTAAGCTGTGGTAAGTTAAACAGGACGTCCCGAAAGCTGTTTAAGCTGACCGAAGTTTGTAAAGAGCGTTACCTTAAGCTTCTTAACGAGGACACGACTCCAAGGATGCTGAAGGCTATCGAGCAAGGGCAAGGGTCTTTTTAGTCTGACCCATTGGCTTGTCTTTCGCACAGCGATGCTAGTGGGTGTTACGGCACGGTAGCTGGATGTACACAACATACGCGTAGCCAAAGATATTCTAGATTGAGATGAAGAGTACAAGGTGACTATGACAGAAGAATCTTGATGAGGTTCCATCTCTACGCTAGGCTTAATCAGGTTTAGGCTCTTAGCCTACGCTAACTATGGGCCCTGCCCATAACATTACCCCCCTCCTTACTCGGTATATAATACGGGAGAGGGGGCGGTGGCGGGACGATAGAATAAACGAAAGTCATGCAACGCTCCTGCCAACTCGTGATAGCCTCTATAGCGTTCACTGCCGCTACGCGGCTCCTTCGGGGTCCCGTCCGGGCTCTAATGTCCTCGCTAATACCGTCGCCTTTACCGTACTTAGCCTTAAACCGATCTAGGTCTTATACCTCTGTAAATTTAGACCGTGGCTACCAGTCGGGATCCGTATAGCCTTTCTATTTTATTAACAACTGTCGCACCTAGCCCCGGCCGACTCGCTTCTTCTCCGCGCTGTCACGGTCGTACTTTTCGTGCTTTGAGGCGTTAATATATTGTTGCCTTATGGCCTGATACGGATGCCTCACGATACGATCGGATTGATGTGATGTGATGTCTCCGATGTGTTAGGGCTATCACGTGGTGATTCACAATCCCGCTTTGTGTATATTATATCTCTCTCTGTTCTGGTTTCCCGTTCTCCTTCTTCATCTTTCGTTTCGTCAAATACAAGCTGTTTTACGATAGTGATCCATATCCATGGTCCAAAATAGCACCGTGACAATGGGGCTCAATCTCGCGTGAAGGGAGGTCAGATCTGGTGATCATGGACCGCGACGAAACCTCCGCAAGACATGGCTATTCCGCGAAATCCTACATCGCTGCATTAGAGGAGGGAATCCCCCCTACGTACGAACCCGGGGATGTTGATATCCAGGATAACGCAAGGATCCATACGGCCAAAATCACCCAAGAATGGCTGGAGACGCACGGCATCTGGGTCATCGATTGGCCGGCCAATTCCCCAGACGTCAACCCCATCGAGCACATATGGCATCTGTTGAAAACCAAGGTCCTAGAGCTCCACCCTGAATTGAGGACGATGGGCGCCTCGGAGGAGGCACGGGAGGCCATGAATGCGGCGTTAAAGGAGGCGTAGTGGGCGATCCCTCAGGAGACGATCAGAGAGCTGATCGACTTAATTCCGCGATGTCTACAGGCGGTAATCAAGGCAAAAGGGTGGCATATGAAATATTAGATATTTCCCAATTAATAAATCAAAAAAGTAGGCCGAATTTGCATTTGTATGTGTTTTCCAGCGTATCTCAAGATACGGTGTATGGCGATCAGATTTGGTGATTTTGGGGGTTGTGCACAGACACATGTCTACTTAGTGTATTAACACACCTTGCTCAAATAGCCGAATTTTCTCTTAGTAAGAATCCTTGGTGTTTCTAGCGAGTACGACAGAGGCAGCCTTATGTGAGCTTGTCAAGGTTGTCCCGTCGCATACGAACTTGAGTTATCCTGGACCTTCTTCTTGTCCTTGACCATCCGTTCCTCAGTTATTAATCATTTTCGCTGAACCTTCACCGCATCCATACACCCAGACATGCCGTTCTCGAAGTCATCGAAGCGAAAGGGTGGACTCGCCCATTCAAACCCGCAATTTGCGTTTGTGCACTGCAATTCTGATCCGAGTAATCGATCGAAGGACGATGGGATACTTCAGAGCACTATACGATCGTATGCGATGCAATATGCTCGAAGACAGAAGCGATGGTCAACAAGCAGGAGGATAACTCCAGAGATGGTAGCACCAACGACAGATGATGCCTCGAGCCAGAGGAAGGGGACGACTTTAGCCCTAACAGTTCCGTTTCGAAACCCATCGATGGACAAATCTCCACCCGAAGCGGATAATGTTATGAAGTTGGAATTCTATGAGAAAGAGCACGAGACGGGTGTTTGTATAGGCTGTTCACGGCCTTTGAAACCAAGGGTTTTCTGCCGATGTAGTGTTGGGAGTCTTCTGGCCAGCAATTCTGTGAACGGATCGTCCTACAATCCCCATCCTTGGGATCTTCCGGTTTTGCTATCCCGCAAGCTGATCTCCATCACCGGATCTGAGACGGAACTTCTATCCACCTGTAAGCTATTGTGAATCGAACGGTATAGCGCATTTGAATCTGACTTCAAAGTCTTCGCAACGATTGGACCACGTTTCCTTCCTTTAGATGCTCGCCATCAGAGTAGCCTCATGGAAGGTTGGTACTCCGCGTGCCTGAGCCACAGCGCATATATGCACAGTTTATGTTCGGTGGCAGCGATTCACCTTTTCATATCCGGAAAAGGCCAGTTGCGGGATGTGATTTATCATAAGATGCGAGCGGAGACGTACCTCAAGATGAATCTCCTCGATCCTACTCGGATGCAGGATGAGTCCAATATTGGAGCCATCTTCAACCTTATCTCTGTTGGCGAGGCTCTCCTTCTCCCTGGCATAACCAATGGCGAGTATAGAAAAGAGGATTGCAACGAGCGAGTCATACATTTGAACGGTCTCCGACATCTGATCGGGCTTCGCGGTGGCCTGTCAGGATTGTCTTCCAAATGTCTGCGGACTTTTATACTCTGGTTCGTAATCCTCACATCCATACGACCCAACTGACTCCGATGAAGGCATAGTACTGCACACGCCCTGGCGTCCTTTGGTGATCCATACATGTCGTTCATTCAACACCTGACGGGTCCGATGAACACCCTATCACCCGTAGATGAACTCTTAAGGGACCCACCTCTAAATCCGATGATTCGATTATGCTGTCGTCTCTATATCAGCGAAAACCTAGTCCGAATCGTCGGGAATAGCACACAATTCGTCGAGGCACTCCATCTCTGGCATGCACGAAAACCCGACTGCCTGGATTTCCTCGATCTGATCAACTGGTCATGTGACATCATACAACGTCTACTATTTCACTTGAATTCGAACCCGACCCGTCGAATTGAAGAGTCACTAGCCATTGCACTCATCATGTTCGTCACTCGTGCGTCGGAAATGGTCGCACGTACCATTGACCCGCTTCGATTTGCAGCTGTGGAACGACTGAGAGGCTCACTCCTGTCGGTGCCTCCCGAGGAATGGGCTCCGGCAGAGGACCTCCATCTTTGGGTTTGTACGGTCGGTGCATTATCCGCGCCTGATGATGACGAATCGAGCTGGTTCGTCTCGAATTGTTATAGCGTTTCCCAACGATATCTTGGAAGGGGAAAAGCGGAGTTTCTGGATCGTTTGCGTGGGTGTTTATGGATTGAACAGACGATGGGTCGGAAATTTCGAGATTTATGGGGTGTCATGGCCCTGAAACGAGAGGAATCTCTTATGTTGGCTGGAGATGCTCAATCTTGTTCCCAAGTGCCTATTCAAACGGGCATTGTAATTGGGTCGGCCATCTAAATGTCGTGTTTGGGAGCGGACTAGAAAGATCATCTGGAGCAATCGGCCGTCGTCAATGGGGACTGTTCTGTGGGATTCCGATCCTCGTTTTGCAGCCCATGGAATTATATCTAATCTAGGAATATGGTGACAGAAGTCCTCCCATCACAATAGAAACGATACTTCATAGACAAGTTAGTTAGGATATGTAGTAACTAGTTAATACCTTAGAGTTTAATATCAAATGCTTTGCCAATAAAGTTGTAATTACTCTATCAACCACGATCGAGTTGCTCGTTTCTATCTACATACTTTTTCGCCTTTCGCCTTCGGTTCGTTGGTTTGGACTTCTGATCTCCCGCTGGACTTTTTCGCTCCTCTTCCATCACTCGTCTACTCTCTTGATCCCACCATTGTTGAAATTCCTGCTCCGCTTGGATATCTTGAAGGTTACGTTTCGTTGTGGACATTTCATGAATCACGTCCTTCTCCGCCTGCTGTTGAGACAAGATGTCAACCATGCTCAGTCCTTCTGTTGGAATCGAGGTCGTCGGCTGGATATGACGGACCGAATGAACTGCTGGTGTTGGCTTAGATGCTCCTGAGCTATCTGGTCGAGGGCCCAAACGCATCGCGTTTTCCGATCGCTGACGAGTAGAGGGATCTATGGTAGGGGATGACCCAGGAGTTGACGTGGCCCATTGCGATGACGCTGTCCTTTTGGTTTCGGGAGTGCGAGGAACATCATTCGTATGCGGTGTGGTATTTGCGACCGTTTGCCTCATTGTCAGTGGCCTCATTGTTAGTGGAGTTGACGCATTTCTGATTGAAGTTGCCGGTCCACTGGAAGTCGATGGGAATGAGTTGGTCTTCGATGGTTGGATTTTCCATGGCGAGCTGGATGTTCCTTGCTTCGGTGTCGCAACTTTGGGCTGTTCGGTTTGAGCCTTTTTCCGTTGTTTCTGAGATGGTTTGCCTCCGAAGTTGGAAGTTTTCCGACCCCCGGAAATGGCCGATTCTAGGCCAAGAGATATGTTTGAGACGCGTGATGACGATGCTTGATCCATGATTTCCTTCATGGTCAACTTCGAGGAATCCAGTGCAACATTCCATGGGCCTTTCCCTGCGGACTCTTCTACGATGGACGGCGTATTGGAAATATCCAAATTCCGATGAAAATCAGGTTTCGGTATTGGCCGTGGATGAGTGTCCATCCTTCGGATCGGTGAACGCCCCAACTCAGGCATATCAACGGGAAATCCATCATCTTCAAGATCAAATATCATATCCTGGGAAGGGTGCATTGCGGATTGTGATGGCCTCGGGGGGGACGGGGGCAATACATCATCAGAAATAGCAACTTTCCCCCTACCCATACGTAGCGATAATGGATGATGGTCGAGAGGGTTCACGAATGATGTCGAAGGGAACTTGGATGCATCTCTCACAGACTTCTCTCCAAGCATGGCAGGGTCAATGCTAACCTCTCCCCATCGTATCCGTCTCTTTGAAAGCTCCGGCCAGCGAAGTAGAAGCTCTTCATCGTCTTCCTTTGCTCTAGCATGATATCGTTGTTCCTCGCGTACTCGTTGATTAACTTCGATTAACAAATCGTTGTCCAATTCGTCCAGATACCTGCAAGGTTAGATATATAGACTAGATGATGGGAAAGGCTTACCCATTTTGTAGAAGCACCTCGAGGTTGAAGCAAATGTAATCCAGTGCAGCATGACGAAATGCTCCAGCAGGGCTGGGAGCAATCACATTGAGTAGTTCGCACACATTCCGAAGGTTCACTACAGTTGTAAGCCTTGATCTTCCATAGAGTTCTCAATGCTTACCGTGCTTTCCGATAACCTTCTGGCAAACCAATGACAAGCGGTCAAGTAGAAGTTCGTTCGCGATGGCCATCACATCCAAGACACGATCAAGAAAGTCTTCAACCTTAGGGCACTGAATGTTGTCGAATAGCTCGATCCCAGCATCTGAGTAGATATGCCGTAGAACGTAACCGAACGTCTCCGATGAAAAATGCTTCAGGTCAATACTGACTTTCCCTGATTCGGAAGTTCTTCCTTGTAGCCAGAGGCCTCCCGTACGACCTTTGAAAAGACCGTCGAAAAAAGGACAGCGCTGACAAAGGATCTCTGAATGAGCAGAAACTTGGCCGTCCTCGAGTTCGACCAGTACATCTGCGTCAGTGAATAATTCGGCATCGCTGTATGCGATTCTCATGTCGTCGTCCAGTCGCCTTCGACTATCGATCTGGCGGACCGCGAATTCAAGTCCGGTCAATTCCAGTCGATGAGCAAGGCGGATCAAATCCGCTCGAACGTTACGTGCTCGGGCGTTCTTTGGGAATTGCCAACACTCAACGACTTCATCCGTGTACAACCAGTAAACGAAATTGAAGAGAGTCATGGGATCAAGACCTTCGAATTGAAGTCGAGTACAATTTTCAGTCTCTTCAACGTGAAGAAAATCCATATGAGCATGAGAGTTCAGGGATCTTCGAATAACATTGCTCCGTCCAACCAGCAGCCATCTATGAATTGGTATGCCCCAGTTACCAAGAGATGTATAAACGACGATAGGTTCGAGTGGAAAATCCTTAGTATCTTTCAATGCAAGACTTTCAATCCCTTTGGTAATGGAGAAAAGCTGCTGGACCTTCGGTTCGACGGCTGACAGTTTAATCGGATGATCGCCTGTGGTAGCATACGTAACCAACTCTTCGAAAGGCATGAGCCTGGCGTATGCTTCCCACAAAGGACTGCCAGTGTCCAAGATGTCGGTTTTGGTGACATCATATTCTTGTCGTATAACAGCATACGCACCAAAGGCCGATGCCCGAACTTTGCAGACTCTTGTCAAGTTCGGTATCCTAGTGAACTTGTAATCTTTCGACTGGCTTCCAATTTCCGAAGCAGTGGTATGTTTGGCTTTCGACCGCTTGACCTGCCTCCAGACCGTCCCAGCTTCGGTGGCAAGAATGATAGATCCATCTTGGTCAACGGCGACATTTCTGGCTGACATGTGGCCCTTTTTGATGGACCATACCCGTCTAGGCTGGGAGAAGGAACCTTTGATTTTACTTGGATTCGTGGTTGATGCATGCGAATCGCCCATCTCGGTTGGCAGGCTCACCACGCAAGTGAAGACTTCTCCCATGGAAGACATGGCGCAAATCGTGTTACCTCCACCGGTAATATGACAGATTCGGTTCGGGATATCCTCCCAACTCGGAATGGTATGCACTTGATGCATAAAGAAATTCGAAAAGCCATCTAGTGGGAAAGTCAGGCGCCTATACCCGTAGTTGGCGAAGACCCAGACCTCGTGGTTCGCAAGCAAACATATCGTAGCACGATCAATCGCAGCGACGGTGGAGATCGTAGTGCTGAACAACGATGCAGCGACTTTTCGGGGACTGGCTTGACTGGATAGAGAACGAGCGTCCGAATCAACAATACCCAACTGGCCCTCATTCTTCCCGAAGGTGAACAATGAGAGCGGAGTAAAGACAACGGAGTGAATTCTCGATGCGGCAACACCGGCAACCCGTTCTCGTTTCAAAGTGCCGTAGATCTGTCGTGGAACAAGCTGTAAAGGCTCCTCGTTTGGTCGGATGTTCGAGAGTTGGTAACCCAATTGGCCGAATGTGTTCATTCCCCAGGAATATACGGATCCATCCGACGTGACAGCCAAGGTATGATTGTGTCCTAATGCGACTTGTACCACTTCTTTGGTCCCAAGTCCACCGGAATCGACGCACGCGAACTGATACCGGGTTCTCTCATCTCCAAAACCAAGTCGTCCACCCTTTCCATGGCCACATATGTATAGATTCGACTCCTGGTCAGTAGTCAAGATCGCCGTATGGAACTTGGACATTTGTATGTCGCGGAATCGAATTGGGATGCTTTTCACACTGAAAGGAACTTCGGCGATATCCACGTACCCATTCCGCATCCTCATGTTTCCCTCGTTCGTGTCCGAACCATAAAAATGACTTCTTGACTCAAGATATCGCAGGAATTGCTTCTCGATCAGACCCACGGGCCGTCGAAGGGTAATTCGTTCTGGAAACTGTCGATCGTCTTCGTCCCCGAACCCCAGTGTAACGTTCTTGTTGCTTCCAAAAGTAAAAACCTCGTCGCCAAGTTGCTCGGAGATACACGCTATTGACTCGGATTGGGTGGGATCCAAGGTTTCGTCGGTCGATGAGGTATCATCGCGAATGCCTTCTGTTCCTTCTCGGATCGACCGATGGATCGTTGACCTTCGAGAGTGAGCCGCCAGAGTCATGAACAAAAGATCATACGGGCCATTCCCCTCATGGTCTTTGATCTTAATCAATGGTTGGGGATGCTTCGGGGTGCCGTGAGCGTGGTTCAAAACATCCTGAGTTTCCCGCCACAGGATACTGCGAGCAATCGAAACATTTCCAAAATAGAATGCCCGGTGCAACGCAGTCCACCCGTTTTCGTAGTCTTGGAGATATATGTCGGTCAGCGGGAAGTCCAGTAGGGCGGTCGCGAAATCGATGGTCGAGTCGTGTCGTGAGGATGCAATCAAATGCAATAACGTTCGTCCAAGGTGGTCTCGTCGATTGATATCCTGGCGTGTGAGGCCATCTTGAGCGCTGTATCCATGCGCTTTCTTCTGCTTCGCAAGGACCGGCGATGTTCCTAGACTGCCGGGACTTCCAAATGAAAGACTCCTACCCGTTGCCTCTATCGAACTGCTGGTTTTGACTCGATTGCTGGTGGTCTTCATTCCTCCCTGCCCAGCAGAGAGAAAGCTTCGAAACCCTTCCACATCATCTTGATAGAAGGAATTCCACAGATAGCCGCTCATATGCTCGAAGGCCAGTCTCCCCAGTTCAACCCGGGGAGGGGAGTATTGAGCCTCTCGGTCGAGCTTCTTGACCTAGGCGCCTCGCGATGACCCTCGATATCGGAGCCAAAGCCGGTTTAAAGGCGCACTTCGGCAAGAAGCTGCAGGATTCAAGAAGACAAGGAACTGGTCGTCGCCAGCAGCAGCTGGGTTGAATCGTTTGATCGCGATGGCGCGTGCAGTACAGTCGAGTGCCGGCGCGAGTCGTAGGAATGGTGGGGTACGAGTCAAACCAAGCGTGATGATCTGACGAAGCTGCGGAGAATTGATCGCGATGCGGTATCTGTGGTAAGATCGGCACGAAGTTCTGATTGATTGACGACTTCCTGCAGGTACAATAGGCGGGAGGGGTTTATGACAATCCGATTTTCCTGCAGCGATGAGACTCAGATGGGAAGAATGATGGGGGAAGGATAAGTGCCTCGTAATTAATTCGATGACTAGATGTAGCTGAGGCCTGAGATACCGTGGAATTCTCCGGAAGGCGATTTTCGAGCTGCCGAATAGATTCCGTGCCCTATATCTATTCTAGAAATACTGTGATCCTGTTTGCCACAGCATATTATACCCCTCCCTTCGATGGCAGAAAATAAACCCGGAGTCCCTATACCCATACACCACCATCGGACATGCAATAAGGAACGTGGGGGCGCGATTGGCTCTGCAAAACGTTATTGTCGCTAGGGTACACGGGTAGTGATGATGGATCTAGATGCGATCGAACAGCCCGCAATACAATAGACCATCCACATAGACCGATCTAAAGCACAAGTCATCGATGACACGTGGGCATATAGGACGAAAGGGCCAGGTACTTCATCTTTACTCGGTGTTGGCATGGCAGGGTCATTCGACGTGGTAGGAATAATTCTATTGATATCTACATCTCAACACCCGAAGGGAAACAAGGCCTTCAATAAGGACTCCACAATATCGCTCAAGAAAGTAGATATAAATCTCTTCACTCATGCTCCATACGCCTTCGCCATGCTTTGCGCATCTGGATCCGAAGCGATTCGTATCGCTTGGTGAGGATCCAAGAGGTGGAGCCATTGACGCTCAATGAAGGCAGTAAAAATGTCATAAAATCCCTTCTCAGGCTCGTTAAATTGTATTCAACCATGTCGTGTTCAACGAAAGACCGCCATGTTGCTCAAGTTCGGTCCGTAAGTCGGAATACCAAGCCATATCATCGGGAGTTTCCTCGATGCTGGCAGGAATCGCCAAGGAGCGGGAATCATCTTCGAACGGCATCGATGTCTGATTGAATGACCCGGTCATATTCGACAGATTATGCAGAGACGGTGGGCGACGACTTTTGGCATACTCGCTCCAAAAATTCATAGGCAGTTCGTGTGACTGTGGGACGGTCGAATGGGAATGACGAGATGCGAACGTTGAAGGACCTTGACTCAACATACTCAGATCAAGCGACAGCCGATTGTCCTGAACCGGAGCCGAAGAAGGAACCCCGAATTGGTTCTGCATGACGGATGTGTCGATACCATAGGGAATCTCCCTCATAGGGACGGCTCCTGAACCTTTGGGTGGCGGCTGCTTCATGCTCTCCAAATCGGTCGGAAATGTCGAGTCTCCAACTTCCGACTGTGTCCCAGAAGATGATGCGGTCAAGCCAGGAGCGCTGAATCGAGCAGAGTCTCCGCTATGAGAGATCGGACGAACGAAAACATCGCCAACCCCGGTTTCTGTCAAAGGGAGGTCCGTCGCACCGAATAATTCGTTCTCGTCGAGACTGGGCTGCGACATGGCAACCCAATCCAACTCAGCGGCGGTCACATCGTCCACTGGAGAGAACTGAAATTCGCCCAGTTGCATCGAAGGTTGCGAGAACAGTCCTTCGGACCACACATTGATCTTGGATACGTCGCTTGCGCTTTGTTCTTGGGTGCTGGATTGACCGAGATTCGCATTCTGCATCAATGGCGGCGGAGGTTCTCTGAAATCGAGGTCCGCGCTCCCAAACCCAAAGATGTCGGAACCAATGTTCACGTTGGGTCGCGAGAGAGGCAGACTATCCACGGAACGTTGGGCCCCGTTGCTCATCCCATATAATGCCGTGGCTTGCCCATCAGCGATGGTCAGGTCATCCACCGACCGCTGCATCAACCCTTCTGTGTCGACACGACGAGTTTTATCGGGTAGCGTCGAGTGCGATGAGCTGATGGAATGGCTCGGAGCATGACGAGGGATTCGGTATGGGACACCCGACGTATGGGCCAAGTTGTTCGAACGATGACAGGGTTTGTGATGGCCATTTGCGAACACCATCAAGGTACTCTCGGAATGTGCGGTCGACATACCGGGTCGTGCCTTGCTGCGAGGCTTCGGTGGCAGATCCGGATCCACCGACTCCGATTTCAAGCCGCAGACGCATTGGGAACCCTGGAAACAGGCGCAATGATGGCTATGCTCCTCAACTAAACAGCGTTAAGTCTCTGAGCACAACGACCAAGCACAGGTCGAATTGCGTACGCTTGACATCCAACCCCGAATTTTCTTTTCTCTCGCCACAATCGCATTTTGCATGATGCGACTTCGATTTCCTTGCGCCACGGCAATGTTCACACTGTTTGACGGGTCGACCCTTGGGCGCGATACGGATGAGGTCACGGTCTTGAGGATGTTAGATTGAGACATGTCGGTCGATACGAGGAATATGCTGTTAGCATCGTGTGGACATACCTCGATGATTGCAACCGCTCACGCGATGTCCTTTGACGCACGACTCGCATGCCCACTTCTCACCGTCGATGAGCATTCTGAGGGTGGCGGCGAAAGTGTCCACTGGTCGCAGAGTCGACCTTGCGCAGATGGAGTCGAGCGGCTAATGACAGTAAAATGCGATGATGACTGCAACGTCGTGCCACCACCGCTCTCCAGCGTCGAGCGCGTTCGCTTCGGGACGACGGAGAAGGATCGAGAGGAGAATGGGAAGGGAAGAGAGGAGACCCAAGCCGTGCACCAAAAGGCGCGTGGCTGGTAAGAGAAGGGGACGCCTAAAAGGCGGTTGTAAGAACAACCCGTAGCTAAAGAAACGGACAATAAATCCAGATGGGTTATGATGATGGAAGAAGAAGAAGAGAGGAGAGGAGAAAGCGAGAGGGGAGTGGGGGGATGAAATGAAACGGCAGGGTGGTGAACGGGGCTGTGGGAGACTAACGTCGAACATGCATGAAGGCCGAAGGGGATGGTCGATGTTACTTGCTTCTAATCGATTGAAGGGTTGAAACGAAAGGAATTAGGGGATAATGAGAGGAACCCTAGGAGATTTGATTGGCTTGGTTTGCACATTAGATTGATTCGGTATCCATCAGAATAGTTAGTTTTGAGGGAATTCATTGTTCACCTCACACTCCACATACACTCAGTTCTCCCCCACAGTCTACCCAAGAGAAACTTCGCCTCCACCAAACGCTGCAACTCGGCAACTCCCTGTCAACTGACCATCCAACGGACCATCTATGATCTATTCGGTAACTGACCATCGATGTCCGACTTCGAAGAAAATCCTGCTACATCCCATGGTGCATCCATCCCAATTCCCATCCACTCGGGCAGGGTTTCCATTTTTCATCGTTTCATGCAATCTATCCCGTCGTTGACCAATCCAGACTCCAGAAAGCAATTGCTAGGTCCCTTGTACCGCTTGTAACTCGAATTCCCTTATTCGGTCCTCGTTGCATTTCCCAAGAAATTCCCATTGTTCACGACTGGAACACAAGAGCCGACCACCCATTGTTCGAACAAACGGAACTCACGTCCAGTTCAGATCGATATGCCGATGAGATAGCCGTTTTGGTGCTCCCGTACATCACGCCCACTACATCTGCAAGATCCCTCCAGGTGCCGTGAGCAACGTGCATCATCGTACCTCGTGCCCGTTTCGGCGTGTCACACGGCCAGAGTGGCTTTGAGCTTCTTCGAGGACATGCCCTCACCAGCTTTGGCGCAGAAATCCGGCCCGTGAAAGCAACCCGTGAGGATCCTCGGATGAGCGGTAAGGACACTATGAGAACTGGAGAAGTCAATTGGTCTGGTCGAACTTCCCCACACTCCGGGACTCTCATCTATTAGACTGCTTTTTTATTTCACGAAAATCCCAATTGGATTGCTGCATATCCGATGTGACGCTTCGGCAATTCTAATGCTAGTGACCGCTAACGCGGTGGTGTCGTCCAGTCCAGGCACAAGTATACGTCTTTCGCAGAAGCACGATATCAATTCGGGCCATTCATACGTCTCAAATTATTTGTTGAACTCATTTCTCTTCATATTATGGTACGAGTTTTCGCGCGTGTTACTACTACTTTGCGGATTGCACCCGCACGCATGGATCCAGTACTCGACACCGGGGGTGGTGCTTCACGAAAGCTCCTATCGCAGGATTCGGTCGAACGGGTCAACATTTTTGACTTTCACCGAATTCGCTGTCCTTCAGCCACCTGGAGCGAAAGTTTCCGAACCATCGGAATTAGGATTACAATCCTACTTCATGCTCTATGTCCAGTCAATCTGGACGAAGAGAATTTGAAATACAGGTACTAGGCCGATATTCCGTGTCATCCATTGCACAGACGAACCATTGCTCGCTTCCTATGCCCATAGCATTACATCTGATCACTCGATTCGAGGATGTCACGTCGGCCGTTATTCCCATCGACTATGCTTAATACGATTCAATCTCGACAAGCTTTCATGGAACCATGAGACCAAATCGACCCGCAAACGGATCTCCCAAAATGGTCGACCGCAAATTAGGTCACCACATTCTCGATCGGTTGCGGATGTCTTGCTCGAACTTGCCTGGACAAGCAGGCAAGCGCTTCCCTTAATGATTTCTGGGATGCGGGACCAGGTATATCGTCACAACCTGCAAGTTGGTTGCATCCGCACAGAGCATGTACTCAAAGGCACCAGCCATTGTTCAGCCGTGACATGGACCTACTCAGGTCATTCAAATCTTAAATTCATTCTCTTATCCAGCTTGTATTCAGTTTCCAAATCATTGTCAGCCCAGGGATATGGTCGGTCCAGCCATGCACTGTGGCTCGAGTAGGATCCACTAAGCCACAGCCGTTTCTTTTGACAATCCTTCTACTATTCTTTCATTCCACCTCCCTCTGTGTGATCATCTGCCTGTCTGGAAGCTGTATCAACTAGATTTCCACCTCCTTATTTTCAACAGTTCAGTCAATATAGTCGCCCCCGCAGTCTTTGTAGTGGAAAGGCGTAATTCTGAGGCCAGACGAGTACCATTTCAACTTGTGGACCAGCCTCACTCGTCGATCAAACCGGATGCCACAGATGTAGAGCAAAGGAAGCACCTTGATGCTCTTGAAACCTCTCGATGGGAACGGAAAGATCGATATGGCCGGCAAGTTCCGCCCATCCCAGTGCCCGAAACCTTTTTGGTTTTATCTGCCTCGGGTGCAAGAGTTTGATTTGCCCACTGATCCGACAGAAGGCCTCTTGGTCCACCGCAAGGTCTAAAGATCAGCATTTGATGCATCTTGGCAATTTCAATTATGCCTCTGGAATGGCCACTCACGTGATATCGCGCATCCTTCGCGTTCCATGAGGCGGGGTTGTTAGATCTATACCAATCACCTCACTTTATGTCGCGCGCAGATACGAGACTTGAGTGGATATACCTAGACGATGTGAGTCATTCTGCGCGTAGATCATTGCAGTTGGCTTTCTTCGACCCGCAACCAATTAGTCGTAGAATTCCCTCGTATTGCAATCAAGTGAGGGGTGATTAAGGCTGGAAATGGTACGAGGTTGCTTCGAGTATTTAAGGCAAGGGAGCGCATCTGTGAATCGCGACTCCCTGAAACCCCAGTGTCTATCGAGTTGTGTTTTTGGATTCCTGCAGTCAGTCCACTCCATTGTCCTGTCATCCAATATGTCTTCCCAAGAAGATTCCTCCCCCAAAGAACCTAAGTCCGGCTCTGAATGGGAGATCCCTCCCATTGGCACACCGTATTGTTCAACTATCTATCGGAATCCCGAGCTAACTCCAAATTAGATGCTGGATAGAGATCCCTGCCCGGGACGTGACGAAGTGCAAGGTTTGGTAGCCACCTACTGAACCTCCAGGATGCATAGCTAAACCATCGTCAGGAGTTCTATGCCACCTTGTTCCCTGAGTGGGAATGGCGCTCCACGGACACTACAACTAAGACCGAGCAGACCACAGCCTCATTCAGCTTCAAGAAGCAGTCCCTCACTGGAGGCATCGTGAAAGTTCAAGAGATTTGGAACACCTCCGGTGCGCAACCTGGGGGAATGGGATATGTTGTTTATCATATCGTAGACTCAATTGATATTGTGGGAATCCATCCTGGAAGTCCATGCTGGGGAATGACTGACCAGACGGTAGGCTGTGGAGAAAATCCAGTCGATTGGCGGAAAGCAGATCTTGGAGAAGAAACCGGAAAGCGATTTTGGTTTTTATGCGAAGTGTAAGGATGTTGAGGGTAATATCTTTGGAATTTATGAAGTGAAAAGGTAGATCGATGTGGTAACGAAGCACCAACAAAGATCCATTCTCGCTCATCTCAATACGAAGCCTTGATTTAATAGACGAAAGCTTGCGTAAACGCTGCAGATTAAATATCATTGAAATCCCCCAGTATCCACTGTCCTATGAACTCCAACGAAACCTGAAAACGAAAACCGTCGACAATGCGCCATTCCATTCCAAGGCGGTGTATATCTAAGCTAAGGATTTGTGTCTCGTATCCATTGTGGGAGGTATCTCGGTAGTACGGAATATTCAATCCCGATACCGGTAGTTGGTAGATTCGTCGGATGAATTCTTGTGCTCTTCCAACATGATGTCAGGTTGATTCTCACCGATCGCCCGATGACCGAAACCTTGATAATTGAAGCTTCGCCCGGGATGCCAAAAGTTGAACACAAGCACGGCCAAGGCACACATTCTGATAAACAAGTTAGATCTGAATCCCGATGTTCGAGATGGAAACTTACGTCGAATCCAGACCAATAAAGAGCCCTTCCTTCTGCATGATCGGATTTCCCCAGCCGCCAGCCATTTCAATGATTCGATAGACACATCGGATCATGATGGCCACGTAGCTGAGAGTCAATGACGCACAGAACAGCTTAAAGTTCAGACTATTCCTCAAGGTAGTAGTCGCCGGGTTCAAACGACCTCCACCATTCTTCTTCACATCTTGAAGAACCCGGTTGAAGTAGTCGCCCGCCATCAAGGCGAAAACCGCAAGGGTAAACACCTGGAACGACAATCCGGCAAGCATGAGGTTGTTTCCAGCATCCAACATGGCCTTGTCGCCATCGTCCGCCGTCGCCGCAACTCCACCGCCCGCGCCCTGGAGCGCCAAACTCACAAAGTCGCAACTAATGAAAATCCATGTATAAAACTTGGGTCTGATCCTCGATAGATCTTCCCCGAAGGTGATCACCAGATGCTTCAAGCAAAGGTAAATGCCCGCCGCAAGAAAGGCCGGGGCGATGGTTAACAGGATAATCTGGATGTAGAAGCCACTATCGTTAAAGGCGTCGGAGTGTAAAATGATGCGCCCGCCATGTCCAATGGCTTCAGAGGCAGATCCGAGACACATCGCAATAAGGAACGACCATGTCTTGTGAAGGCTTCCTTGTACCGCGTGAGCAACTGCAAGTACCGCAAATAATATAGTAAAGAAGACATTCTCGCCCAGGCCTGGGGCGTAACCGTAGATCGATTCGGAAACCGGACAGGTATCGATGGTACATTGAATTGGTTGTTCACCACTCATCTTGACGGAATGAAGGTGGGAATTAGGTCGAAATATGAAGCCAAACAAAGGTTGATGAAGATAGAAAAATGACTAGTCGACGATAGACTGTAAGAGGAATAGAACGAAAATTCTCAACGCGATAAACTAAAGGAAACAATAGACAAAGGGAAGGGAAATTCGATGAAGATATTTGTACCAGACTCGAATATAATGGATAGCCCGATTCGTCCGTAAGCCAGAGAACCGGGTCGCAAACCGCCCGTCCCCAGTCCGCATTGCCAGCCAGCGACCTGTTCATTCTCCATGCCCTTCTCTTTATGGATGGTAAGTACGCGATACAGCCCATCCGCCCCTAGTTCCCCCATGCATGACGATCTTTGGGGGCGGAATACAAAAACAGTTTTCTATACTTCAAACGTGTCAAATAGCACTGCGCCTCGATAGCGAGCCATTAGTGAGAGGACGACACTTTTCGCCAGCATCAAGGTGGGTACATAGTAGTAGGTACATACATCTCGTAAACATTTCCTGATCCGGACCATCATTGCAGCAATGGAACGACCGTGTCTATGTCAGATTTGTCAAGGCTCCGGCCCATGCACTGTGCCGGAACCCCACTTATGGGTTAGCAGCCCTATCCACTATCCAGTCCTGTGGGCTCAGAGGTTATTAATATTTTACCTACTCCATAATGCGAGAACATGAGATGAATTGCTGCGCCCTGAGAATGGAAGATTTGGGAATGGGCAATCTTGGGAACTCTCGCGAATGAAGATTGAGCCTGTCCCCTTATTCCACGCGTCTAGTCAGTCGGAGTCGGAACAATTAATTCTTCGAACCGCGAAAGCCGCTCTGATTGGCTTCTCGTTGGCCTACGCGTCCGTCTTCGTCACCCCCGTCCTCGTCAGAGAGAGTCGTCGCACGAGATTAGGGGATGTGATTCAGCCCCAGCGACGGTTTCACGCTTCGACCGTTCTGTAAAGAATCAGGATTCAGGAATTCGGGATGGTAACTGCTGTTGCTCTAGTAGGAATCCTGGTCTCTCAATCAACACCGCATTTGGACTAGGCTCGCTGCCACGCTGTCGCATCATCGCACGTTCTCATCAATGATCAATGGGCTATGCGGACTACCCGTAGGTACGCCCCAAATCCCTAATTATAGGACCAGGAACTGGTAGTTACTCATAATTAGTAGTAAGGTATCCGAAGTGCCAGTCCTACACAGGCATCAACCTGGATACGGTAGTCAAGCAGCAAGCTTCTTTGGCTTCAATGATTTCGGAGCTTCTCCCTAGCGGCCTAGCCATCATTTCGGCCCGTGTTGCGTATCACAGATCGGGAGTCGGGAGTCGGACGTCCGTGCTAAGGAAAAATAAGGCCGAAGCCGAGGTATTGCCAACGATGTGAACTTCGAGGCTGTGGTGACAATCGATGATAGAAGGAATCTACACGGTTTAAAATTAGATCACTGGGAACAATTCTCTGCCGTGGAGACCATTGCAACTCGAATCTCTGATCCGCAACAATGGCAGATCAAAGCAAGAAGGATGAAGTTCGAGCGCGATCAATCGCTGGTGTGCAGGCGATTTTCGACCGGTACAGTTCAATAAGCTATTCTAAGCTAAGGAAAGTCTGACCGAAGATAGATATCATCTATTAGAAAAGGAAAGACCTGGTGGTCATCGAGTAAAGAATTCATTTGTTCTCGCTTCGATACACGCTGACATAATGTAGGATTTCGATTTCGATATCATGAATACGGCCAAGATCCTCGATGCTGGCCCAGAAGGATGGGTTCTTTTTGAACTGAAGATCATGGACAATTGGTCGAACTTAAACAGTAGGAGGGTTCGGAATTGTTGGAGGGTTCCACTAACGCCTACAGATGTGATGCATGGGGGAGCCTATGGCGTAATCTTCGGTCTGCTGCAACCCAGTTTGCTTTTGACCAACCCTTCCTAACTTTTTACAGATATGTGCACTACAACTGCTTTAGGGCCTCTCGCCCGCCCCGGATATTGGGAGTAAGTGCGCCCGTATCCATATTCTCGCAAGCCAATCCTTATTATCCCTCAGCTTCCTCGGTGGTGTAACCCGGTCTCTCAACATATCGTACCTCAGAGGCGTCCCATTGAAGTCGACGGTGAGGATACGGTCATGGGTTGTGCAGTACGGGAGAACGATGGCAATGATACGTTCGGAGATGACGTCGGAGGATGGCAAGACCGTCTACGCCACCTGTGAGCATCATAAGGTGAACGTGGCGACGCCACCAGACCACATGGCCGTCCGGATCCCGTGGGATGATGAGATCGAGCGCATCCACCAGGCGGAGCAGGAAGCAAAGAAAACAAGGAATGGAAAAGCCGGGGAGAAGGGGAAGTTATAGTACCGCCAGGGTGCAAATCGATGGAGACGCTATTGCTAAGATGATGAAGTTTGTGAGCCGATGGGCCGTCATTTGAGGGCTCGAGCGGCGATATCTCGGCGGTATTGCATTCCATCAAAGTGAATGCAGTTTACACCATGATATGCAGCCTTTACAGCGTCTTGAAGTGTGCTGGCTGAGGCAGAGGATGCGATGACTCGTCCGCCCGCGGTCTTCAACTTGTCCATGGTGGATGTACCAGCATGAAACAGAACAATTCCTATAAAAAGTCAAAAGTAGAACAAGATACAAAGGGGTTCAAATTACCATCTGGTGTTGCATCGAGCTGCATGTCGATTCCTTTTTTATATGGTCCTGGATACCCTCCAGCAGCGACGACAACCGTGGCGGCAAAATTTGACGAGAAGGTAGCATTGACGGACTCCAGCGAACCGTTTGCGCATGCCACAATGATTTCCGCAAGGTCGGAATCAAGCAACATCAGTACGCTCTGCGTCTCGGGATCGCCAAATCGCACATTATACTCGAGAACTTTCGGGCCATTCTTTGTAAGCATAAGACCGGTGAAGAGGCACCCGATCATCGGATGACCTAGAGAAGGGTCAGTTTCTCATCGCCTTATGTGATCCAACCAATACTCACCCGATTCCTTCATGGCCCTGATGGTTGGGTCCAGCACTTCTTTCTCGATTTGCTTCATCATTTCCCCGGTACATACCGGTGCTGGAGCGTACGTTCCCATTCCACCGGTATTTGGGCCAATATCCCCGTCGCCAATCCGCTTGTGATCTTGAGCGGGTGGGCAATTGACCATCCTCGACCCATCACATAAGCTCAGGATGGAAATCTCGTCGCCTTCCAAAAATTCTTCGATGACCACTTCATCTCCTGCCGACCCAAACTCTTTGTCAACCATGATCTCTCTGAGTGCCGCTTGCGCCTCCTCTTTGCTAGTCGGGATGATCACACCCTTTCCAGCTGCGAGTCCACTGGCTTTGATGACGACCGGATGAGAGACAGAATCCAGGTACTTCCTCGCAGCATCATAGTCCTTGAAATTCTCATAGGCCGCGGTAGGGATGGCGTTATGCTTCATAAAGTCCTTGGAAAACGCCTTCGAACCTTCCAACTGTGCCGCCGCTTTCGATGGACCAAAGCAAAGCACCAATGGCGCATGCACCTTGAAATAGTCGGTAACTCCAGCGACCAATGGAGCCTCCGGTCCAGGAACGACGAGATTGACGTCCCGAGTATGTGCTGCAGAGAGAAGCGAAGGGAAATCTTCACCGGAGATGGGGAGATTCTCGCATTTGGGGACGGACGCAGTCCCACCATTGCCCGGAGCGCAGTAGATATTCGATACCAACGGGGACTGGGCAAGTTTCCACGCCAAAGCGTGCTCACGGCCTCCATTGCCAATGAGGAGAACACGGTACTCGGCCATATTGAGGATGTGAGTTGGAGAAGGACGATTCCAATATCAATTCGAATAACCCGAGTTGACTCGATTTAATTGCAAGAGGCTTGGATAAGACAAGGAAACTTTTTGATACTGTGACGAATCTCGATCAATGCGAAAGCGGCGGTAAAATTGCAGGGATCAATCGTATCAACCAATCAGCAGCGTTTTTGTCCCACCTCCAGACATCCACTCTGTCCATTTGATTTTGATATTATTTCACGAAACTGGAGTAGTTGCCCATGGATTGATGGGCTCAGTTGGACGGAGTGATCATTGGACAATACGCATACATGATATATTATAGGTGTTGGCATTGCTGGTGGATTGGAGAACCGAGAAACGTGACGTCAACTGACGAGGACAGGGGTCGAAAGCATATTTTTAGTCGTCAATCAACGAAGAGAACGTTGTATCAGGCCCAGGGGACCTTTGTATCAGGTCTGATCCATTCTAACAAGATGCGACTGTGGCCTGGTGCCCTTCATCAATTTCAAATGTAGCCCATTTGATGTAGCTATCATTATCCCCTTCATACAACGATAGTCCCTACGTACTTAGTCCCTGTACCGCTTTCTACCTCCATCCTGCGTACGACATGGCGGAGCTTTCGTCGCGCCAACAGCTCCGTCGACGGGTGCTTCGAGTCCTCTTCATCTCTCTTCTCCTTGACCTCGTATGTATAGTTCCGTCGTAACCGATCATCGCTTAACAAGTTTCCAGATATCTTTCACCTTTATTCTCCCCCTCTTCCCCAAACTCATCGAATTCTACCGCGACCTCGACTCCCGCGCCTCCAACGGTTCTCCCACTCTTCTCCAGAACATTCTCTCCGTCCTTCATCGGTACAAAAACTCTTTCGCCAAACCGATCAACTCCCGCTATGACATCGTCATCCTTGGTGGGGCTCTCGGCTCCCTCTTCTCCCTTTGCCAAGCCATCGCCTCCCCAATCATCGGTGCCCTCTCCGATAAATACGGTCGACGCACGGCTCTTCTCTGGGCGATGTGCGGAAACATTCTCTCCGTTGCGCTCTGGGTGGTAGCGGTGGATTTCCGGACATTCCTGGCAAGTAGGGTCATCGGAGGGTTGAGCGAGGGCAATGTACAACTGGCGACGGCGATTGCAACGGACATTTCGAATGACGAGGAACGTGGCTCAACGATGGCTCTAGTGGGTGCATGTTTCAGCATTGCGTTCACGGTAGGGCCGTCGTTGGGTGCAGCGTTGAGTAATTTGGTATTTGTCAAGGCGAACCCGTTCGCAACGGCAGCAGGATTCAGTTTGGTATTGATCGTCACCGAGACCATTTATTTGTACTTCTGTCTTCCGGAGACCCACGACATCAAGAAATCCAAGGATCAGGCGAGTGGGAATGGGAAGATCCAAGCCTCGAAGGCCTCGAATCCGAACGTCCGAACCAACTCGCATGTCTTGCTGAACTTGACTCATTTCACCTTCATCTTGTTCTTCTCGGGCATGGAGTTCTCGTTACCGTTTATGACTTATGATCTCTTTGGGTACTCTTCGGCGCGGAACGGAGGATTGTTGGGATTCATCGGTATCATTTCTAGCGTTCTACAGGGCGGCGTAACGCGCCGTATGCACCCTCTGCTCGTGGTTCGGATCGGAGTGGTCTGTTGCGCCCTAGCGTTCGTTTGGTTGGGAAAACTCAAGACGCAGGGAGAATTGTACGGTGCAGGAGCTCTGCTTGCTACTACAAGTGCAACGGTGGTGACGGGATTAAACAGCTTGAGCAGTTTTGAGGCTTCGGCTGGGGAGAGAGGTGGGAAATTGGGAAACCATCGGAGTTCTGGTACGTTCTTCCTTCGCATCGCGTCTCCAATTCATCTAATTGTTGTGTAGGCCAAATAGGACGCACGCTTGGTCCTTTGATTTTCTGTTCCTTATATTGGTGGGCAGGTCGAGAGGTTGCGTATACAGTTGGAGGTCTCGGGATGGTTGGGGTGGCTTCGATGGTCTTTGGAGGTTTAAAGGCTCCTCCAGGAAGCATCCAACCCAAATCGATCAAGACCACGTCAAGCAAGAGATAACAGGTTACCCATAAAAGACGGAGATTAGCAACTCATGGATGACGTAGGGTGTATGTTCCGGTGGAAAAGGATGTATTCGGATGACATGGTACTGTACAAATATATCGAAACATGGATTCCCTTGATATATACCATCGAAGCACCAAGAGCTTCCCACAAATCCATGAACGCCTCGCAATGCATAAATCATCCAAATCCAGCCGACACATTCGCTTATGCAGGCCCCTCGGGGGTGATCTTGGGCCTACGCTTCGTGAATCTCTTCGACTCTACTCCTCGTTAGTCCTGTCATATCGCCTTTCATCAATCAGGACATACCAGCTGCAGTTCTCTTCTTCTTCGGTGCTCCTTTGCCTCTCGCTTTCAACCGTTCTATGTGTTCCAGTCTGTCCTGCTCCTCCTCGTCCTCAATCACGGCGCGAGGGAAGTCCTTCCGCAACTGTTGGATGGTACCGACTCGTGGAGGGTAATATGAAGCGAGTGCCGCTCCGCGGAGGCGCTGACGGAGAATTTTGGTACCAATGCGCAGGCGATTGGGATTGAACGTGGTGTTGAAGATGCGGCATTGGACCTGGATGAGTTAGCCCGTTCAATGATGCTGGGATGGATTGTTGCTCGAAGGTGCAGGCTTTGGATTCATACATACCCGCATTAGGTCCACGACCCGAGACCGAGCGATTGACATGATCGATGTACAGTTCACCGTTGACGATTCAAAGCGTAGATTCGCTACTGTGTATGATGGCGAGGTCGAAGTTCGATCAGATCTGAGGGTTGCAGATGATGGGAAGTTTTGCTACAGGGACACCCCTGCCCCACATCTTCGACATGCGATATTTCATGGCCAATATCCCCGTGATGCAATTGTCGCCCTCCTCCACACAATCTACAGGCGATCTTGTGTTGGTGCAATGGGTCAAGGTAAGTTGATTTGCTTGAGATGAAAGTCCCGGTTTCTCTCTGTTCCGCTCCGTGTAGATGTCAGAGGCTAATCTATCCAGTATCTCGTGGAAATATTTCAAGACACTCGTGGAGACCGTGGAGACGCCGATTTGTTGGCATAGATAGCCGCTGAAGCTGCCGAAACCATTGACTGCATATCAGGCTACTGTGTGATATGGTTTATTCCAAAGGAGAGCCGTTCGCCGTACCACCAGGATACTTCGACCAGCACGCGAAAATGGGCAGTCAAGATCAAGCAGTAGTATCTGCCTCCCCCGAGATACCTACTACCGCGGCCGCTGCCGTGTTGAAGCCTTCCGAACCGATGGCTGCCGGAAGCAAAGTGGTTCGAGGAATCGATTTCGACAACTTCAAAGGCAGAGATGTTACCGTGGTTGATATTCTGGAGCATATGGATGTCATGGGATTCCAGGCCATGAACCTGGCAAAGTCGATCAAGATTATAGATGAGATGGTATGTCGTCTGGTTGTTTGCAACATTGGACCCAGACCTTTCCACGATGATACTGACACATGTCATAGAGAGCCTGGCGCGATCCAGAGACCGGCTCTCGAGCCACTATCTTCTTGGGCTACACTTCCAATATGATCAGCTCCGGTTTGCGCGAAACGTTCCGCTACCTTGTGCAGCACGGGCACGTTGACGCCATCGTCACCTCTGCAGGGGGGATAGAAGAGGATTTCATCAAATGCCTTGGCGACACATACACTGGCAGCTTCGACGCGGACGGGACGAAATTACGTGCGGCAGGCATGAATCGTATCGGCAACTTGATCGTACCGAACGATAATTACTGCGCATTCGAGGACTGGGTCATCCCGGTGCTCGACCAAATGTACAAGGAACAGGAAGACACAAAAGGGACGGAGAACGAGATTAACTGGACGCCTAGCAAGATCATCGCCAGGCTAGGGAAAGAGATCAACGATGAGCGGAGCGTTTATTACTGGGCTCAGAAGAACGGCATTCCTGTGTTCTGCCCTGCACTCACGGACGGGAGTCTTGGGGACATGCTATATTTCCACACCTTCCGAACGTCGCCCGGCCAATTGCGATGTGATATTGTCGAGGACATCCGCGCGGTTAACAGCATTGCTGTGCGTGCGAAGAAGGCCGGGATGATCATCCTGGGAGGTGGAGTTATCAAGCACCATATTGCAAATGCGTGCTTGATGCGGAATGGGGCTGAGTGGGCGGTTTACGTCAATACCGCACAAGAGTTCGATGGGAGTGATGCAGGAGCACGACCGGAGGAGGCGATCAGCTGGGGGAAGATCAAGGCAGATGGAATGTCGGTAAAAGTGCATGCAGACGCAACGATAGTATTTCCGTTGATCGTGGCGGCAACTTTTGCGAAGAATGAAAAACCGAAGGAAGAGGCGAAGGAAGGCAGTGGAGTGTAAAAATTCGATCTCTTGCATACTTGGAGTTCAGGGAAGCATACTGGATATGGCGTCCATTCATCTGGTCTCGTGCTGTACCAGCGAGGCATGGACAAAATGGGGTGATATTAGGAGCTAAAGTACAATGCTGGCTAACATGTATAAGCAAGTAGAGTTGTGGCCAGGTAGAATCGGGGTAGAATCCGGGTAGAATCTAGGGCAAAACTCCAGTACCGATTGTTCAACGCACTGTATGCATAGCATTGACCATTTACTCCTCCTTTGCACCACCACGTCCAGACTTCTCCGCCTGCTCAATGCTCTTCTTATCGGTCTTGATCTCTCCGCCAGCCGGCATTCCCATGAAGCCAGCGGCAGCCTTCCATGGGCGCTTCAAATCTCCACTCGCTGGGCGTCCGAGAACGTGGACCTTGACCAGGTTGCCTTCGAACAGGGCCTTCAAAGGGATGATGCTCTGGATGAGCAGCGGGTTGGTATATTTGAAGTAGATGTGCATCACGCCCATCATGCCGACACCCATGAGCTGGGACTTGAAGAGTTGGCGGAGTTGGCTATAGTCGTATGCTTGGATGGTCGTGGTGACAGCCTTCGGCTCCTCGGTGGAACCCATTGGTGCGGGCTCGACGTATTTGAGGACGGTGAGATCTAGACAAGGTCAGAGATTGTCCAGGAAGCGAGCGGGTAGCCGCTGAGGTCTTAACATACCCTTCTTCTTGTCTATCTGCAACTTCACGTAAAAGTATGCGCTGGCGATTATGACGTTCGAGAGGACATAGAGGCCGCGGATGAGGTTCAGGACATTAGGATCTTCGAAGGGAACCCTCTTGGACACCTGCATCATAAATCTAGGGTCGCATCAGTATCTTCCCTCACACAGTTCGCGTCCTTCGCATTCTTCGGACATACAGTATGATGAGGACATTGGTACTGCGCAAGAGTTAGCTTAGTTCATGTGCGAAGGCATTCGGGTATCGTCAACAACTCACATTGCGGGATTGACCATGGTGACGGTGTTTGGCTGGGCCGGATTTGAAGACTAAGTGTTGAAGGCTGGGAGATGGCAGAAGTTGATGTAGTAATAATCAAACTTAGATGAAGTACCACAGTACTGATGGAAATCAGGGCTTGGATGATGATATGATTCAGAATGCTGGTTGCAGCGTGCAAGCGGGAAAAAAGATGGTCTCAAAAAGTTGATGGCGAAGCGGGAAAAAGAACACATCTCCGCCTCCAGTCCGCTGTCGCGATTCTCGGATCCCGTGGTTAGAGGAAGTGGAGCGGATGGGCGGACGGGGTGATCGGACTCCATTCATCGTTCTAGATGCTTCCTTTCTTCCTACACACGTATTTACTACTTACCTTCATCTACGATATATAATTACTAATATACTAGATCCAAAGAATCCGGCCTCAAAGCAAAGAACAGTCGGGTATCAATCATCCATGGACGTGCTTTCATGTTGACCAGAATGCCTGGAGATACCACTGCTTTTCCGCAATCCATCAAGGACAGCCATGCCTTCGAATCACCAGATAGCTAAAAGACATGTTCGATGAAGGATAATTCCACACTGCCGACCATTCCTTCCAGGAGTTCCGCACATCTTAGCACATGTTCCGTATCTTCAATTGCTCGACCGAAAGGCTCTGTCCAACCGAAGCGGAACTGTGTCAAGAGATAAAGAACCGGGTTGATCGTCTTCGCCAGTACCATCTACGTCGATACTAGCTATAAGTCTCGATCCAAATATCTCATACACCAATGTCGACGGGGTCGGGGACAGGATGGACCAGTATCGAACTGGCTTTGAGGATGACGGGTCCCGCATCAGTGCCAACTCCAGTCCCAACCGATGGAAAGGAGCGTATGTGATACTTCTGCTCCTTTGCCCGCAGCCGCGATACTGGTACGAGTAGCAAATTCGACCCGATTTGTCTTTCGATATACCTGATATGCCCTCTCCTGCGAAGACGTAAGAGATGCGGGGAAACCGAAGTCATCGTGGCTCATAGCTGACATCAAATATATTATATAAACTGATGAATCCTTCATCAACACATTCAAGAGGCAAATACGGAGTAGATAATCCGTATTGGAAGTCATCGTGACCAACATTGGGATGGTTCGGCTGAAATCTGCCCTTTCGCCATTATTTCAGCGCTGGGAATATCTCTTACCTAAATCATCAAAACGGTCGCACACGCACGTCAACAACTCAACCATGTTCAAGAACAATTGGATATTGATGCTTCGTATCGTGGATTCAATCTAGAATGTCACGACAGCCTAATGGATGCTTTACCTTGCACTGGACCTTCGGAATACGAGCTTCCCATACAAGGGCAAAACCACATTCCCGAATCAGCTTGATGGGCGACTATCGGTGCCTCGGACGAGGTGGTCCAGAGTCATGCTATTTTTGCACAACTGTACTGCTTCCAAACGACAAACATCCCGGGTCCCAGATCGCAAAGATGTCAAGTCTAAACGAGCTGTCAGTTTGTCCAACACGAAGACATGCAGTCAAGATCGCCTTGGGGCGGAGGACCGGTCCATGTGTGGTGCTAAGTCTGACCTAATATGGGATTGTCAATTTTGCTTGTGCTACTGTCGACTTTGATTCCCATGTCCCTGGCAACTAGTGCCTAAGAAACCGAACTAATAGTAACTATTATAATTTCGTCTATGGGGTAACAAGGGGAACCCTCCGTGGCCAGGTTTTGTTATCACGTTCCTATTTCAATTCCGATCCTAACTTGTCGGACATCATGTCGTATTTCTCTTCGTTGCTTAGAATTCGGTGTCGACTGTCATCTAACTGCTGTCTGATTGTTCTAATAACTGTGCAGTATTAGAATGAAGTTTATCCTTTCCAACCGCGCTACTCCCCACAGGTCCTCTTCATTCGGCATGATACAGACGCTTGGAACTTGCCCTTCGTATTGAGCGCATCTTGTCGTTCGTATTGAGCGGAAGGCTTGCATACCCGCCACCAGAACACGGAACGAGATGGCGGGAGATCCACAGCAAACATCCCCGCCACATGTGGATGAACATGACAAGTTTATTGTGCCTCAAAGTTTTGGCTTCAGCAAAGATCGCAAGTCGCGGTCAGGCTTTGCGCCAGAATCGACGCCGCAAGATAACCTTCCAATCGTAGTCCCGGACGAGGCAGAAAAGCAGGTCGACCATGGACATTGGGGGAGATCACCATTGGAGGTGGAGTCGGAACAACCAAAATTTACCATTGATCACACCAGAGGCGACACCACTGGCATCGAGGTCGCTCCGGAGAGACCAGAGGAAAAGAAGGGGCAACTTATCTTCGGGTTCAAGAAGAGAACCTTCTGGTTACTACTCGCTCTGCTTACAGTAATCATAGTTGGCGGAGCAGTTGGTGGTGGTGTAGGTGGAGGAATAGCAGTCAAGAACAAGAACGAAGCGGCAGCATCTGCTGCTGCTGCTGCTAGTCAGGCGGCGGACTCATCATCGAGTGCATCGTAAGTAGTTCTAAAAGCGGCATGTCTATCGATAACGCAACTTACGACTCCCTAGGCCGGCATCACCCCCGTCCTCCACATCGGCATCAAACATCCTTCCAACAGAATCGTCCAAGCACCCTGGGTTCAGCCTCCGCGTCTTTTCCAACGCCTCATTCAGTGGCCAAGTCCAGACATTCACCGAACCAGGGTTCTATCAGCTCGCCTACGTTGGAGAATCGTATATTTGGCTTCCTAAGAATACATATTGTTCGGTCAGCTTCTGCGAAGGCGACATAGACTTGGGCTGGCGTGGATACAATTCTACGTACCGTGACCAATTTGGCGATTCTATTGGACAGATGTCGCATATTAATCTTGCATGTACGGGGATCTATGAAAGTCCTGGCTGTCCTGATTCACCACTTCCGAGTGCAAGAACGGTAGAAGTCGAAACCGCTACGGAGTTGATCGAGCCGACTGGGATTCCATCTTCAAGTGGTTGAGTGAGAAAGGGGCACAATAATGTGGACGACCTTTATATGCGCAGAGTCCGCGAAGAGAAGGAATAGAGGGTTTACATGGGGATATGTTGCATCATGTTGCCATTCTTGATCCTCAATCTGCGAACACCTCGTCAGATACGGAATCTCGAGATTGAAACATGTCGAGGCTCTGTAGCTTCCGGAACTCCTGAAGATGTCCTGGTGCGCAATATGAATTTAAAGAATGAAATACAAAAGTCGTACCGCTACGTACGAACAGACGATTGACAGAGAAGGGCGAACCATCGATGAGAGCACGATCAGTGCGAATACGACTTACAAATATCCAGTCTAGAAGACGACCTTTACACGAAGATGATGCTGGTTTTGGCTTAGCCATGTCATTCAAGTTTGGTCTCGGAACATCCTATGCTCGCAGGTACTCCCAGCGATGTGTCCTATCTACTCATTATGGAGTGGTATTCTCCGCAGCTGCTATCATCCTATATCTCCGACCGATCTTTATTACTGAGTACACCCGCGCAGCCATAACACCATCAAATTACATATTTAAACAACAACACAGTTGTCAGGTTTTTGGTAAGGGGTCGGTGATCGCTGCAAGCAGAAGAAAAGTCCTCAACCGTTCAATCGTCCGTGGTCATACTGTTCCAGACCACTAAGCATATTTTCCAAGGGCATTTGTCGTGCTGGCCTCGTTTTGGAGATTTATTTCAAAAGTTCTTGATTGCATGAGTTCGTTCCATCAACGCAAAATACCGTATATTTGATATGAATATATAAGTCGGCGTGCAAATATTCCTTTGAAGTGTGAACCCAATTCGAAATTTCCATGCCATGAGCAGCACCCATTGAACAACACTAAATGGGACCCAGGGGCATGGGATGTCAAAAAAAAAGCATTAAACCACTGAATCGCTACTCGTCAAATCGGTCGGCCATCCCGACAATGGTAGACTCCATCAAACATCATACTTTGAGATGATGTCCTTGATGCTTGCTCCAGATTGTGCAAGAGCTGATGTTTCTTCCTGATCCAGTGGTATCGGAAGAGTAGATACGATACCACTCCGTCCTAGCACGGCAGGAAGACTGAGACAACAGCCAAAATCATTCTGCCAGTGGCTCAAGGGGAAAACTCGACGTTGGTCGAAGACGATACACTCGCAAATGGTTGACGCCACGGCAGCGATGCCGTAGGAAGTGAACCCTTTCGCTTTGATAATCTCGTACGCCTTTCTCTTCGTGATAGCTGCGACCTTGGCACGTTCCTCCTCGTCGATTGGAAACAATGACAGATACGGTGTACCATGGACGTTCGCTGTAGACCATGCAACCTATATCACTCTTAGCGGACGCCTTTGAAGATGAGGATGAAGCATACGCATTGCGAATCTCCATGTTCGCCGATAACATAGGCGCTAACTGATGTATCCGCAACCTGCAATATGTTAGCCTCGATGCGCTGATATTGGTTATGGAGTAAACCTTGAGCTTGGATGCGAGGATGGCCCGAAGTCTGATCGAGTCGAGCAATGTCCCGGACCCAAAAACCTGGCTCTGCGGCAACCCCGAAAGCTTCTGAGCAAAGTAAGTCAGAACATCCACTGGATTTGCGACAAGGACGAGGATTGCGTCCTCCCTGATCGGCTTCATGGAGCTCAGGATATTCTCAAGGATCGCATAGTTCCGATCAATCAGACTCATTCTTGTGTCGTTTTCCCGTTGTTTGGCCCCAGCAGTAACAACGATGATGTTTGACTGGCCGGCTTCGGCACTGGTTCCCTGTCTTATACGGACATTGGAGAGGTATGCGGCGTCGGCAAGATCCTGCACTTGCGCGTTGCATAGCTCGGTGTCAATATCAACAAGAATGAGGTCGGCAACAATTTTGCGCAACAGCAAAGACTGGGCTATGGCGGAGCCTACGGATCCGGCTCCAATTATGGCTATCGTATCGCTTGTAGGAAGCATGGTGAATATGATATATCGTGATCGGCGATCAAGGGATCAAGCGCACTGGGGGCTTTTATAGTAGTGAGGAGAATATGAACACCACCATTCTTGTTACAGTGCCACGTCAGTACGGTAGTCACGTTATAGCCATTTAGATCAACAAATCGTTAAGTCAGGAGACGGTGGTGAGTGTAAGGCTCGGAAAGTCATCTGCCACTTCATTTCTTAGCAAACGAGGCTGAGTATGTACCAGTATGCGCCCATATCCAATGCAGCCGCGGAGGTTTGCCTTGAACGGCTTCTGATATGGACTTATTTCACTTCGATTTCTGTAAGACATACAGAGGCCAGAGCCTAAGAGAAATGGGTGTGCTGACAGCTCCGACTTCCGAGGCTTTCATGCATAATGAAACTCATGAAACAAAACAGTCTGTGTGCGTCGGTGGCGTACCCTTGAATCCGTACTGGTCTGTGCCTCACCAGATCTTGTATTATTCCAAAGCTCTTCCATTGATAGGTTTAAAAGCTTCAAGTTCTGGTACATAGGGCCACATCAACCTGAACAAAACGAGGACGACGGAGCAAGTCCATCCATATCGTGAAGGCAAGACCCTGCGAAAATTGCTTTTGCCCCTGCAAAACTGGCTGCTTCTGCTCCAGGCGATAGGCATGAGAAGGAGTGTAAGTGGGTAATCGGGGTGAACAGATAATTAGACGGTACATGTGTAGACATCGGGCTCCCGGCGCCCCAAAACTAGCTCGTAATACAGCCCCTAAACATCGGGATGGAGAGGCCATACGTACCTGCCTATGGCCCACCCATTAATATCGACGGCCTTATTTTTGCCCGCCTCTCTGTGCCTACCACAGTTTTGTCTTCTTTCCCAGACTATTAGCCAATACACTGACAGGACATAAGTCTGGTCAGGGTCGTCAAATCACGCGAAAATCCCCCATCACCACCACACATTGAGATACGCTCAAAAACGTAGAGAGAGCGATCAGTATACTATTTTTTGATTACCTAATTGAGACGCGTCTAGTATTTCGTATGCCAGCCCTTTGCTTTGACCACCGCTCGTAAACGCTTCGAAATTGAGTCAATCAGTGCCCAGATGGTCTCCTGAGGGATCACCCACGCCTGATTTAACGCCGTGTTCATGGCCTCCCGTGCGTCCTCTGAGGCATCTATCATCTTCAATTCAGGGTGGAGCTCTAGGGCCTTTGTTTTTAATAGGTGCCACATGTGTTCGATGGGGTTAAGGTCTGGGGAATGGGTTGGCCAATCGATAACCCAAATACCATGCGTCTCCAGCCATTCTTGGGTGATTTTGGCCGTATGGATCCTTGCATTACCCTGGATAACAGTATCCCCAGGTTCATACATAGGGAGGAGTCCCTCCTCTAACGTAGCGATGTAGGATTTCGCGGAATAGCCCTGTCTTAGAGAGTCTTCGTCGCGGTCTATGATCACCAGCTCCGACCTCCCTTCACGCGAGATTGAGCCCCAAATCATCTGCGAAATCCCCTTTCCAGGGGTCTTAGGCTCGATCATCTTTGGCTCGTATGCTTCGTGATATAGGCGCCATATCCAAACCTGTTTTCCGCCGGCACCTTTCTCATAAGAGTACTCGTCTGTAGAGTGGGTCCTTGAGAAGTCGAAATCTACGAACTCACAGGCGAATTGGAGCCGGTCTTTGACGTGTTAAGGCCTGAGATGGGGCCTCTCCTTCGCTCGCCACTTCGTAAGGTGATATTTCTTAAGCGTTCGGTAGACAGTCTTCTTTGAGATCCGGAGGTATTCGACGCCTGCGAGGAGCTCTGAGTACTCCATCTTTGGGAATCTGCGTGCAATTTTGACGATATGCCGTTCGTCTGACCGTGATAATATAGGGGGGGGGCCCTTACGAGGTCTAGATTTAAGGAGGTGGTCTTGATCCCATCTTTTCTGCGTCCTGTACACCGTAAGTTGCGTAACGTTGAACTCCTCCGCCACTTCGCTCTTCGTTTTCCCACAAGATAGGTTCCCAAGATCACAGCTCTTTGAACATCGGTTAATTCGTCGTTTCTGCGTCGATTGGCACTAATTTCATTACCGAAAGACCTCATTTTAATGGTGATGTTGATGGTTAAAAACTGGTGGTATTCAGCTGAGATAAGAGTCTTGATGTGTGACTGACCAGACTTGTGGCTTAGTACTTTACCATATGATAAGTCGATTATGTCGCAACGAGGACTCCTCGCGTAAACAGTGTTCTTACCCTCTTATATCCAATGAACTTTATTAGCGTCTTATAGGGATAGCATCAGAGCTGTTCGAAATTTGCAGGACATCTTTTCAGAATGCAATGAATTCCAGACATAACCATTACTGGACACTACATCATCAACTGTGTGCATTTTCACACACAAAGGGAAGGTTAGATTTGAATATAAAAGTTTTTCCAGGAGGTCTGGAATAATGTGTACACACGAACTGAATCGATTGAAGCACTGCTAGATATCCCAAAGGTGGAAAGTACCCAGTTGATGTCAGAGAACGTGGCCGGTTTTCCTTTTCCTAGTGCCGTATGTTAACGAAATCTCTGAATACGACGTCTTGAGCGGCATCTATGAGCATATTTTCACGCTCTTTAGCAACAAAGATCAATCTCACTCTTTGGTCGACTGTTGGTGGTGAGCGAACAGACCACATGATCTTCATGCCCTGTGGTCACGAGTACATACTACTACAAGGAAATAACTGAGTGGGGGGATCTAACGCCTGAGTAGAAATGTTTACATGGGTGTACCATACTCGGTCCTCCTATGTCTTCACGTTGTGTCTTTCAAGCTCCTCTTCCGGCACAAGGTCGTTCAATGCTTGGGAGAAGTATTTCGCCATGGTATAGTGAGTAGTGTTCTCCAACTCCGTAAGGTTACTATGAGGCAGGCGTTTGGCCATATACCGAATTGCCTCGATCGGGGCGTTCGCGTCTTTTAATCCATGCCAGATCCTGACAGGATTATAGTCTACTTTTTCTAACTGGAATCCCCAGTCCGCATCAGATAGTAACCTGGCCTCATGCACAAACGTCGTTGAGCCTTGCTTAAAGCCCTCTAAAAGTAGCCGCACCATCCGCTCTCGTGTCTCCGCTATCGAAAGCTGCACATCCTCTCCAAGTCCAAACTCTTCTTCTTCTTTTCCTTCCTTACTACGGCGCTTCTCTAGCGATGCGTCAATCCATCGCATGATTGGCCGCTTCTTCACCAACCACCTCAACAGACCGATGCACGTGCTTGTTGCTGCAGCAAAGGTGCCCGGCGTGTACACTGCCGCCCACGCAATGACCCGGCGGTACCACGACATGTAATGCGGGCCTGCAGCCCAAGGCGGCGCTCCCGCAAAGACTCCCACGGCCGACACCATCGGGCGCGTCAAGTAGCGCGCACATGCCAGCGCATACGGTCCCCCGCCCGAGCAGCCGAGGACCGCGAAACGTGAAATGTGCAGAGAATCAGCGAGAGCGGCGACATCTGCGGGCCAGTCCGTTATGCGCCGGTCCGGCTGCGCTGTCGAGAGACCGAAGCCAGGGCGGTCGGGGGCGATGATGCGGATACCGCGACGAAGAGCCAGGCGATCCAGTGGGTAGGTTTCGAGACGCGAAGAGGGGAAGCCGTGCAAGAAGAAGAGGGGATAGCCAGTGGAGAGACCGTATTCGGCATACCCGAGGGTACGGCCGTCGGCGAGGGTGATGGTGAGGTTCTCTTTGCCGTTAAAGTCAATGACTCGGGAGGTTGAGAGGAGTCGAGAAGTTGATGGGGCAGAGAGTGGTAGCTTCATTTGCGATAGAAGGTTAATTCGGTTCTGGAGCTGTCCGCGAAGCCAGATCTCAAATATGGTTCTTTGATTCCAACACTCTCTAATGATTCTTTTGCCGTTAGGAGTTCTAGTAGCTTCGTGATAATTATAACGAGTTCTTACTCGTTCGCTGAGGAGAGGAAGAAGAAGAGGGAGAAGGCATCTTTGTCATAGAATATCTGTGTTTCTTGGCGTTTCCGCACGGCTTCATTCCGTCATCCTTTCTGTACCCCTATTCTTTCCCTTTTTAGGGAATAGATCACCATTGTAAGGCCTTGTCTACTTCGAAGCTGGCAGGTTTAAGAAGCAGGGGCCAGGTGGGCGTTTTGGCTTTTCTATTATTAGAAACCTGCCAGAACGGCTAATGTCTACCTACTGGCAGGTTCGGAAGCTGCAGGTTCTTACTGTGTAGTCATGTTGCCAAGTCACGATGTGTGACTTGCGTAATAGCTTCAAATTCCAATCTGACCTCTCTTAGCCATCCACCCTGCAGCTACATCCCAGCCACGTGACCTAGGAATAATGTGCTCTGATTAGTCTATATACTTCGAAAATCACTACAGCGCGGGCACCCTCACCACCTATTCCGGGCACCCCCACCACCTATTCCGGGCACCCCTACAACATATTCTGGGCATCCCCCATCACCTGTTTTGGGCACCTCCACTACCTATTCTAGGCCCTACTATCACCCATTTTGGATACCGTTTATCACTCCCGGCTCCCGTTTTGGGCACAGACGCTAGAACTGGTGGTTGGAAGTGCCCGAAAACGGATGATAGAGGGTGCCTAAAATGGGTGATGATGGGGGTCTAAAGTCGGTGGGGGGAGTGCCTAAAATAGGTGGTGGAGGTGCCCAACAAGGGTGGTAGGGGTACCCAAAACGGGTGGTAAGGGTGCCTAGAATGGGTGGTACAGATGCCCGCGCTATAGGAACTTTCGATATAGATCAATTAGAGCACAGTATTCCTAGGCCACGTGGCTGGGATGTAGTTGCAACTTGCAAGGCAGGTTGGGATGTAGATGCAGTATCTCCCTTGCCGTATACGGCGGTAGCGTAGATCCGATCAGCGATGGTGGTTTGGACGATATAGAGGGGCCATTGTGATAACAATAAGGAGCAGAGAACCTGCCAGCGAGCGTTATTATCGGGTCCATCGATGGAGCAGAAAAAAACCTGCCGCAGGTTTGCCTAATTGGGCGAAATACGAGGTGGCGGTGCGCTAAAAAAGCCACATTTCGGGATGTGGACCTGCCGACAGGTTTTCACCACGAAAAAGTAGACATACACCCATTCTGACGTTAATATCGAACCTGCCACGAATCTGCAACGAATCTGCCACTATTTAAGTAGACAAAGCCACCTGCCAGCGCTATTATCGGACTTGCCGGCCTTCAGGTAGACAAGGCCTTAAGTAGCTGTGTTAAGGAACTGTGTTAGGATAGCAGAGAGAAGTCTCTGGCGGTTGCAAAATGTGAGAGAACGCTTGGCGTTTTTTTGAGTGTGTGTGTGTCCCGCCCGCAACTCCACCAGAAAACGCGATATCACCCATTTTATGACCAAAACGCGCTGAATTCGTGCCTGCAAGTTGTGAAATTAAAGGGAAATTATTAGATTGAGTTTTATATCAAGTTTTTTATTTTTTATTTAGGAAATGGCACCCCAACTGCGTGGAATTGGTACGCGCAGTACGCGAACGCGCGTCCGGTTTGAAGACGAGATTGAGCGCACTGCTCAACTTGCGAGAGAACAAACAGCTACGAAGAAAAAGAACACAAAGAAGGCGGCCCTAAAGACGGCGGGTCGAAAGAAGAAAGCCCAGGTAGCTCCAAAGAAGGTATCGGCGAAGGCATCGTCGTCTAGCATACCCAAGACTGCTAGCAAGACAACACCTCTGGAGCTAGATCCGCAAAGGGACCTTGCAGACGATGAGGAAGAGCTAGGAGAGGAAGAGC